GCAGTTTTGCCTTGAAGAATGGGCAAAAATCCCAGTGGCTAGATGTGCCAAGTTTATAGAGACATACCCCAAGAGACTTGCAGCTATAATTGCTGCAAAAGGTGGCTCTACAAAGTATTGACTTTGGCGGGTGAATAGTTATGCACGCTCAAGTTTTCTGTTTATTTGTCTTATTTCTTGTTTGTTTCACCAAAAAGAAAATGCATCTTCAAAGTAGTAGGCATGTTGTGTAAATCAAATGATACAAACCCCCAAAAAATCAATTTTAATTCCAGGTTGTAAGGCAACAAAATAGGAAAAATGCTAAGGTGGGTGAATACTTTCACAAGCCACTGTACATATGTGTACAATAGTCTGTGTGAAGTTGTGTGTAAGAACGGGGTCAGTCAGTGTTCAGGAGTGCCACTGTCGCTGCCCAGGTGCCAGCTCTGTATCTCTGCGGGCAGCCTGGCACGCACACTGGCACTCACAGACCGGCGGAAAAGCAGGGCTGGGCAGCTCTAACAAGCCACTATCAGTCATCACTACTCCTTTCCCATCATAATAGGAGCAATGACAGGCAGGGACAGGGACACATCCATCCCAGGCAGGACTTCTTTCTGTCTATCCAATGAGGCAGGATGGAGGGTATGTGGTAGTGGAGCTAATAAAGGACAGGATAGGGCTGCTGTGTGTCACTACTTTAATAACCACCCTGACTGGTAACGGTTTGGGCTTGTTTCTTAGACACTGAAAGTGCAAAGTGGGCGAGCGAGAACACAGGGAGGGAACAAGGTGAGGATGCAGAGATGCTGCTCCCCAAATAGGTCCCAGGCGACCCACACAGACAGAAGGGGGGCCTGGCAAGGCTCTTTGTGATGGTGACCTCGACCCAAATCAAAACGGTGACCTGGCTGCTAATCACAGAGCTCCAGAGCGCATCCTCGATTAGCGCTCTGCCTTTCATGTGGCGAGTCGCCAAGAGGGACTTCGGAAACACAAGACGCGGCCGAGGTCGCCGCTGTTTCTGGCTATTAGCAGAGAGGTCAAAGCTTTCATTTGGATAGGGTCATTGTTTTCCAGCTTTAGTGGGAGATTGACAGCTTTTAGAGATGCAGGAGAGTCCCCACAGCCACCTCCCAGCAGCCCAAAGTCAGAATAATGTCTTGCTCAGATAATGGGATATTACTGTACCTGCTGCAGTAGGATAACTAATCACAGTCGGCGTACGGTGTGTTGTTGGTTCATAGATGAATGTTGGGCTGTTATAGTGAGTGCACTGTATGAGGGTTGGTTGGTGTGTTGTTGGTTCATAGATTAATGTTGGGCTGTTACAGTGAGTGTACTGTATGAGGGTTGTTTCATTACATCTGGAAAGTTTAGTGAAAGCTTATCAGAAGTTATGCTCTGAGTCGAGCTGTTCAAACACCACTGCAGTTTCTCAATCCGAAAGCCATCTACTCTCACTCACACAAATCTTACTACTGTCCACTAAAGCCCACTGTTAGCCACACATCACACTGGCATGACTGTGGAGAGGAACCTTCACTTACTGTGATAATCAATCCTATACTCAGCTGGAGAACACTGTCTGTCTGTCCAGCGTCCCGCAGTCTGTCTGCCATCTTAAAACACACCCGTCCAGGCAGGAGCCAAACCCCTGACAGACCCTTAAAAGAACCAAAGAAGATGTGAAACTTCCTATATTTGGCAACGCTGAGGTATTTTTCCCTGGGAGGAGGTAGCTCAGAGCAGGAAGAGCAGCACACACTGCCTTGGGGCATAGTTATCTCTCCGTCTCCCTCCGAGAATTTCCATCTCCAGCCCTCACTCATGCCCTCACTGGAACGAAGGAACAGGAGCCCTCCTAAAAACGCCTGTATGAATTTCATACATCCACTAAGCGAACACTTCACTGACATATTCAACATTATAGTAAAATAGAGTGAGTTCTGGTGTAAGAAATCTGCAGGGACCCCAGCCTTTCTTCGTTTCGTAGGTAGAGCGTGCTTAGCCAAACCCAGGGGCACTTGGCGCAGCAAACGGCAGCCTGAACTGAGGGAAGGCACACAGCATGCTGGGAGGATACTGTGAAGGTCAGTGCACTTTGGAGTGTGCTGCTGGCTGATACCATTCTTGCAGCAATGTAAACTACTATAGTAAGAACTCTTGCCCTTGAAAAGATCCCCATCAAAAGTCTATACTGTAGTTGTTTTCTAGATTTCCCCCTATGGTCTTAATCTAGGGAGTTCTGCCTGGGAGGCCAACTGCTTCTCAGTCCAATAAGTGATTCTTAAATCTTTGACTCAAAGCAAACTCCCAGCCTTGTGTAGGTCTATGTCACGATTGTCGGATACAGAGGACCAAGGCGCAGCGTGGAAGGCGAACATACCTTTATTTATTAGCATAATCACAAACCTACACTGGAACAAGATCCCACATAAAACAATGCCAAACGGCTACCTAAGTATGGCTCCCAATCAGAGACAACGAGCTACAGCCGTCTCCGATTGGGAGCCACCCTGGCCAACATAGAAATACAAAACTAGAACAAACAAAGAAAACTCACACCCTGGCTCAACATACAAGCGTCCCCAGAGCCAGGGCGTGACAGTCTACAATCTTGTCCCTGACATCCTTGGAGAGCTCTTTGGTCTTCGCCATGGTGGATAGTTTGGAATCTGATTGATTGATTGCTTCTGTGGACAGGTGTCTTTTATACAGGTAACAAGCTGAGATTAGGAGCACTCCCTTTAAGAGTGTGCTCCTAATCTCAGCTCGTTACCTGTATAAAAGACACCTGGGAGCCAGAAATCTTTCTGAGGGGGTCAAATACTTATTTCCCTCATTAAAATGCATTTCAATTTATAACATTTTTGACATGCGTTTTTCTGGATTTTTTTGTTGTTATTCTGTCTCTCACTGTTCAAATAAACCTACCATTAAAATTATAGACTGATCATTTCTTTGTCAGTGGGCAAACGTACAAAATCAGCAGGGGATCAAATACTTTTTTCCCTCACTGTAGCTATGCATTTAATAAAGAATTACATTGTTTTTTTTAACAAGGCCCAAATGATAGCTGAACATATCAAAGAGCTAAATTATTCAACTCAGCCGAATGTGCAGGTTTTTTTACTCAACGTGGCAAACTTACCCAGCAACCACCCAGCCGGCTCTTCTCTCTCTCTCTGAGGTTTTCTTCACATTGGTGTCACCTTGAGAGCTGCAGTATTAAAAACTCTCTCTGTCAACAATCAATACAATTTGTCTGGCGCTTTATCCCTATTTTGTCTGTGCAAATGAAGCTGATGGATGAGAAAGAGCCCCTCTGCCCTCTCCCAGGTAATTTAGTGTGACTGGCCAGATTGGAGGGATGGAGGGAGGAGGAGGAGGTGTGAGAAGGGGGACAAAAGAGCAGGGTCAACTCCCAGGACAACTTAATATTTAATCACCACGCCACATGTAACTCTACACCCCACTATTCCCTCTGCTCCCAGGACAGGAAGAGGAGGAGGATGAAGGGATGGAGAGAGATAAAGAAGGGGAGAGAGAGAGAGAGAGAGAGAGAGAGAGAGAGAGAGAGAGAGAGAGAGAGAGAGAGAGAGAGAGAGAGAGAGAGAGAGATGAAGATGAAGAAAGAGTACTCTACCTCACAAATCCTCCCTTGCTCAGGCGGAGAGACAGTTAAGAGAGAGATTGAAGAGAAGAATGAGACAAAGGAGAAGGTATGTGATGCTGGGGGATGAGTGAGAGAGGGAGGGCAGACAGTCAGAAGAAGACAGATGAGAGAGACGGAGGACAGAGGATGAGGAAATTAAAACAGCGTTAATCATGTTGAGTGCGGTCCTATCTACATGCCTCTGTATGGGAAGTACAGGCCTGGGATATGCAGGGCTCAGAGTTAGTCATATAGACACATCATGAACATGTTTGAGGGCTATGGATGGATATCACAGATCCGAGATACAGCACTACAAATAATAATGGCATAAAACACAAAACACACTTCCTACTAGTAATACATAACTCCACAACCACATACAGTATCAATGCAGTCTTGATGAACATCCATCCTCAGTACACTACAGGGCCTCCTCAGTTACTCCTGTCTCCAGTCTTACTGTAGTTACTGTTGTGGGCCCAGTGGAGGGTGAGTGAGTGATGGTGACCCAGCCAGCCATGGCCCCCACTTGGCCCAGTCCTCCTCTCTCTGCAGCTGTCGGCCTGCTGCTGCTGCCTTCTCCCTGGGTGCCTGTGGGCTCACCGTGGCTATCCTCTCCCCTATCGTGCATGGAGGGGATTGGAGGCTGTGTGATGTGGCGTGTTAGGGCATGGGGGAAGGATGAGTGGGGAAGGATGAGTGGGGAAGGGAGGGAGGCGGGCAGCAGGTAGGCAGGGAAGGCAGATGGGCCGCCAGGAGCCCCGGGTCCCCGCGGAGTTCAGCGCGCAGCCACCCAGCCCCGGCGACGGCGTCAGCATTTTGAGGAGAAGCTGGGGAAATTGCTGAGGCGGCAGCCGCGCTGAGAGACGAGGTGAAGTGGTGAAAATGTAACCAGCCTGATGAAAGTTTAAGTGTGCATGTTAAACAGGAGAGAGAGGGAATAGGAGGAGAGGGAGGACGGGAGAGTGAGAGAGGAGGGAGGCATAAGGACAAAGGGAAGAGGGAAGGAAGGATGGGCAAGGGTGACCTGAGGAGGTTGAAGTATTTCCTCTATGCTCTATAGACCTCAGCACGACATTCAGTCTCACCTGTGGGTTCCATCGTCAACACATTAATGCTCATCAGTACCTCAACCCTTCAGTTCTGGCTCTGTCATCAGTACCTCAACCCTTCAGTTCTAGCTCTGTCATCAGTACCTCAACCCTTCAGTTCTAGCGCTGTCATCAGCCAAGGACGTGAGCTTGGTTTGAAGAGCAACGCCCCTCATCACCCCACATCCCTCTACAGCCTACATGCCAGGCTAGGCCCCTGGAGCTCTGATGGAGTTAATGTCATTTGCACTACATGACACGGCGTAATGCAACGCCCCAATCTGGGGAGCTGTGTGTGCTAACTGAGTGTTGTGTCGTGTGTAGTCAGATGGCATTATTACATAAAGTCGGGTAACAGAGGCTCACTGAGGGGATACACTCACTGGCTGGTGTTGATGGAGACTTTCAGTGTTGATTATGATGTGGCTCAGATAGGGAGCTGGTGTTGGGATGGAGTCTAATGTGCTTTCTCTCCTTTCTCTCCCTCTCCTCTCATTTTTCACTGTTCCCCTCTTTTTCACTCTCATTCTTCCTCTCCTATCATGCTATATTTATGATTTTATTTATCCTATCTATCTCTCTCTCCTTCTCTATCCCTATATACCCCCCCCCCCCTCTTTTATTTGTCTCTTCTCCTGTCCTCTCTGTTCTCAGGTGCGGTGCGAGCTTCCAGCATCTTCCCCATCCTCAGTGTCATCCTGCTCTTCATGGGAGGGCTGTGTATAGCTGCCAGCGAGTTCTACAAGTCACGCCACAACATCATCCTCAGTGCAGGCATCTTCTTTGTGTCTGCAGGTGAGTCTAGAGAGGAAGAGAGACGGGAAGAGAGAGAGGAGGGGGTGGGTATCTAGGACAGGTAGAGGAAGAGAGGAAGGAAGACTGGGGAAAAAGAAAGAGAGAAACAGTTGCTATGGTGGAGAGGGATAGTAGGGGTTACATTAGGGAGATGAGCTTCAAATGAGTTGGTTCCATTGATAGAAAGTATACACAAATGCAAATGTTTTCAGTCACTACTTTTTAGTCACTAACATGCAATGTTATTATGGTACACTTACATAGAACAGTTGTACATATGGATGTAAGTCCTGCAAAGAAGAGACTGTTGACTAATCCAGCCAAGGTGCAGTGCACTAGCAGTCTCTCTCTGCTGCTGGTCATCCCCGGTACTGCAGCTCCTCAGTCAGCTCTCAGCCTCCACTCAGTAGCAGCCACAAGTCACGCACTCCATTCTTCCCTCTTTATCCACGTATTTCCTCCTGATCTGGTTGCTGGGCTAGGAGCTACCCATTGGGATTCAACTCTAAAAATATGGTGTCCCTGACATACTTTCCCAATGATCCATCATCCCAGCTCTACTGTGTCACACACTTCTCTTTCTCTCCGTGACTAAACGTTACAGTCAAAGTAGATATATATACACTGTGTACAAAACATTAGGCCTCAACATCAGAACAGCCTCAATTTGACGGGGCATGGACTCTACAAGGTGTCGAAAGTGTTCCACAGGAATGCTGGCCCAGTGCGTCCTACAGGTCTGTCAACTACCATACCCCGTTCAAAGGCACTTCAATCTTTTGTCTTGCCCATTCACCTTCTGAATGGCACACATACACAATCCATGTCTCAATTGTCTCAAGGCTTAAAAATCCTTCTTTAACATGTCTCCCCCCTTCATCTACACTGATTGAAGTGGATTTAACAAGTGATGTCAATAAGTGATCATAGCTTTCACCTGGATACACCTGGTCAGTCTATGTCATGGAAAGAGCACTCAGTGTATATGAGTATATGATTATGATCCCTATCATAGGTTGTGAGCCCTATGTGAATCATAGGTATAATCATGTTATGTGCTGTCCCAACTGATCTGACTCAGGATCTCAATCTATATTCTTAAACACTGTAAGGGCAGAGGCTCTGGCTTGGGTCATATTTCTGGGTCATATTCAGTCAGATTTAAAAACAGTTAATGAGAAGTACGGTATGTATGTACATTATCCTTTGGTGAATCCGTGGCACTTGTCTCAAAAGGTTTGTCTTGGTAATGGCGTATTCATTGTGGTGGATGGATGCACTCAGTTGTAGAACAGGTTCATGGAGGACTACTGCATATGTGAAAAGGTACATTTCCTGTCTTAACTGATTGCATAATCCTCTGTTGTTCTCTCATCTTGCCCCTCCAACTCCCCAACTCCCCAACCCTACACTCCCCACTCCCTCAGGCCTGAGTAACATCATCGGGATCATCGTGTACATATCAGCTAACGCAGGGGATCCCTCTAAGAGCGACTCGAAGAAGAACAGCTACTCCTACGGCTGGTCCTTCTACTTCGGAGCCCTGTCCTTCATCATGGCCGAGATGGTGGGTGTCCTGGCAGCCCACATGTTCATCGACCGCCATCGGCAGCTCCGGGCCGGGGCCAGGGCTGCCGACTACCTCCAGGCCTCGGCCATCACGCGCATCCCTTCCTACCGCTACCGCTACCGGCGCCGCTCGCGCTCCTCCTCCCGCTCCACAGACCCCTCGCACTCCCGCGACACCTCGCCCGTGGGCCTCAAGGGCTTCAGCGCGTTACCCTCCACAGAGATCTCCATGTACACACTGCCCCGGGACACCCTGAAGCCCGGGGGCACGCCGACCGCCACCTACAACTCGGAGAGGGACCACAACTTCCTGCAGGTCCACAATTGTATCCAGAAGGAAAAAGACTCAGCCAACACCAACACAGCCAACCGCCGCACCACACCTGTATGAGGGAACTCTGAGAGCAGAGCCCGAGGGAGGGGAGACAGGGAGGCCCCCACCCAGGTCTCTAATATACCATAGGCCAGGATGAGTTTCCATGTTTATAGAGATTGATGATTTTGTTTCATTCAACTGCATGATTTTCCCATCTACCATTGTTGAGAGAGTTGAAAGGGGTTTGTTGAGTTCCGTTGGAGTAAATGGTAGTACTGGGAGAATGGGGAAGATTGTCCTTAGAGACGGAGTCATTTTTCTGGGCGGGGTCGGGTGATGAGGGTGGGGCACTGAAGGGGAGGGTTATGATTTAAATTCGATTCATGATATCATAACCTTTTGGTTTTGACAGTTTGGCTCCACAGTTTTGGTGGTGCAACAAGCTGCTGTACTTTCCCATCACACCACCTGCCAGATGCCTCTGATTTGTTGTCATATTTATTCATTTATTTATTTTCTGCATTAAAACTGTGAATTTTTGCAGCTTGGGATTCAGTAAGAATTAGCCAGTCTGTAAACTCTAACAAAGGTACTATATGTGTATTACTTTTATAAATAAATTATTGTTAATAATCAAGAGATACAGACTTTACTGAAGCAAAAAACAAACAAGTAAACTAAACTAAGTGCTGTTGGTAACACGAGAAAATACTATTTTAGGATCTGCTGGAAGGATGACCAAGCCAGAGAGAAAGTACTGTAGGTACACTACACTACAGAGCTGCTGAAACATGATGAGAGACAGATGCAGACAGTCAACAGTAGAAAAATATATATTATTTTAATAGAACCTTCTCGCCTTTTTCTGAGTCCCTGTTCGCTTTCTTTTTTTGGGGGGGGGGGGGGTCGTCATGGGAGCGTTGAACCCCTCAAGAGAAACCAACAACAACAACAATGGGGTCAAAGTTCACACCAAGAAAAAAAGACTCCAAACACGACTTCTCGAAGAAGGAAGGAGGAGAGGGGGAGGAAAAGAAGAGGACGCCAAACACAAAAATAAAAACTTGCGTAAAAGGCAAGCAACAAGTTAAATATGAAATAGTACAAGAGAAGCTAAGTGACTCAAAATTTCAGAAATTAAATGCATGCTATAAAATTACAGCAAATCTGCTCTTGAGAAACTTACGTTTTAAAGGATAATGATAATTAGAAGGGGAAAAAAGCGATGACGCTAACGTTTAAACTAGTAATGTTTCATGTGTATTTTTTCTCTTATGTTTTTTTTATTTACTTCATTTTATCTTATGCTTTTGTGAAAGAAACCAAACAATCTACATTGAACAAAAACTGATTTTTTAAAAATGGTTTAGTTTATTTCTTTATATAAATATATGTATGTATGTATTTTATTTTTCAAATTCACACAGCCTTAGTCATTACTTTGTTTCTTTTGATTTTCAATGTGTTGTTCAAATTGAAAATTAAATCTTTAAAGGTGCCAAAACCGAATGATCCTTTACTTGGATGCATCAAGTCCTGATGAATAAAATACCAACCCTAGGGAGAACAAATCAGCCTGTTTCTCTGTGTCTCTAACCTACTGTATCCTTACACTTAACACCACTGTTCTATGTCTCTGATACACTCTAACACTGGCTCTCTGTGTGTCTCTACTCTCTAACATGTACTAACACTTGTGTTAACAAGCATGTTTCCATCTTTAGGCTACAATATGGGAGAAACCATGATTGTAAAGGTAAAACAGCATATAAGACACATCAACGCGTGGTGTCTTTCTAGGACATGACATTCCTGAAAAAGGAACACAGGTTTGCAATAAAACCAGGACTCCGTAGCTGGAGCTATCCATGTAGAAATGATATACCACACCTTTCTACACCACCGCCCTAAAAGCATCACTTTCAGGACCTGATGCACCCGTTTTTCTCTGCAATGAGGTGAGCGTGTGTGTGTGTGTGTGTGGCAAGCATGCACGCGTGTGTGTTTATGCGCGCACACGTGTGTTTGCACGTGTGTGTGTGTGTGTGTGATGCAGACATATAATAGCAGCCCTCTGAGTGGAAACAAAGGGTCTCAGGCTGTGGCAACGCTGGCTGTGTTTGTGTACTTGTTAGTAAGAGGGAGTAATAGGTGGTCTCTCTCTGTCCAGCATGGCTCATGAAATGGGTCTCCAGTAGAGCCAATGGAGAATATGGGATCAGCTCCCACACAGCCCAGTCAAAGCCCTTCTCTGTCCTGGCACCCCAATGGTGGAACCAGCTTCCCCCTGATGCTAGGACAGCAGAGCCCTGCCCATCTTCTGAAATTTCTGAAACCCTACCTCTTCAAAGAGTATCTTCAATAAGACATCTCAGTCCTACTCCCCCAAAAAACTTGTTTGGGGTCTTTTACTACTAGCACTAACTTTGCTGATAACTTCTTTATTGAGGAAAAATGTTCTTACTACGACTGTGATATGTGGTTATCTCACCTAGCTATCTTAAGATAAATGCACTAACTGTACGTCGATCTGGATAAGAGCGTCTGCTATATGACTACAATGTAAATGTAAAAAATGGGATACATTATGGTCTCTGTACAATGTGGGAGCAATGAGCCACCTGGAATTTTTTGGGCTCCAACTCCATTCAAATTAAGGGGCCAGCAGGTTCATGGCGAAAAGAAAAAGACCCCAAACTGTTTCTATTAGACAAAGTGCTGAGATCTTGATTCACTGTATTATCTGAGTTCACTGACAAAAGCTTCTCTCCATAAATTTGTCTAAGAATGTGTCCACGAAGCACTCTGAATGAATAGGGCTTTTTTATGTACAGTATAGGCATTTTTATTCAGAATTCATAAGTAGCAGCCATTTTACAAGGCTGGATTACATTATATCCTAAATGGAGGAGAGGAGGAGTTGAGAGATACTGACATTACCATAAGGCCACATCTAGCCCTACTAGCCATACAAACACAGATGGCATTTTTAAATATGTTTTGGGAATGGATGTTCCCCCTCTCTCTTTCATCTTTGTCTCTGTCCCTCCCTCTCTCACTTCCTCCATCTTGTCTGGCTGACATGCTTGTCCTTAATTTGCCTCTCCTGCACAATCTCTCATTCTCTATCCCGCTGTGACTTACACACTCACATACTATCTCCTCCCTTCCCCCACCCCTCTTCCTCTTCCCCTGTTGACTTATGCTTTCTGGTGTTCTTGCTATCACCATGCCTCTTCCTGCTCACATGCCCCTCCTCTACTTTCTAATCTCTCTCTCTGTGTTCTCTCCCTCTTCTGTTCTTTTTGCCTGCTCTCACGAATGCAGAACATCTCTCCCCCTCTATCGCTCCTTCCCTCCCTCTCTCTTTATCTCTCTCTTAGAACGCAGGAGATGTGATGAAAGGAGGGAAGTGCTGTTGACATCACTGAAATCGAATTGAGAGTGTGGCGGTGGTGTCCGTCCATACGAGAGTCCCAGCTCACTGCGGGGGAAGATGCATTTGTGGCCCACACTCCTAATGAGCTTCTTACCACTGGATTCTCTGTGGCTTCAACAGCCATCCTCTCTCCACCCCTCTATCCCCATCCTCTCTCCATCCCTCGAGCCCTTCCCCATCCCGCGATCCCCTTCGCCGAGCCGCTCAGCCCCGTCCCCCACCTCTCGCCAGCCTCGATCCCCGTCCCCCCCAGCCCAGCCAGCACACGCTCCCATCACGCGCGACCCAGCCTTTCGTCCACCAGCTAAATCACCCATCCTCACTCCATCCCTCAATCCCCCGTCTCTCCACCCCTACCCTCCTCTCTCCATCCCTCGATCCCCTGCCCCGCATCCCTCTATCCCCTCCCCATCCCTACCCGCCCCATCCCCTATCCACATGTCGACCCTCCACTGCCAGCCTCTATCCCCTTTCCAGGAGCCGCCTCTAGCCCCGGCACGACCACCCCTTATCCCCATCCTCCTCCACCCTCTATCCCCTCCATCCTCTCTCCATCCCTCTATCCCCTTCTCCCATCCTCTCTCCATCCCTCTATCCCCTTCTCTCCACCCCTCTATCCCCATCCTCTCTCCATCCCTCTATCCCCTTCTCCCCATCCTCTCTCCATCCCTCTATCCCCTTCTCCCCATCCTCTCTCCATCCCCTTCTCCCCATCCTGACAGTGGGGAGTTGAAGTCTGGAGTTGCTAGACATGCCCTTGAAGAGTCAAGCCCTTTCTTGGCAGCCTAACAGAGTTGGACATTCCATGGTGACGTCATGGAGAGTTAAGGAGAGCTCAGCGGTAATGCTAAGGCCAGTTCCACAAAGTAGAAACTCGCCGCACCCACCGCAGTGAGAGGAGAGCAAGGCTCCGGCTACGCGGCTCACATCATAGGCTGGGTTTCCATGCTCTGTCACTGAAGGTTACAAAGTGTCATTTCTGAAATGGAGCCAGAGGAGGGAGAGATTCCTCACACTCTAATTGTGTGTGTGACTCTCTCTCAACACTCCCTTTCTGTTTCTCCCCTCTCCTACTGTGTGTCAATATCTGCATTTTAGCATGCAAGAAATTAGCCTCTCACTCTGTCTCTCAGTGTCTCCCTCTCTCTGTGTCCCTCTCCCTCTATCCCTCCATTCCTTTTTCTCTCTATCCCTCTCACCCTCCCTCTCTCCCTCCCTCCCTCTCTCTCTCTCTCCTGGTGTTGTGATCAAAGTGCCTGGTGTGTGTCTCTGCAGTGCTGTGTGATCAGAGAAGTGGGGGGAGGGTGAAGAGGGGGAGGGAGGGTGAGAAGACGAGGCCGGAGGAACATACTGTCCCCTTCTGGGTGGGAATACTAAGAGACCATCCTCTTCTCTGGGCTGTCTTTGTGTCTAAGTACAGAAGGTTACATAACCTCGCATCAAACCAACAATGACCTTTCTCTGACTTTAGCAGCCGTGTTATGGGACCGTCAGGCACGTCACCTGAAGACTCACCTCTTATCCCCAACGAGAAGGCCACTGCAAGAGAAGGGCTCGGTTGAGCACGGCTGGAAACTGTTCAGCTGAAGAGATATTCAACAGTAAATGGTGACAGTGGCAGTACAGCTTTGTGTGAAACACATGAGCTCTGTGTGTGTTTGTAAGTGTGTGAGAGAGAGAGAGAGAGAGAGAGAGAGAGAGAGAGAGAGAGAGAGAGAGAGAGAGAGAGAGAGAGAGAAAGACATGGCCTCTTGTTTATGCTGACCAGAGAGCTGCTGACTGCGCTCACCTAGGTTATTTTTGGGTCAGGGAGAGTTGAGAGGCTACAGATATCTATGTCACGAGGACAAATGAACACCGAGTTCAAAATGACACATTTCAAAATCGCTACATCGTCACAACAACCACCATACTCAAAACAGAGGGGGAAAACCCTAGTTAAGTGCGCAGTCTGTACTTTCACAAAAGTGTTTGAAACGGTAGTGGAGAAGAAACAGGTTCCTCATAAAGAAACAGTAGAACCACTAGACAGCATGATAGGGATTTAGAAAAAGGCAGTGGAGGAAATGGGCCTTGATATCCTACCCATCCTGCTCTCTGGTGGTGAGAGGCAGTACTTCATGCAGGGAGGAAGGGCACTGCTGCTCCTATATGCTTGGGGAAGAAAGGAAAACTGTGTCCATGGGAACGGGCTTGGAATACTGATGCCACAGTGCAGGGGTGCATTGGAGCTGCAGTCTATTCTGGCAGGCTCAGGCTAAGGTTAAGGTATTTTCATTACAGCTGTCCTCTAAAGGTCTGAAGGCTATTATCAAATGTTGCCTTTCTGTCAAAACTGGGCTTACAAGGTACCCCCTGTCACTATTATTCGATTGTGAATATCTTAAAGATAATAATACAATATTGATCAAATAGCAGCAGTGAAATAGTCTCTCATCATGTCCACATTGCGTTTGTCACTAAGCTTGTCAAAGAAAGCAAGCATCTGCTGCTCATTTTCCCCCAATGACCTAAACAATTGATCCTACTGGTCACCATAATGGATTGTATGATTTGTGACCCACTATCAGTAAATGTTGAAAGTAAAGAGACATTAGATTAAAATGCACCATGAACTCCTTATTTTCCTCACCTGGAAACAGCCGTGGCCAAACTTGGAGGTGGTGTTGATGAACTTGAGGTCGATCTTCTCCAGGGCACGAAGGCTCGACTGCACCAACAGAGACTGAAAACAGAAGTTAATCAATATGACATTTTACAACCGCACATGCCTTTCACATATATAGGTGTATGATTTGTGATCCGCCATCTACTAATGAGCTTTCATGTTTTTCATTCTTCAACTGTCTCGGTATGTTTCAGCATGTTGAAATACTGTACTGTATCGTCCATCTATTACCTGCTGGGTGAGGGATGGGGGGAGTCAGAGGCTCCTTCAGCACACACAGAACCCTGACCCCCATCCTCTCCATGGGCCCTGATCCTGAGCGTGAGGTCCTCCCTGATGGTCTATCTCCCTGGCTGTCAGACTCCCTGCCATAGCCCCGCAGTCAGTTCCCCCACCCTGCAAGACAACACTGACTCTCTGTCAGCCTATCTGCCAGGCCCGGGCCAGGACACCCCTCACACACCTACACATAGGCACACGAGCCTGCACAAACACACACACTCTCACAATGCTTGGCCCTCCTCTCTCCTGTCCCAGCATGCTCCCTGGCTAGATGGCTCCAGTCCACTACTAACAGCTGCTGCCTCAGCCCTTGGGCCCGGCCCCACTGTACTGGACTGGAGGTTCCACTGCTCCAGGCCCAATGCCCCAGCCCAGCCCAGGAAAAGAACCCTACTGCTCTGACTGGCACTACAATTACATACCAGGTTATCTGAGACAAACCTTCACTCTGTTACATAACACACCAAAAATGAAACATAATTACAGTAGAATAGCAGAGGCAGAAATGTGCTGTTTCATTTTGGTATGTTATGAGCGACTTACAGTTAGTGAATACATATATATATTTTTTTTTTCATACTGGTCCCCCGTGGGAATCGAACCCACAACCCTGGCGTTGCAAACGCCATGCTCTATCAACTGAGCTACATCCCTGCCGGCCATTCCCTCCCCTACCCTGGACAACGCTAGGCCAATTGTGCGCTGCCCATGAGTCTCCCGGTCGCGGCCGGCTGCGACAGAGCCTGGATTCGAAGCAGGATCTCTAGTGGCACAGCTAGCACTGCGATGCAGTGCCTTAGACCACTGCGCCACTCAGGAGACTTTCAGATTTGATAAAGCATTGAGAAGGTACTTCAGAGCAGATTGAGAGATTCTTCCAGAGAGGTCAATACCTGAACAGTTGACCTCACCTCCATTAGAAAGGCAGGGAGTAATTACTTCTGTATTTTACAGTGTTACCGGACGATTTGGAGAAAGAAGTGATATTATGTATAAGAGCGCTGTGGGTGTTGGGACTGGACTGAGTGTATCTGTGCTTGCGCTACAGTGAGGTTCAGTGCCTCTGGAGGTTATTATTACATAACAGCAGGCCATCTCCATGACTCTCCCTCCAGATACAATGACATACTGCTCTGCCTCTCTGTCTTTCTCACTAACAGTCATCCCGGACACTGTATCACTTCTTTCAGGGGATGCATCATGTTCATATCACATTCTTTGGGATTTGTTTCCCCTCCTTGGACCTCAATGATGAGAAATGCTTCCATTAGAGATTGTTTTGAAAAACTGAAATGTGCTATTATGTGAACACTCCAGTCTCATTTAACACCTGATTTACTTAACAAAAGGCACATCTCAATAGGTGGTCCAGGTGAGTCATGACATGGCACAGGTAGGGGGTGGGCCTTTCCTCTTTTGTTCTCTATTGCTCCTCTATTGTCCCTAAAGCAAGGGGGAGGCTGATGGACTTCTAATCAAACTTCCCATCAATGCCTTCCTCCTTGAAGTTTGCAGTTGTCTATAAAAAAACACTATTTTGCTCAAACATATTTGTTTACCCTTTAGTGTGTGTACTTTACTGTCTTTATACTTGGGATATCACTTTAACAGGAAAAGTTCAAAAATCACTAGAGGACATCTTTAAGTTAATAGGAAATAAGGACCTTGAAAATCCTTCTGAAAATCCTATTTTTTGCAAAGGATGCAGAATATTATGCAGAGATGTGTCTAGCGGGAGAAGTGAGGGATGTCTAAATGGAGTGGGAGGCCCTCAGGGTCCTCCTCATTACCTGCTGAAGTGGAGGTGAAAGCACTTTTGAGATGAGTCAGAGTGGAAGGCTTAATTGCTGTACAGAGCTAGGTGAGCCCTGACTGAAGCCAAATATGGGTAACACAAGGACATACACCGAGTGTACAAAACATTAGGAACACCTGGTCTTACCATGACAGACTAACCAGTTGAATCCAGGTGGAAGCTATGATCCCTTATTGATGTCACTTGTTAAATCCACTTCAATCAGTGTAGATGAAGGGGAGGAGACAGGTAAAATAAGGATTTTTAACCCTCGAGACAATTGAGACATTGTGTATGTGTGCCATTCAGAGGATGAACGGGCAAGACAACAGATTTAAGTGCCTTTGAACAGGGTATGGTAGTAGGTGCCAGGCGCACCGGTTTGTGTCAACATTTACATTTCAGTCATTCAGCAGACGCTCTTATCCAGAGCGACTTACTGTTAGTGAGTGTATACATTATTTTTTTCATACTGGCCCCCTGTCAAGAACTGCAATGCTGTCCCAAAGGACATCCAGCCAACTTGACATGTGTGGGAAGCACTGGAGTCACCATGGGCCAGCATCCCTGTGGAACGCTTTCGAAACCTTGTAGAGTCCATGACCCGACAAATTGAGGCTGTTTAGAGGGCAAAAAGGGGTGCAACTCAGTATTAGGAAGGTGTTCTTAATGTTTTGTACACTCAGTGTATAGCCACTGTTGGCTGAATAGGAAATTACTTGCTTTTAAAAACAGACATGCAGGTGTATACTTTTAAATTCATGTAAATCAATAATGGTCTAAAACTGACACAAGGATCTTATCTTCTACAGACATACCATCATCCTGATTAGTGCACTCTGGACTGCAGTGTTCTTCCCCTTGGACATCTGGATCAGCCTGCAGCAGTGGGCCATTTCTCAGAGGAACATGACAGTGTGGATGGTACAAGGGAGAATCTGCTGTTACCCTGCCCAAATTCCCATTCCTCACTTGAAGCACAGGAGTGCTTTTATTAGTGGAGAGTATTTATAGGATACATACATCCCCATATATGTACAGCTTGCCATGTAACTATTCAGGTACTCACAAGACCTGCATCCCACCCATTAGCCTTGAACTGTACTAATTAACCACATCTGCTGTATTCATTATCCAGGGCTGTCATCTGCAGCTTTCCAATATGCTGACACAGGCTGCGCTACAAGGCCATCAGTACTGTCCAAATGCATCAACATCCTTCAGCTCCCCTAAGGGAGGCAACCTCTACACTGAACTACAGGCAAGCAAAGTCCTTTAAAGTCCATTTCATTAAAGCCATGTTGACCTTGACAAGTTTTAACTTCCAACAGGTGCAACTGCATATAGATCCCCTGACTAGCTAGTGCATTAAAGCAGATTATCCATTATATTGATAAGATACTAACTCTAGCAGGCACGAACACTGAAAAGAAAGGTCTTCAAATGGAAGGCAAGATTTAGAAACATTCTTGCCAATGAGGGCAGATCATGTTAACAGGATAGTTCCCATAGCCAAAATTGGCTTTATAAAATTCATGAACATTTGCCTTAATTTTAAATCACAATGTAACTTCTTGGGCAACCTGACCAAATTCACAAGTTATATATCCACTCATTGAAAGCAAGTCTAAGGGGAAGATCTGTTCTGTGCGCCATTTCAATGCATCCTGTTCTTAAGTTTAGTTTGAGTCTTTGGTTTTGTACACTAGTGCCAAACAATATTTTCAGTTATGGAAACGATATTTCAGCAGTTTAGGTGGTACAAAGACTATACTTTAGCCACTGAAATCAGCTAACTATTTGAATTTTAGCAACCAGGAAATAGCGGAGCCTTTTCTGCATCTTTACGGTTAGGCATAAAGATGCCATGTGTTCTGGGTTAGGTGAAATTACATTAGAAATACTCAAGGTTTATGACTTTGTGTTAGTGAAAAGGCACGACAGTATTTTCCCCCATCAAAGTTGCTGGGGTGTCACCCGTCCTACTTATCAGGACACGCTTAACTTAATCATTATGAAACAGTCATTTGATCAAGCCTTATGTAGCAAATAAGCCATTCCATTTTTAGTTAAACAAATTCACTCATTGACCTTCATACAAGAACTCTGATTGCTGGGCCCAGTTATGCCACACACATCCCCTCTTCCTCAGATTCAAGTTTGAGACAATCCCTATGCAATTCATAAGAAACGAGAAAGGAGTTATTTCACTTTATTTATTAAATAACTCTGCAGCGTTGTATGAGGACTCACACCACCAGACAGAGCTTGAGGACAGAGCCTTTAGGCAGTCTCTTCCTTCGCAATGCGGTCCTTCTTCAGTGGTCCCTGTAGAAGGAAATGGAGAAGTGGTCAGTAACAATGCCTATACAGAGTTTAATAAGCAACCTCTACTCCATCTGTGGCTCTAGGGGTGATGTTCCCAGAGAGTGAACAGGGAACAGCAAAAAAAACGATGCCGCTCCCCTGCCTCACTGAAGTTTGATCTAGCACCTGAATGGAACCCAAATTCATACCAAGAGTGAACCAGGTTACGATAAGTGCACTACAGGCTTAGGGGACTGAGCTGCAAAGCCAGTTTTATGTGAACGGATATACAAAAGTGTTTTGGGCTGAAGCTAGGGTGGGTCCACTACATTAATCCAGGGGGCTTTCGAAATAGAGTGAAGAGAAGGGACAAGTGAATGCCAAGTCATGGAAAAGGGAAACTGAACGCACCATGAACGCCTTCTTTTCCTCCACTGTCTGGAAGCGGCCGTGGCCAAACTTGGAGGTGGTGTCGATGAACTTGAGGTCGATCTTCTCCGTGGCACGACGGCTCGACTGCACCAACAGAGACTGAAAACAGAAGTTAAAAATCAATTAGATTATACAGTGATACGTTCCTTTACCGGGGCATACAATATGCCATTTAGCAGACGCTTTTATCCAAAGCGACTTACAGTCATGCGTGCATACATTTTTTGTGTATGGGTGGTCCCGGGGATCGAACCCACTACCTTGGCGTTACAAGCGCCGTGCTCTACCAGCTGAGCTACAGAGGACCACAAACAAATGCCATAGCGTCAGTATACGTCAGAACTCTACAGCCATTCATTCAGTCCACACAGCGAGGGAACCACCCATATTTAATATGTACCTATTCAGTTTATTCATTACCTTATAAGTACCTAAATCCCAACTGACAATGCAAATAATGCATTGGAATAACCATGCATAAGATAGAATGGTCTCCCTTTCCTCACCTTGCGTAGGGTTAGCACCCTCTTCTTGACTCCAATCGTGCAGCCCTTCAGCATGACAAAGTCATTGGTCACCTCTCCGTAGTGGACGAAGCCACCCAAAGGGGTGATGCTCTTGTTGGACAGATCGTACTCAGTGGCAGCGTTGTTCTTCACCAGCTTGCCATCCTTGGTGTGGTAGCCTTGGCCGATCTTGTAGATCTTCTTGTTGATCTCTGTGCGGTGGTGGTAGCCCTTCTGACCAGCGCGGGCCACAGAGAAGGCCACACGGGAGGGATGCCAGGCACCAATACAGGCCACCTTACGCAGACCACGATGAGTCTTACGGGGGAGCTTCTTTGTGTGCCAACGGCTGGTGACACCTAAAGGGGAAAATTCAATGTTTAGTACCTGGGTACCTTACATGAATAACTAAACCATCATGATTGGTTAACTACATGGTCATTAGTGGGTTGTGGTCTCAGAAGGAAGGCAGCATGGAATTTATCCTCATGCGTGTCGGACGTCATGCATGACGCAGTGTTCCGTGGTCTCATCACTGACACAAAACAGTTCTTAAGATACATACCTTTGTATCCGTGACCCTTTGTGACACCGATGACATCAATCATCTCATCCTGGGTGAAGACGTTGGTGATGGGGATAGACTGCTCCAGCTTCTCACGGGCCCAGTCCACCTTGTCAGAGATGGAGCCTCCATTCAGCTGCACCTCCATCAGGTGGGACTTCTTCTGCCTCAGGGGCAGCAGCCTCATCTGGAGGGAGAGAGGCAAGTGAGCCTGCAGCTAGTCCTGGGACAAGTATACTAGTACAAACACTATGTATTCAACCCAAAATTGGGTTAAAATGTAATAGTAGGGACATGTGGTCTCAGAAGGAAGGCAGCATGGAATGTATCCTCATGCGTGTCGGACGTCATGCCTGACGCAGTGTTCCGTGGTCTCATCACCGACAGTCAAAGGGAGATTCGATTCATTAAAACTATGGGGGCATTGCAGTGAGAGTATTCCATCCTGCTCAGACTCACCTGGGTGTGGGCGATGATGCGGACGACCTGGCAGTACTTCTTCATGGAGGCAAAGTCCTTCTCCAGCTGCTTCTTGCCCTCATCATCCTGCCACTTCTTGCAGTACTTTGTGAAGGCCTTCTTCTTGGACTTGTACCTGAGAGCATGCAGCGTGACCGGAGGGTAGGGGAGAAGAGGCACACGGGTTGGCACAGGTCCTTCATAACCCCAGGGGGCCAGCGGAAGAACACTGCACTCAGCTGCTTGCCCAACCTTCACAGGGGCGACGGGGGCAGTTACAGCTTCAGAAGGGGTTTCGGCTCATGGCACGGTTTCTAAGAAGCACTTTCCACCGGCCAGAGGAGCCCGGAGCTCATCAGGGTACGAGGCACCCGAGCGGAGCTGCCACCAGGGGGCAACGGATGTTAAGACTTGCTCAGTAAAACACATGACATGTTTTATACACCGAGCAGCAACATGTTTCAAGGCTCATATCTAAATGTAATTATACACTACATTCAACACGTTTGTGTAGATAAAAACTCTCATGTGTAGAATGGCTCACCAGTTCCTGTAGAAGCGACGCTTGCACTCATCACTGACGTGCTCAGCGAAGATAGTCTTGAAGGAGCGCAGGCCACGGGGGGTCTCGACGTAGCCCACAACACCCACTACAACCATGGGAGGAGTCTCCACAATGGTCACTGCCTCGACCACTTCCTTCTTGTTCACCTCTGTAGGGAAAGAAGTAGTCAGTATAAGTTGTACAGTAGATTTAAAATTGCAAAATGTCAATGCTTATTGACTGCGCTCAGTGCTCGACATTCAGCAAGGGTTAGACCCAATATGTCCGCCCGTCGAGGGGATCATCATATGCAGAAAATAAGATTAGGGTCTGAACTACAGTAATGCAAGATCGAAACTAATATGGCTCATTATGTATTCATAAATCGCAAAACAATAATATTCACCCAGTCAATTCAACTTTGTACAAAACTGCATGAAGCCAAATACTCACTTGAGCCAGGTCTGTCGACTTCACGCACGATGTGAGTCATGCCAGCCTTGTAGCCAAGGAAGGCAGTCAAGTGGACAGGCTTGCTGGGGTCATCCTTGGGGAAACTCTTCACCTTACCACGGTGACGTCTGCTCCTCTTACGGGGCAGGAAGCCCAGGGATCCGTGGCGGGGTGCCGAAAACTTACGGTGGGACTGTGAAGATAACGCTATTTAGTACATCATCCATGAGGCATACAAAACTAAATGAACGCACGTCAGTATGTCAGAACTCGACATTCAACAGGAACAGCACGAGGCCATCCATTCTGTCCGCCCGTCGAGGGAATCATCACCCATATTTAATGATTTGTACCTATTGGAAGTATAATCAATAACCGCAATAGCAACCTGGCTAAGTAAATCCCAACTGACGATGAAAATAGCGTGTTGGAATAACCATGTGTAACGTTAGTAGCTAACGAGGTTCGGAGGACCTCAACTAGCTACTGATAGGGTGGGTTAATGAGTGTCAGCGTATCACCTAGTTAGCTTAGCTCATCCAGGCCTCAAATATAAAGACAGGGCGCGTTAACGGTAGAAACTTAACTAGCACGTTGTCAATTATATACACATTTGATTGTGAACAAACGTTACTAAAAAATAAACTCTTCATTTTGTAATCAAGCATGTTAGGCCTCAGTGTATCAGCCATTTTAAACTACCGGTATGCCGACGATTACTGCATATATTCATTCTGTAATCAATCTAAAACAGTGTTATGCTCAGGTCTAATATCATACAACTGTGTTTATTACAGATAGAAACATGTTACGTATTGGCTTAGACAGGGAAAGTATAAGGATTGCGAAGATGCCGAATGGATTGAAAGCGCAAGTCCCTCATAAGAAAGTCAAACTCACCATTTCGTCTCCGAGCCGATTGAAAGAGGCCTATGGAAGGGGGATGTTCGGTTTTTATACAAGGACGTGATCCGTCACGTGATTAACGTTGCCAACCAGCATCACGGCTCCGCCTTCCTGCTGTACAAACACTCGATCAAAATCTACAATTCTAGTGTAACAGAAATGGCAAAAGCTCTTGTGATTGGTGCAACACCTTTTTTTATTTTACAACTGTCCACCTCAATGTCTTTGATTCCAATTAGGCATTCTGTGAGATGATCTGTATCCCTCGTTGACCTCATAGTCCCGTGTAGCTCAGTTGGTAGAGCATGGCGTTTGCAACGCCAGGGTTGTGGGTTCGTTTCCCACAGGGGACCAGTATGAAAAAAAAAAATGTATGTATGCACTCACTACCTGTAAGTTGCTCTGGATAAGAGCGTCTGCTAAATGACTAAAATGTAAAATTGACTGAATAAAAAAAACTAGTAAAACCAGTCACAGCATATAAAACATTCTATACATCCATGTAAGGTACACGAGAAATAATATAACACACAAATTAAAGATCAAGGCAACAACTCACTTCTGTCCAGTAACCTAGCTAGTAGATTTCCAGATCATTCTGAAATGCTGAAAAAAATTAACATTCTACATAAAACTATATAGACTCAGCCCAGTTCTGAAATGCATCAACAGAAACGCTGCATATATTCAATCAAGTAAAAAAAAAAAGTAATGTCACCCCCTTATAGACAGCATAGTTATGAGAATTTGTCAGCTGTTTTGTCTTAAGTATTTCATTTGATTGAATAACATCTACCAAATTAACCCATCAAAAAAGTGGCACTTTACCCAGTTCTCATCCTCTGGGAATGATCCATGGTAACCCACCTACATATGTATTGTATTTATTCCCATCACAAAAAAATGAACATTGGATAGTAGGCTACCATTGGGCAGATGACAAATCAATATGAGAGAATGCTACACTAAGAATAGACAAGTATCCACTCAACCATGCATTTGGTCTGGGCTAGTAGGTGAAGGGAAGGTATTGATTGAATGGATTACTTTGCATGCAGTTTTTTTTAGGGTTGTTGTTAGAAGTGTTCTCCCAGGTATGAACAGCAGGGGGCTGTACTAGCAAAGATGAACAACTCCTTTAGTGTGCAAGGAAAGCATGCCAAAGTCTGAATAAGCCTTAGTCACAGGGCCGTTCCCCCACAGTTCTGAGTTTAACTAATGGATACATTCATGGATACACGTATGACAGTGTTCACAGTAGTAGGAGCAGCCTCCCTGTGGGCCAATAGAAAGGGCTAGAAAACAGACAAAAAAAGTCCATTCCTCATGTCTTCGCCTTTGTCTGAATTGAGAGACAGACAGACTCCTCCAGGGTGATTTGAAGCTCAGGTGTCTAGGTGCAAAGTCTTGACTAGGAGCAGTCTTGCACAGCGTGCATGGGCAGCTGCTAATAGTCTCTTCCCATTCTGCTCCAGAGGAAGGCAGCCAACCCTGCTTCTCCACACACACAGCCCCTCAGCAGGCCTGTTGCTCCCGGTCAAGGTTCATCTTCTGGAAGAAGGTCTTCCCAAACTCATAGGTGCTGATCATGACAGCACAGGCTGGGGCCACTTTGATCACCCTGGGTAGGAAGCCTGAGGGGGATACAGAGACACAATTTACGTGATTAGTCCTCCATTCAGACTGCTTTCTATACCAGCGCTTCAAACATTGCAAATATATACTTTTTATGCATCCTTTTGGACTTACCTGCAAAGAGCCCCCTGTAGCCCGATTCAGCCCAAATTCCCCTCATGATATGCAATGTGGATGTGGGGTTCTTCACAGGAACTAGGAGGAAGGGGAGAAAGACAGATTTAGTGGGCAATCCTACGCACTATCAGAGAGGAGAAAATACCTTTTCACAGATGTGAATGGCCTTAAGGGCGCATAAGACCCTGTAGTTACACACCTCCCAGTGTCTCCATCTCTCCCAGTTGGATCTGTCTCCGAGTCTTCACTACGTCAAAAGGCAGGGTCATGATGGCAGCCACCTGGGACAGAAGACAATAGACACACTCTCTATAAGCAATACCCAGTGAAATCAACAGCAATACCCAGTGAAATCAACAGCAATACCTAGTGAAATCAACATAACATACTGCTGATCAGTAGATCAGGGGTTAAGTTATGTAACTAGACAGGAGAAACACTGTAAAAACAGGCTTTAACCAGGGGTCCACCTGTTATCAATTATCTACAGTCTAATGGTTTACAGTCACAATGACACAGCAATTCTCTATTTTTTTATGGTTTCAACTCAACCCTTATAATAACTCATGAGAGGAATGAGGAACTGCCATGATTTGATAGGGAACTTCCTGTGTGTCCACTTCTCTCACATATGAGAGAATCTCTCTAAACAAACAAAGGCCAGTTTTCAGCAGGGAGACACAGCAGGGAGACACATTTGGCCTCCATCCGTCATAAATACCGATAACAGCTCTGTTACAACTGGCTTTCTCATCCTGGTGAGAGATAGCACACTGAATTTTAATCATATTTTTTTTTACCCCATATGTAACTCTGTGTTGTTGTTTTTATCGCACTGCTTTGCTTTATCTTGGCCAAGTCGCAGTTGTAAATGAGAACTTGTTCTCAACTGGCTTACCTGGTTAAATAAAGGTAAAATAAATAAAAAATATGTCAATGTGTTCATTGATCTACCCATAATAATAAAACACACCTCCGCCTCACTTACAGTAAACTGAATAGAACAGGAGTAGAAACAAGAGTTTGACTATTTAACTGTACACACCTTGCAAAGTACAAACCATCCATCATCTTCTTTATTACATCTAATGAAGACGTCTTCTTTAGATACATTGTAAATTCCCACAGTTAGAGGTATTAATGAGATACTCACAGCTCCAGAGATGGCCCCTGCTGTGAAGCTGATGGAGAAGGTGGCCTGAGACACATCGTACTGATCACACAGCTGGGCCTTCACCAGCTCATAGTTGAACCAGTACAGGGCTGCACACACACACAGAAAAACAAAAACAGTCAGGTTGTAAAGTCACTGAGAAACATTATCACACCGAAGATAGTTGTATTATTCACCCACACAGGCGGTCTTCATTCTGTAACCCCCAACTACCATCAACCACTCCAACTAAGCTCTAGCAGTGACAGATAGATGGTTAGTGAAATAAGAAGACATAACGTCCATGGAGGTGAAGTCTCACCTGAGAAGGGGACGTCTCGTAGGACGGTGGGTCCCCAGCCCCTCCACAGGGACAGCCAGCCGTCCTGGGCAACACTAGAGCGGATACACACCCTCAGCTCGCTGTAGGTCAGCTTCCGGGACTGCATCTTGGTGCGCACCAGCTCCAACGGGCTGATCACACTCACTGCTCCCACTGGAGAACACAGAGAGACGGGGGAGAGAGGAAGAGAGTGAGTCAACGGAAGAGGGGCAGCAACAAACACAAGATGCTACAGAAGGGAGCAATATAATAATGACTATTATACATCTACATTCTTAGTGTGGTGTGTGACAACTGAACTGTATCAATCAAGATGTAATCAACTTCCAGATTGTGACCCCCCCGTCCCATGTAGTCCACTTACGTCTAGCGAGACCCCCTGCCACGAGGGGGATGTAGTTGCCTTGGAACCCCATGCCGTAGCACAGTAAGTCTCTGAGCTGGTCATAGCAGGTGAAGTAGATGACCGTGGCAGGCACCGCCATCACCCTGTACACAAACAGGAAGAGAGACTGCCGATCTCAAAGCTCTGCAAGCTGTTACATGATTTGGTGCAAAACAACAAACTGAAATTGATTGCATATAAAGTCATAGTTCTGAGTTCTCTCTTTTATACAATCAAGTACAGATAGCTCTTGTAACCGTTCTTTATTTTGCTATATTTGATTTATTACAAATACATGTACTTGAAATACCCCAGTGACTCACAGTGTGGGAGGCAGCCCGCTCCACAGAGACCTGACCCCCTCGTGGCGCGTGATCTTCACAAAAGCATCCTGGGAAAAACAAACACCACACTGTGTTTGTCCTTGGAAACTGTTCCAAAAAAAGTTCCAAATAAATACTAACATTTGTGAGTTCAAAGACAGGTAGTTCCCCATCCAGTGGTTTAACTATGTCAAACCAGGTGATGTGGTGCTGTGTTGGCGGGAGTGAATAAGAGGGTCCTGAGTCTCTTACCAGGGTGCCACTGAAGTGGGTTGGTGTTTTGTACCAGCTGGTGCAGCTGGCCCCATTCTGACACACATAGATGTGATCCATCAGGCCATTACAATACAGGAAGCACTTCCCTGAGAGACAAACACAAAAACAGGGTCACCAAAACATAACCATACTGGTTAATATGTTACTGTATTAGACATGATGCTCTACTTCTATCTACACTGTAGATAGGTAAATGTGAACCTATTGGGAGTAATGCCAAATGTTGGTGTCTCTGTAGGTAATGTGTAATTACAGTATGTCCGTTTGATACATCTATAGCTTCTAGTTCTGTCAAATGAATGGATATTCAATAGTTCTATAAAATAATGCCATTGGTAAAAATAAAATACTTGAACAGTTTGTTTTTCAGTCAGTAGTTCAATATAAGTTAATGTGAGGGTGTCCATGTCCATGACAGAGGTTAGATAAGCTATTAATAACAGAGGTAATGGCAATGACCGATCAGACAGACACTGGGGACGATAACACCAATGCTGCTTTCAGCCAAGGCCTGCTCTGGACTACTAGTTTTGGGCTTATTTTAGGTATTGGCAAATGGTCAATCCAAGGCAAAGGCAGATTACAAATGTTTGAGGAGAAATCTATAAACAAACAAATGTGCTCCTCTAGTAATAGAAAAGGACATAGTAAAATCGGTATTACACAGTATAACCTATGAAGTACTTGTTTGTTTCTTTGAGATTCATAAACACAAGCACCACAAGGCAAAATTTGATATCGGTAGCTATGAATCATGTTGAATTCTTTGAAGTACCAGAAAGTACTCATTGTTACCACATCAGTTGGTTGTAAAGTTCAACATGCTAATACTAACTGGGCTATTTTTCAGTTGTTTTATGTATCAATGTTCAGAGTGAGTCATGGTTGGTAGAGTGGTGTGTGTGTGTGTGAGAGAGGTGAGAGAGAGAGAGGAGAGAGAGGAGTGAGAGAGAGCCAAGGCTGTGGCCCATATAATCATTCACAATCATCAGCTGAGAGTATGAGGGTACACTGAGGAAGAGTATGAGGGTACACTGAGGAAGAGTATGAGGGTACACTGAGGAAGAGTATGAGGGTACACTGAGGAAGAGTATGAGGGTACACTGAGGAAGAGTATGAGGGTACACTGAGGAAGAGTATGAGGGTACACTGAGGAAGAGTATGAGGGTACACTGAGGAAGAGTATGAGGGTACACTGAGGAAGATAGACAGAGGGTACATATAATTGCCAGGGACTTCAAAATAAATTTGCTCAGACTATGTTTAAAGTGCATTTGTTTTGTTTTCCCAGGAAACCCAGTTTGTTAGCAGGTCATATTGGCAGACTGGCAGAGCAGTGCCAGAAAGGCACATGTAGTCAGTCAGACTGGGCAAAGTCTGGGCATGCAGCGAGCGGCGCCGGCAGGTTATACTCACATTTGGAGGGGCGGATTACACCACTCCATGAAGCGGAGTCAGCAGCTAAAGCTATGAAACAAAGCAAAGAAAGAGACAGAAACACAGAGATGGAGAGACAATGAAAGAGCACACAAGACACACAAAATAAGCATTTGAGCAGAGAAAAGCTAAAGCATGTCTCATATTCCACTAAATGTAGCCCGACATGGCTGCGTAAGGTCAACATTGCAGACATAAGGACTTCTAAACCCACTTTACCTTAACCCCTCTTCTATTATTTAGGCTTAGGGAGCAGACAGGGGCAAGAGGCTGAATGCAGTCTCTCACGGGGAAAGCAATGACAGTGCAGTTGAGTTTTCAGGGGTGGGGAGTGGGGACTTAAACATCTAACACTTAGGCTATACCCGCAATGGTAAGAAGCAATAAGCAGACTCATAGTATAAGCAGCGAATGTTGTCTGTTAATGTTCTACCTTGATAGAATGGTGTTTGCTGGGCCTGCAGCCGTATCTTCACAACGTCCAGCGGTGTGACTGTGAAAGACAGACAGATTCAATTATACTGATCTAATTACATCCATCATGGGTCTCGTCAATGAGGATGTGCATACACGAGTGCGAGCATGTGTCTGTGTGTTGTGCAATGTGTGTGTGGAGCCAGGGAAATGGAATAGAGTATTCTACAAGAACAGCGTCTTCTCTGCAAAACATCTGGGGGGGGGGGGGGGGGGTTCTACACACGAGGATTGGACACTTGTTCCGCAGGCTTTGGAGTCTGGTCAGATTAGCCAGACCTCAACAACCTGAGCTCAGATGGACACAGACTGCCTCTGAAGCGGTTGTGGCAGACTCCTGTGTTGTCGTGGAGGCTTCTGTCATCTCATCCTAGTTCTATAGTTTCCATGGCGCCTAGTGGCAGCCTAGGCAGAGAGCTCATATAAATTATCTACATATTATAATTATTTGTATTTATTTTTTACAAACCTTTTATTTTTCCTCAGCTAAAAGCGTGCAGATCAAGTCTTGATATCATGAATTGGAATCCAGCCTGTAACTTGATGAAAATCAGCGTGTTCAACAAGCTAGCTAATGTGTTTTCATTAGAATTATACCTACTGACTTTGGGTTGTTTTTCACCAACGCAGAGTTGACAGTGGGCCAGCTGTTTAATTGCTCAGGGGGGTACTTCTGAAGTAAGGAGAGGGCTGTACTCTCTGGGGAGCTCATCATAGAGTCCCAATATAGAGAAGCTGCAAACAGCTGGGACGCCCTGCCACCACCTCCGCTGACTATGAGCTTCCAGATCCTCTCATGACCGTGGCTACCAATCTGCTGGAGGCTTCAAGAAGCACTCAAACAGACTTGATATACAGTGGGAAGAACAAGTATTTGATACACTGCCGATTTTGCAGGTTTTCCTACTTACAAAGCATGTAGAGGTCTGTACTTTTGATCATAGGTACACTTCAACTGTGAGAGACGGAATCTAAAACAAAAATCCAGAAAATCACATTGTATGATTTTTAAGTAATTAATTTGCATTTTATTGCATGACATAAGTATTTGATCACCTACCAACCAGTAAGAATTCCGGCTCTCACAGACCTGTTAGTTTTTCTTTAAGAAGCCCTCCTGTTCTCCACTCATTACCTGTATTAACTGCACCTGTTTGAACTCGTTACCTGTATAAAAGACACCTGTCCACACACTCAATCAAACAGACTCCAACCTCTCCACAATGGCCAAGACCAGAGAGCTGTGTAAGGACATCAGGGATAAAATTGTAGACCTGCACAAGGCTGGGATGGGCTACAGGACAATAGGCAAGCAGCTTGGCGAGAAGGCAACAACTGTTGGTGCAATTATTAGAAAATGAAAGAAGTTCAAGATGACGGTCAATCACCCTCGGTCTGGGGCTCCATGCAAGATCTCACCTTGTGGGGCATCAATGATCATGAGGAAGGTGAGGGATCAGCCCAGAACTTCACGGCAGGACCTGGTCAATGACCTGAAGAGAGCTGGGACCACAGTCTCAAAGAAAACCATTAGTAACACACTACGCCGTCATGGATTAAAATCCTGCAGCGCACGCAAGGTCCTCCTGCTCAAGCCAGCGCATGTCCAGGCCCGTCTGAAGTTTGCCAATGACCATCTGGATGATCCAGAGGAGGAATGGGAGAAGGTCATGTGGTCTGATGAGACAAAAATATAGGTATTTGGTCTAAACTCCACTCGCTGTGTTTGGAGGAAGAAGAAGGATGAGTACAACCCCAAGAACACCATCCCAACCGTGAAGCATGGAGGTGGAAACATCATTCTTTGGGGATGCTTTTCTGCAAAGGGGACAGGACGACTGCACCGTATTGAGGGGAGGATGGATGGGGCCATGTATCGCGAGATCTTGGCCAACAACCTCCTTCCCTCAGTAAGAGCATTGAAGATGGGTCGTGGCTGGGTCTTCCAGCATGACAACGACCCGAAACACACAGCCAGGGCAACTAAGGAGTGGCTCCGTAAGAAGCATCTCAAGGTTCTGGAGTGGCCTAGCCAGTCTCCAGACCTGAACCCAATAGAAAATCTTTGGAGGGAGCTGAAAGTCTGTATTGCCCAGCGACAGCCCCGAAACCTGAAGGTCTGTATGGAGGAGTGGGCCAAAATCCCTGCTGCAGTGTGTGCAAACCTGGTCAAGACCTACAGGAAACGTATGATCTCTGTAATTGCAAACAAAGGTTTCTGTACCAAATATTAAGTTCTGCTTTTCTGATGTATCAAATACTTATGTCATGCAATATAATGCAAATTCATTACTTAAAAATCATACAATGTGATTTTCTGGATTTTTGTTTTAGATTCCGTCTCTCACAGTTGAAGTATACCTATGATAAAAATTACAGACCTCTACATGCTTTGTAAGTAGGAAAACCTGCAAAATCGGCAGTGTATCAAATACTTGTTCTCCCCACTGTAACTGATCTAGCTACTGTTGTAGCCTATATTTATTTTTAAATTACTTGTGTATTTTGCTTAACAAGCGCTTTGAGATTCTGTCTGTAATGAAAAGCGCTAGAAAAGTTTAATAAAAGTATTATGATTACATTGAGGACAACACTCCTCGGTATCAGGCAGATGCAGGTACGGCAGCACTGGGCTGGCCTGAGGCTGCAGGGGAAACTTGCTACTCTGGACTGTGCTGACCATTCAGTCTCCCACTCCATGTATCAGAATGATGTTGTTAGCGAGGCCATTCTCACCTTTACCGTTAAGGTGAGGTTACAGGTTCTACCTACAAAATACAATCTAGCACTCTGGTACCCTGCAAACCATGACCCATTTTGTATTTTACATGAGTCAAACGTAATAGTCTGTTGCCCATGTTGTGACTCGTTGCTGTTCATAGTACAAGGACCTGTACATTGGTAGACATGACCGCCTTGTCGACCTGATAGCCAGTGAGGTGAGACAGGTAGTCTCACCAACAGCACACATCCATAAACATTCTTGTGTAAGTTGGTTTCATGATGACATGTTTTCCTGTGTACCAAATATGCCAGATATTGTTGTTGTGGGAGGCCAGAGGGAGGTGCTCATATGACTGCTACATGGAGCAGGCCTCTGCTGACAAGCTTCTTAAATACCAGCCCCTTGTATCATGCTTGTATCACCAGCAACCAGTAAACAAGTTGTAATGTCTGTAATGTCCAGGAGGGGTCATTCTGTACAGACAGTATCGAATATAACTTTGTTACAATTGACAGTTACAGCTGATTTCAGGATTGTTTATCAATTCGCTCTCCTTAAATATTTGTAATCTGATTTATCCGTTTCAGTCTCTGAATTGTTTAATCTTACTTTTTGCTGCCAGCTCCTGATATCAGGGCATAAAATCTATAATCTGTCTCCTGAATTTGCCTAGTAGGTATGGCGCACATGCGCACAAGGTCCGAGTTCGTTTTCCCTGGCTAAACCAGCTGGCTACTGAACCGTGGTAGTTTTTGTCCTCATTGCCAAACTTCATAAACACTGCACCCTCAACTTCAAAACTCCTTTGCTAGTTATAATTAGCTGGAAAGAAACTTTTAAATGAATTTATTGTTTTATTGAATAGTCATGACTTGTTTGTGAAATCTGTCGTAAGACAACGGTGGTGAAGGATATCATTGCTACTTAACGCAGATCCAAGTTCAGTTTTGAGATCCACCGGTGTCATTGGCGTAGGGTTAGCTGGACGTTTCTGACTGGTCTTGGAACTGTGACAACAGGCAGCCCCTCCCCGCTTGGCTCGATGGGATATGTAGTGATTCTGCCAACACAGCCAGATATGTACACAGTCTTGTACCTTTAACCTTTTTTACACTGACTATCGTGTTTGTTGATAAAATCGGACTTTATTAATATTATAAGTAATCTAGGGAATGTAACGAGTTAATTGACAAGAAAAAATTGAAACTCTACAGAGCGCAATGACTACAATGAATGTAGGGCTGACCCCATTTAGTCGACAGTTTGGTCGATAGGCTGTTGGTCATCATTATAATAATAAGTAATTACATAATTAGTAGGCTTAGTATAGCAGCCTTGTATAACCACCATCGAGCTGTAGGCCTAAGACCGTAACTTACTTAGGCCTTTATTTCAATAGTTATATAGGCTACTGCATCAATCAATCAATCATGAATTAGTTCATGCCATCACACAGCATACGAGACATTCATGATTTGAAATGGAATCAAGCATTTTAGCTTTAAAATAAACTAAAGCGACCCTTGAATAATTAGCGTAAACAATAAATAAACATTCCATTTTGGAAAATTGCATTCAGGAATGAATGTTGACTATTACAGCAAAGACTAAAAACACAGGCTTTACAAAAAAACATTACAACACTCTCTGGTACGCTTAGAATGTATTTAGTGTTGTTTACAATGTTCCAAACGGTCAGAAAAAGTATATTATATCTAACAGCACCTGTTTGGCACACATAATATGCATGCAGCGCTTGCGCCTTACCTTATTATTCTTGATTTTCCATAACTAGTCAAATGTATTCCACACATCTGATTTCTCCTTTACCTGCTAAGCAACCAGTAAACATTCCCCTGTTTCGAGCTTATTTGTCACGTCCTCTGCATTCATTTTGATGTCAATGTGTTATGGTGTTCAGAATTTGTTACAACCAATATATTGATGTGATTATGACAGGCTATAGGTCAGGCCCTATTGGTCACGTGCGATGCATACATTTCACATAAAGAGAGCAAGGGTTGAGGGAATGGGGAATGTTTTTCCTAAACAAATTAGGAATTTCAGTAACAGAACTTTTCAGTCAGAAATAGCTGTAATTATGTTGCAGCTTCAGCAACACAGATAAACACTGTTGATGTTGATGTGGTCACTGCAGCAGGGAGGAGCGAGAGAGACAACGGGTGCTAGTCACAGTCACTCGCTGTCTTTTTTTTTTTAAACATGTGTGAGCCCGGAACAATCAAATCAATTACGGTCAGACTCAGTCTAGTCATTTGTGTGTCTTAATTATTTCATCACACAGTGCGCTTAAAGAATCAGACAAGCTCAGTGCATATAGTGTATTTGATTAAAATACATAGGATGTGTCTATATATGGAAAAATACAAGTTTTAAAATGTCTACCAATCGATTGGTCAAAAGAACAGACAACTCTCGGTCAACAATTTTTGTTTTGTTTTGTTGGGGACAGCCCTAAATTAATGGCTAAATGACTTCCGGAAACGAAGGGTCCGCGGAGCTCCTCCTCATCACCACTCTATAGGCCACGTACATAGGCTTACAGTACGTGGCCTCCAGATTGCAGGCCTGTCAAAGATTAAAGAAAAGCAATTGGCTAGGTACTGCTCTGTTGAGCTGTTATGGGCAGTCTAGCTGTTTGGAGAAGGTGCAGCCTAGCTGTTTAGAGAAGGTGCTTTCTGTATCCTTAAGTGTCCATCCATACAAAAACCTTGAAATTTGAATCCTTCTTGAATCAAATGTGATTTGTGGATTCAAATAACGTACCTGTGTGTGTGGTTTGTAGGTAGGTTTATTGATTGATTGGCAGAGAGAAGGGACATGTGTATGGTTGTGCCCCTCTATTGGACACTGATCTTACCGAACACTGATGTGAGCAGCGCCCCAGTGCCAGAGGCCAGCATCTGCTGCACTGGACTGATCCCAGCTGAGGGGGTAACAACAGGCCGCTCCACCATCCTGACCACCTGAGACAGAAAACATCAGTTTTAACCGCACTACTCAACTGTCCATGTCATAGTGTTACTTTATTTTCTCTTCTAATGAGATGCTCGTTAGAGCTTGTCAGATTCCATGTTATGTCAAATAAACAAGGCTGTTGGGGTGTGCCTCTGCTTTGAGCTAGGCTATACTCTGTCAAACAGTGCCTGATTACTGAGACAAAATACAGAATGTCCTCAGGGCAAGAGTGGTCACTGCCTGGTCAACAGCATGGCTATTGTAAAGCTTGAGCTTAGCCTAACCCTAGGCTCCTCCATATTATCCAAACATGTGACTTAGGTGTCCTTGAATAGCCAATAGCTACTACTAGTCTGAATGACAAACACCTTGTTATTCAGGAGTCTATTTCTAAGTGATAGTGACCAGACGTACAGTAGCCTCCATTCATGTGGGCTAAGATAGAAGGGGTTATAATAGAGAGCTTGACACACTAAGATAAGGTATCTGTTGTGTGCACGTCTCCCCTCTCCTAGCTACTACACCCTGTTTTTAAACCCCACACACTCCCACAACACCTCACTGATACAATAGCATGTCTGGTGATGTAAAAACTCCTATATCCACAGAAGATAGACTAAGCCCACATTCAATACAGACAGCGAGGGGGATTTGAACTTGGGTTGAAATGGGTGATACAAAATGTGTTGTTTACTAAGATACATTTATAATTGGAAAATTATGAATGAAAGAGTCTAGAAAGCAACAAGAGAGAACATCTACCTCTCTTTACAGTACCACTAACATACCGCTGATAAGGGCTAATCGTTTCAACTGCAAGTTGCTAGAGTAGATGTACCGTAATTTTCGGACTATATGCCGCGCCTTTTTTCCAATTTTTCGACCCTGCGGTTTATATAACGGTGCGGCTAATCTATGGATTTTTACAGCTAACGGCCACTAGAAGACCTCCTAAATCTATGGATTTTACAGGTTACAGTCCACCAACTTTAACTCTATGGGCTCTATGACCGGTCCGCGCCCCCCACCTTTAAGCGGCGGGCTCCAGCAGGAAAAGCTGGAGGCCGGAAAAGAGTGAGACAGGTAGCGCGCAAAAGTAAAAGTGGAACCGAGAGTGGTACGAGAGACAGAACGAGAGACAGAACGAGAGCAAGACAGACAGACATTACGAGAGCGAGACAGTTTGTGCAAAGGAAGTTCATGCACAAACCCTCATTATGGAAAACAAACGTAGAAATGCATATGATGCAGCTTTTAAATTAAAGGCAGTCAATCTGGCTGTAAAAGAAGGAAATAGAGCTGCTGCACGTAGCCTTGGCATCAATGAGTCAATGGTGAGACGTTGGAGACGCCAGCGGGAAGAACTGTCTCAATGCAAAAAGTCAAAAAAAGCTTTCAGAGGTAATAAAAGCAGATGGCCCGAACTTGAAGACTTTCTTGAAGATTGGGTGAACACACAGAGAGCAGATGGCCGAGGTGTTTCCACCGTGCAGATCCGACTGAAAGCTGAAACAGTCGCCACCGAAATGAAAATTGAACATTTTAGAGGTGGACCATCCTGGTGTTTCAGATTTATGAGACGAAAGGGACTGTCCATCAGAACCCTTACATATGGTAATTAAACATTAAAACACCTGCGGCTTATAGTCCAGTGCGGCTTATATATGTACACATCATTCAATTTAGCTGCTGCGGCTTATACTCCGGTGCGCCTTATAGTGTGGAAAATACGGTATAAACATTTCCAGCCCAGTTCTTGATCAGAGGGAGCCATCTCAAGCATATGATCGAATGTGTTGCTGGATGTGCTGAATGTGTTTGTGCACTGCAGCGGAACTGAGCACTTATCAAGCCATGCCGAATGTCTCGTGTTGCAGGCTTGCTGGCTTGCTGGCAGACGATCACGTTCCAATTTCCCTGACTATCACCTCCCCTACTGCAGCTGACTGTGGCAGGATTACCCTATAACAAATCCCACCATATCCCAACCCTCAGCAAAAACATGAACACAGGCCAGGAACCTCCTCCTACATTTACAACATTGTCTAGGCTAATTCCCACAGAATTAAGACAGCATAGGTTCTAGCTAGTTGTTAAGAGTACAACAATTATAAGAAACACTTCCTCTATGGCTCATGCATCTGATTATAATGCATAATATTTCTAACCCATGTGCTTCATCAACCTTGCCCTGTGTTGTGTGATAAATTGCTTGGGTCATTCCTACAATGTGGTGCCTTTTCTGTCACCAGGAAATATCACTTCTTAAATGTGGATTCCAAAAGGCTTTAAATATAAGGTCAGGTGTCCTTTACCTTAAAAAACACAAAAATATGGATATTGAAAGGGAATTTTATGCATTTTGAACACTTTTTTTCTGTGGACGTAGGCATTTTTACCATGTCCCCAGGTGTTATTCATCTACTTCCACTAGATAATATGCCATAAAATAATTTCTTCATTATTTTATAGTCCTAGTTAAATTCTCTCTCAATAACTTTTTATTCATGATTATTGTATTTATTATTTTATTTAACATTATGTGTGACCCTGATATCACTTTCCACCCTGTTAGTTTGTTGTAATTCTCCATTTAAGAAAACAACCCCTTCCTACAAAGACACCACCATTCAGGAAGTGTCATAATTTCTTTGGTGGGAAAACAATTGTGCAAAGCTAAATAAATAAACCGTTCTATCTATTTTTCCACGTTTCATGTTGTTAGTCTATGTCCCACTCATACATTTCCACTGTGTTGAGCTAAATTGAGAAAATTAACCAAATTTAAACATTTAAAAATATGTTTGATAGATAAATTAAAATCCTGTTCAAGTGTTCACCATTATGCTAGTTCAATCTTGCTTACTCACAGAGCTGTGGCTAATTTAGTCTCCACATTTCCACCCTGTTAGGATTATGCACCTAACAGATTGGAAATTGCTTCTGTATACCCCCCCACCTTGTCACAACACAACTGATTGGCTCAAGCGCATTAAGAAGGAAATAAATTCCACAAATTAACTTTTAAGAAGGCACACCTGTTAATTGAAATGCATTCCAGGTAACTACCTCATGAAGCTGTTTGAGAGAATGCCAAGAGTGTGCAAAGCTGTCATCAAGGCAAAGGGTGGCTATTTGAAGTATCTCAAATATAAAATATATTTTTGATTTGTTTAACAATTTTTTGGTTACTACATGATTCCATATGTGTTATTTCATAGTTTTGATGTCTTCACTATTATTCTACAATGTAGAAAATAGTAAAAAAAATAAAGAAAAACCCTTGAATGAGTAGGTGTTCTAAAACTTTTGACCGGTAGTGTATATACTTTATTTCCCCAAAAGTTATTAGGTCCAAAACTAAGGCACCGCTCAGTTGGAATGACCCGGCTAACGTTATATTCTGGTGCAGGACAAAATACTGTAGCTAGCTAAGTAACTGTAATATTGCACTGTACAGCATCTTATGTTTGCACTGCATGCACATCTACAAAGATACTTTGTGACATCTCCACCCAGTCAGCAAATCTGACCTTGTAGCCTTCAGTTGGCGTGGTGATGTAATGATGATGAACGACTAACACGGACATGTTGCCGTGCTCCTTTCTCAATAATAAAACGCTCACAAAACATTTGTTGTGGAACCTAACTAGGTAGCTAACTAGCTAGACATGAGCTATCATGTATGGACAATAGAATAGCTAATCTAATGCCAAAACAGGAACACATGCCAGCCCTCCCCAATTCAAGATGCTTGATAGCTAACGCTAGTTAGCTGGCTAACAGACACTAGCTAGCTAGCTGATTAATTATCGCAAAACAGAAGGTAAAATATGTGCAAGCTTGATACTCACCTCTAGTTTATAGCTTAGCTATAAAGGGTATATATCTGCGTTGTGAATTTGATGGGGTTTCATGAGTGTTCCCTGTGTGTTGAATGGACATGCTGTCCACAGCCTTGAGCTGCTGTTAGCTAACTTGACAAAGCTATCGAGCTAGGAACAAGCAAAACAACCCCTGATTCGTCTGTCGTGACAAGACACGCCTCCAATGAGTCTGATCACGGTTCTTGCTTGTTTCTTCTTCTTCTTCTTCTTCTTCTTCTGTGGGGTTTATCAACTTTTGGCATCCAACGTTGTGGTGCATTACCGCCACCTACTGTACTGGAGTGTGGGCCAGAGACAGGGAGAAACTAAATCCTTCCTGCCAGCCCCGTTGCTCTTAAAAAAGATAACAACATATTTGAGACTATATCTAATGACGTTCTACTCAATATACTCTTTAAACTAATTGCCTGTATCCCCTTCTCCCTCATACTAGATCTCAGCCTCTCTCTTTCCGTCTGATACTGCCCACACCGTAGCAATACATGCTCCACGGTCTCAGTTTCCTGACAATAATCACACTTTCCTGTTGGATGCTTTCCTATCACATTTAAGGTCTTATTCAACCGGCTGTGTCCCACCCTTAATCTTGTAAAAATAGCCTCCGCTCTTTTGTCCCTTCCTGCCGTCCTCCCCTCCCCGACTTTCCTCTGTACTTGAAATAAATGCCTTCCCTTATTATCTATATTCCACTGCTCCTGCCATCTCTGCACCATCATTGTAAATATCAGTATTTTTGCCTCTGCCTTGCTCATTGAAACTTCAACATCCCCACTACTAAGTGCTTGTTTAGCCTGTTCATCTACTACCTCGTTCCCTTCCACCCCCACATGGGCTGGGACCCAAGTAAATCTTATCTATATACCCATCTGTCTAATCCTGTCATGGGTTTGTAGCACCTCATAAAGCAGGTGTTGTCTGCTATGTGAGCTAAAGGACTGGAGACTCATCAACACTGCACATGAATCAGAGCAAATAACTACTCTGTCTGGCTTGACTTCCTCCACCCACTGCAAGGCCAACAGTATGGCCATCAGCTCTGCCATATATACAGCCAAATAATCTGTAATTCGATTCCTGACTGCCTCCCCACATTCCTGCACTACAAATGCTGACCCAGTAAATCCTGTCCTTGGATATTTGGAACCATCTGTGTAAATGGCCACAAAATCCTGAAGAAACAGTATCCAGACATCTCTTAAACAAATCAGATGGACCAACACCCTCTGTATCTTTCTGTAGTCTCTCCAACACTTGTAGATCAACTACTGGAGACGGGAGTAGCCATTGTGGATTTATAGGAATAGCTACCGTTGGACTAAAGTCCCATCTCCATCACCTGGGTATTACCCACCCACCCAAAGCTCGTGTTCTGTCTTCGCTCATGTTTCCAGCATGCCTGTAAAATCCCTTTCGCAGGATGAGACACCGCATGTCCCTGTAGGCTGACCCAATAATTCACTGCCAGTTGCTGTCTCCTAATCTGCAATGGCATATCCCCCATCTCCACCTGTAGCGCAGCCACAGGGGAGGTCCGAAACGCCCCACTACATATTCTGAGTCCTTGCCCTTGCTTGTTTCTCCTCCGTCCTATCTGTTATCATCGGTATGTCCCAATGGCTGTATTTGTATTTGTCCCTTGAACTACTGCACCTCCTAGCGGATAAGCTTTTCTAGCACCTGTCAGTGGTGCATGTGTGGTAATTTGACACCTATGAAAACCATTCAGAATGTCGAATAGCTAGGAAGAAATTTAGGGGCGTGAACATATTTCCTGTACTCGATATTTTAGTTGTTGAGAAACTTCAACACGTTCAGGAGTCGGCTACATTGTCAAGGAGCACTGGCAAGTGTAAAGTCACTGAGATAGAGGTAAGGTCAACTTTTTTATTTAGATGGTGGCAGGAACTTAATGACAAAAATATATTTAATTATAAACTACTCAAGTGAAATTGCACCAAATGTTCTATTTCAAATTAAATTGCATATATTGTTTTATGTTGTCCTTGTCATTGCTTTTAAATTGTTGTCATTGCCCTAGGTGGGTCCATCTTTTAAAATTCTAAATGCACATTATGACCAACATGATTGAGTGTGTGCACTATAAAAAGAAGCATGATGATATATCAGGGTCCACAGTTCTTTTGAAACTGTTAAAGCCCATTTTCTTCTCCTTTTGAAACCACCTTGTAAAAATATACAGTAAGTGAACAGTATTGATTGTCAGGTGAATATTGTCTGTGGTTAATACACCTGTGTTACCCATTGCTATTGATACCACAATGGAGGAAAGTATCTCTTATGGGAGTTACTTGGCTCAGATTAAGGGGAATTTTCCATTCATAAAAACAGCAGAACTGAAAGTAGAAATCCTGTATGCTGCATTTCTGTGACTAGTAGCCTAAACAGCATTGAAGCAATGGTAGACTGCTTTAATGATCTCCCCTATGAAGCTCAACAGTTAGTAACAGTATAATCATATCCCCTTTTCTGCATTATAGATTAATTATTGAAATGTGGTTGCATATGAGGAGGGCTTTGTCTTGGTAAGAATGTGGAACTGTCTACTGTCTGAAGCTCACCCCATGGAACATGAAAGAGGAAGTGAATCTATGAAAATAGCTTGGGGAATTTTGATATACATTAGTAGGCTACAGTACACCTCAGGAGATTGTCTGAAAGTCAGTATAGGTTTCACATTAAGAGTTAAGAGGAAAGTGAGAGTTCTGTCCAGATTTAGTTCTGATGACTCCATTGTTTAGATTTGATGCTTTTCTGTACAAAAGAGCTTTATAACATTTGTAAGTTATTGATTGTACAATGAATATATATATAATATACAATTTGTGTTACAAGTTATTTCTCTCTCTTTCTCTCCAGATGCAGAGGTATCTGGTGCTCTGTATGGCCCTGCTGGCCCAGGTCTCTGCTGATGACTGCCCAGACGGAGGGGCGTGTGAGGAGGGCAACACCTGCTGCAAGGTCCCCTCCGATGGCTATGAATGCTGCCCAATGTATCAGGTATGTATGGGGTGGTGCCCGCAGAGATTAGCCCTTAGCTTTAGTTGCAGCCTGAACCGAGTTCCCTAACCCTTGTACACTGTGAATTATATCTATTAGAAGTGTACACACCAAATAGGTAGTCTATGGTGTCATTGTCTCTTATCCTGAAATAGATACCAATCTTTAATTGCGCCCTTGTGCTAGCATTCTCTTGTAGTGTCTGTTTGATCTGTAAGATGTGAGCTTTTAACACACTTTGTTAATCAAACTACTCTCTTACCATTTATCTCAGGCTGAGTGCTGTGAGGATCATATCCACTGCTGCCCTGAGGGAACACTCTGTGTTGTGAATGAGTCCATGTGTGTGAATGGAACTGTCTCCCTACCATGGGTGGAGAAAGTTTCTGCTAAACAGTCCAGATATCCTAAAGTAAGAATATCAGGGAATCCAGGAAGAAAGTGTAGCTGACTATTGACAACATTGAAATGCACTGTAACAGTGACACCAGTTGACTTTCATGGCAATATGTGTCCCTGTTTTCAATCATTCACTGACTTCGGCGATGTCATTTACAAAATAGCCTCCAACACTCTACTCAGCAAATTGGATGTAGTCTATCACAGTGCCATCCGTTTTGTCTCCAAAGCCCCATACACTACCCACCACTGTGACCTGTACGCTCTTGTTGGCTGGTCCTCACTACATGTTCGTCGTCAAACCCACTGACTCCAGGTCATCTATAAATCCCTGCTAGGCAAATCCCCATCTTATCTTATCTCACTGGTCACTATAGCAACACCCACCCGTAGTCTGCGCTCCAGCAGGTATATCTCACTGGTCATCCCCAAAGCCAACACCTCCTTTGGCCGCCATTCCTTCCAGTTCTCTGCTGCCAATGACTGGAACGAACTGCAAAAATCTCTGAAGCTGGAGACTCTTATCTCCCTCATTACTTTAGGCGTCAGTTGTCAGAGCAGCTTACCGATCACTGCACCTGTAAACAGCCCATCTGTAATTAGCCCATCCAACTACCTCATCCCCATATTGTTATTGTTGAGGAAAACTCGTTTGAGGAATCAGGCAGAACTCATTTATCAGCAATAAGAGTTTATTCACACTCTCTGGATGAAACTCGAGAGGAACTTAAAAATGTACAGAATCACACAGTCATTTATATACTTCACCTACACAAAGAACTGCTTACCTCTCTCTTAAAGCATTATACAAAAAGAACCGGTTCTAAACAGTTCTCACAGCCTATGTGTCTAAGATAGGGGAGTGCTAAGATCTTTAGAGCCTAAGCAGAACTAGAATTCTGCTTGGTTAGGCCTTTAGTGCCCCAGAGATAAGGAGCCAAAAACAAATCACTCCTTTGTGCGGTGTGTGAAGAGGGTACTGGACAGTTGAAGGAAAATTACCAGTGAAAAGTACATACAGTGTATAGTACTATTCAACTCAAGCATTTACATAGCATTAGACTGTAACAAAATAATTTTGCCAAAACAACATATTAACCTAGATGAACGTAGGGTCATCAAAAATACTATAGTCAGTCATGTTTTTTGTCATGGAAAAAGTCAAATGTATTTTTTCTACCCCTCTAGTCTTTCAGAATGATCAGTGCATATGCTGGGGATGAGGATGATAACATCTGCCCTGACAACTCCCACTGCCCAGCTGAGTTTTCCTGTCTGAAGGCCACTACGGGCTATGGTTGCTGTCCCATTGCTCATGTAATAGCCTAACCACTGTTGCAATCTAACCTTTTCCACCTCATTCATACTGTTATAATATTCACATAAAACATGGATTGGTGTCAATGGAAAAAATGGAGTTATGTGCACAGATATCAAGTAAATTGATCTAATGTACACACAGGCTGTGCCTTGCTCGGATGGGAAACATTGCTGTCCTGAAGGCCACCAGTGCAGCACAGACAGCAGCTCCTGCATCAAACAGAAAGGTTAGACTCTTGTGGAATCACATTTTGCCATCTTATGCTTCTGTTGCAACATCATCATTAACTGCTCTGCCTTCTTCCACCCCTGCAGAACCTGTTGTTGCAGTGCTGTGCAGTGACAGAGTGTCTGAGTGCCCAGAGGGAACCACATGCTGTGAGACTCCAGATGGGAGTTGGGGGTGCTGCCCCATGCCCAAGGTACAGGGGGGCTATATGGAGGGGGCTATGGGGTTACCATCATGGATTTGCGAGTCAGGAATAATGTTGGTCCTTTGAATGGGTGACATGTACACTCTCCATAGTGTAGTGTCTGTAATCACTCCATGGAGAGATGTCTAATCAAGGATTTGCATGGCCTATGTGCTAACCCTTTGTTTATATATGGTCATCTCATGAGGTGATTCTCTATGTGTCTGTGTGCACTGACCAGGCTGTGTGCTGCGAGGATAAGATTCACTGTTGTCCTGAGGGCAGCACCTGTGACATCAAGCAATCCAAGTGTATATCCACTACCAACAAGGAAATGCCCATGTGGGCCAAGTTCCCTGCCCGCAAGAGGGCAGAGTGGGAAAACCAGAATGGTAGGTTTTTTTTCTCCAAAAAAAGGCATACTTTCTGGTCTATTTTTGTACCAATCACTGTCTGGATGTATGTGTGTATGATTATTTTGCTGTACGTGCTTTCAGAAGTTGCCCAAGTGACAACACCTATTCCAGACACTACCACCTCAGCCAATAGGAGTCCTGCTTCTCTTTGGGAGGGGGGGGGTTCTTCTCCACCCTTCATTAGGACAGGACGACATTACACTTCTTAGAACAATACAATAGTGTTGTGGAATATTTTGTTAGCTCCTCCAGTTGTGTTGATCGCTAACACCCTGCTGTCTCTCCAGACGTTCCCTGTGATGAGTCAGTGGCCTGTCAGGATGGAACCACATGTTGTAAAACACAAGAAGGGGGATGGGCATGCTGTCCTCTGCCACAGGTATACTATGTCTCATATTCAAATCTGGACATGGAAGACTGTTCCACTGCTTTAAAAAAATATATATTCCCCTCTAATCAGGGACTGATTTAGACCTGGGACACCAGGTGGGTGACATTAATTATCAGGTAGAACAGAAAACCAGCAGGCTCCAGACCTCGTAGGGTAAGAGTTGAGAACCCCTGCTCTAGGCGTTCAATTTACTCTCTTAACTAATCAATTTCTTCAAGATAGATCAACCTGATTGCATGTCTTTTGCTTGTCCCGTGACAGCTTCCCCTTTTTGTTTGGGTTCTTCTCTCCCAGGCAGTTTGCTGCAGTGACTTCATCCACTGCTGCCCTCATGGTAAGAAGTGCAACCTGGCTGCCCAGACGTGTGACGACACCTCAGGCTCCCCGTCTGAGCCCTGGCTGAAGAAGGTTCCTGCCGTGCCTCGGGAGGGTAACTTGCCAGGGAATGTGACCTGTGACCCCACCCACATGTGTCCCGACAACACCACCTGCTGCAAGACAGCGTCAGGAGACTGGGCCTGCTGCCCCATGCCTGAGGTAGGGACAAAGAGATGTGGCTTGTACTGCAGTGGATAGGCAAATTAATGAATGGCATCTTAACTTGACTGCTCTGCGATGTGGTTAGAGATTCTGTATGGCTAACAAAGAGGCACTTAGTTTTGGTCTTTACGACATCCCAGTATAACTTCTCATTTTTTACTCCTGTCAACTTGCTGCTGCTTGTGATCCTAACCTTTCTTCTGCCTTGCTAAGGGGTTTGGAGCTTGAAACACATGTTGTTTTTATAGCAAGGGGGGCTATGTTTCATTGAAAGTGAAACTGGGTAATCTAGGGAGTCACAACTGTTCTCTAACTGTGTATAATCTCTTCTGCTACCAGCAATACTTCTACATAATTCCTATAAAGGCTTGTGACAGTCTTAAATGACAGTAAATGCTTGTTGTGTGTCCTTTCCCTTCCTCCTCCAGGCTGTATGCTGTGAGGACCACGAGCACTGCTGCCCCCATGGCACCACCTGTGACCTGGCTTCCCTCGCCTGTGATGGCCCCTCAGGGCCGGAGCCCATGGTGGGGAAGGTGCCCGCCCTTACAACCCTGGCACCTGATCATGAGGAGGCAGCCACAGACCACCAGGGGATGCAGACGGATGACATGGAGCCGCCTACAGACAATGATGAAGGTGATGAAGACGAAGAGGAGGGGCCAAAGACACAGTGTGACGCCCACACCACCTGTCCAAAGGACGCCACCTGCTGCTTTATGAAATATTTTGTTAGCTCCTCCAGTTGTGTTGATCGCTAACATCCTGCTGTCTCTCCAGACATTCCCTGTGATGAGTCAGTGGCCTGTCAGGATGGAACCACATGTTGTAAAACACAAGAAGGGGGATGGGCATGCTGTCCTCTGCCACAGGTATACTATGTCTCATATTCAAATCTGGACATCAAAGACAGTTCCACTGCTTTTAAAAAAAATATTCCCCTCTAATCAGGGACTGATTTAGACCTGGGACACCAGGTGAGTGACATTAATTATCAGGTAGAACAGAAAACCAGCAGGCTCCAGACCTCGTAGGGTAAGAGTTGAGAACCCCTGCTCTAGGCATTCAATTCTCTCTCTTAACTAATCAATTTCTTCAAGATAGATCAACCTGATTGCATGTCTTTTGCTTGTCCCGTGACAGCTTCCCCTTTTTGTTTGGGTTCTTCTCTTCCAGGCAGTTTGCTGCAGTGACTTCATCCACTGCTGCCCTCATGGTAAGAAGTGCAACCTGGCTGCCCAGACGTGTGACGACACCTCAGGCTCCCCCTCTGAGCGCTGGCTGAAGAAGGTTCCTGCCGTGCCTCGGGAGGGTAACTTGCCAGGGAATGTGACATGTGACCCCACCCACATGTGTCCCGACAACACCACCTGCTGCAAGACCGCGTCAGGAGACTGGGCCTGCTGCCCCATGCCCGAGGTAGGGACAAAGAGATGTGGCTTGTACTGCAGTGGATAGGCAAATTAATGAATGGCATCTTAACTTGACTGCTCTGCGATGTGGTTAGAGATTCTGTATGGCTAACAAAGAGGCACTTAGTTTTGGTCTTTACGACATCCCAGTATAACTTCCTAATTTTTTACTCCTGTCTACTTACTGCTGCTTGTGATCCTAACATTTCTTCTGCCTTGCTAAGGGGTTTGGAGCTTGAAACACATGTTGTTTTTATAGCAAGGGGGGCTATGTTTCATTGAAAGTGAAACTGGGTAATCTAGGGAGTCACAACTGTTCTCTAACCGTGCATAATCTCTTCTGCTACCAGCAATACTTCTACATAATTCCTATAAAGGCTTGTGACAGTCTTAAATGACAGTAAATGCTTGTTGTGTGTCCTTTCCCTTCCTCCTCCAGGCTGTATGCTGTGAGGACCACGAGCACTGCTGCCCCCATGGCACCACCTGTGACCTGGCTTCCCTCGCCTGTGATGGCCCCTCAGGGCCGGAGCCCATGGTGGGGAAGGTGCCCGCCCTTACAACCCTGGCACCTGATCATGAGGAGGCAGCCACAGACCACCAGAGGGTGCAGATGGATGACACGGAGCCGCCTACAGACAATGATGAAGGTGATGAAGACGAAGAGGAGGGGGCAAAGACACAGTGTGACGCCCACACCACCTGTCCAAAGGACGCCACCTGCTGCTTTATGAAATATTTTGTTAGCTCCTCCAGTTGTGTTGATCGCTAACACCCTGCTGTCTCTCCAGACGTTCCCTGTGATGAGTCAGTGGCCTGTCAGGATGGAACCACATGTTGTAAAACACAAGAAGGGGGATGGGCATGCTGTCCTCTGCCACAGGTATACTATGTCTCATATTCAAATCTGGACATGGAAGACTGTTCCACTGCTTTAAAAAATATATATTCCCCTCTAATCAGGGACTGATTTAGACTTGGGACACCAGGTGGGTGACATTAATTATCAGGTAGAACAGAAAACCAGCAGGCTCCAGACCTCGTAGGGTAAGAGTTGAGAACCCCTGCTCTAGGCGTTCAATTCACTCTCTTAACTAATCAATTTCTTCAAGATAGATCAACCTTATTGCATGTCTTTTGCTTGTCCCGTGACAGCTTCCCCTTTTTGTTTGGGTTCTTCTCTCCCAGGCAGTTTGCTGCAGTGACTTCATCCACTGCTGCCCTCATGGTAAGAAGTGCAACCTGGCTGCCCAGACGTGTGACGACACCTCAGGCTCCCCGTCTGAGCCCTGGCTGAAGAAGGTTCCTGCCGTGCCTCGGGAGGGTAACTTGCCAGGGAATGTGACCTGTGACCCCACCCACATGTGTCCCGACAACACCACCTGCTGCAAGACAGCGTCAGGAGACTGGGCCTGCTGCCCCATGCCTGAGGTAGGGACAAAGAGATGTGGCTTGTACTGCAGTGGATAGGCAAATTAATGAATGGCATCTTAACTTGACTGCTCTGCGATGTGGTTAGAGATTCTGTATGGCTAACAAAGAGGCACTTAGTTTTGGTCTTTACGACATCCCAGTATAACTTCTCATTTTTTACTCCTGTCAACTTGCTGCTGCTTGTGATCCTAACCTTTCTTCTGCCTTGCTAAGGGGTTTGGAGCTTGAAACACATGTTGTTTTTATAGCAAGGGGGGCTATGTTTCATTGAAAGTGAAACTGGGTAATCTAGGGAGTCACAACTGTTCTCTAACTGTGCATAATCTCTTCTGCTACCAGCAATACTTCTACATAATTCCTATAAAGGCTTGTGACAGTCTTAAATGACAGTAAATGCTTGTTGTGTGTCCTTTCCCTTCCTCCTCCAGGCTGTATGCTGTGAGGACCACGAGCACTGCTGCCCCCATGGCACCACCTGTGACCTGGCTTCCCTCGCCTGTGATGGCCCCTCAGGGCCGGAGCCCATGGTGGGGAAGGTGCCCGCCCTTACAAACCAGGCACCTGATCATGAGGAGGCACCCGCAGACCACCAGGGGGTGCAGATGGACGAGGAGTTGCCCAGGACACAGTGTGACACCCACACCAGCTGCCCAAAGGACGCCACCTGCTGCTTTATGAAATCCACCCAGAAGTGGGGCTGCTGCCCACTGCCACAGGTGAGTGTTACAGTCATGGTTAGTGCTGAGCGATGAGTGCTTTTGAGGTAGTTTCGGTTTGATTATTAAAAAATAATCACGGATTTCGGTTTTGATTATTTGGGTTGAATGCTGTAACACAGAATAAAACAATTAATACAAGTCCCATGATGGTAGTGACTGCCCATTACTGCTTATCACTTATTAACCATAATTTATTCACATTACTTTACTTTAATACAATATTTCAGTTGTTGTGGATATGACTTTATTATTTCATAACAAGTCATAATTTCATCTCTATAGAGCTGCTGTCTGACAAAATCACTATTTTAGTAGTTCTTCAAAGTCAATAAGGCATACTTTTATGACTGCTGAATACCAACTATCAATCACTTTGATCTAGTATTTTCAGGTAGAGATACCACAAGAAGCAACAGCTTCTCCAAAGACAGTACAGTATGAAGATAGGCAGAAACTGCTCCTCCAATAGAAATCCCCGATCATGCTTGTAGGCGATGTCATGTCGACGTTGGCTAGCTAAGCTCATGCGCAGAAACATGTCATTGGGTCTAACGGGCATCACATGCCGAACTGCGCATGTGCAAACCGTCAAATCAAAGGCACTCCTTCAATATAAAGTAGTTTTCTGACTAAAATGAAAATGTGTCAGTTTGTCACTTTCACGAGGTTGGAGTAATAGTATGTTCAACTACTTAAGACATTGGCTGGAATCTAGGTTGTGCCTTTAGATTTCGCTCAAAATTAACAATTTAAGGACACATTTTTCCACTTCTCTCATTGACTTCTCAAACCCCAAACCTCGGCCTGCTCTGCTAATCAAGTGTTCCCGGAAGTCTCGCGAAGTTGCGCCTCTGGATTTAGAAACTCTGTGGCTGCTCTCTATATCACCTCATGATCGTGCATTCTTGTCTCTTCTGTAGCAGGCATAAAAGAAACACAGACCGGACAAGTAGATGCGCAATGGATTGTGGTCATTGTAGTTAATTACAATGTTTTATGCGCTAAACTATGAGGAATATTGGCCTGTTGGAAACTACAATGACCTACTACATTGCACAGTTCAGGATGGATCTGATTTATCTCTAGAGAAACTGTGCAATGTGCGCATTGAGCTCATAGAAAAATTCAATTAATTGAACTGATAACCGCAATTTTGGTTAATCACTCAGCACTAGTAATGGTGTTCCCAACTAGTGAGGAAGGACTCCCAATAAGTGGCCTCATAATTTTAGGGAATGAAAGCCCTTTCCCTCACCACTCGCTATTCTCTCTCTTCCCCAGGCAGTGTGCTGTGCTGATGGAGAGCACTGCTGTCCCAAAGACTACATATGTGATATGAGCAAGACTTCCTGCTCTAAGGGTGTGGTGGTGATCCCATGGTACAACAAGCTGGCAGCTGAGCCAGATGACAGTGCCCTCGCTGCCCCCCCCTCTGTGAAGTGTGACGCCCAGAACAGCTGCCCTGAAGGCTCCAGCTGCTGCCAACTTTCCACTGGACAGTGGGGCTGCTGCCCCCTGTGCAAGGTGTGTGTGTGTATGTGTTTGTGTGAGTGAGGGTGTGTGTTGGTATGCACATGCGTATAGAGAACCCTAGAAATAGTTTTGCTCTGCTATCTCACATGGGGAACCTTTCATGTCATTTCTTTATGTCTTGTCTCCCTGTATAGGCTGTGTGCTGTGCAGATGAGGAGCACTGCTGTCCACAGGGCTACAGCTGTAACATGGGCTCAGGGACTTGCCAGAAGCTAATGTTTCTTCAGTTCCAGACGATACCCCTAACCCGGGTGTCTGCGCCTGAGCCCCCGACCCCACAGGAGAAGGAAATCCACTGTGGGGGGCCGTTTGTCTGCAATAATGAGGAGACATGCTGCAAGGTCTCCACCACTACATGGGGCTGCTGTCCCTCTCCAAATGTATGATATATATACCACTGCCCTCTCACCACAGATGCTTCTATAAATGAAAATGTTGTTGTACTAATATTAGTGGAGTTCAAGACTAGGGCATCTACTCTCCTTCTATTGAATAGTCAAATTCCTATAAGATATCTCTCATTGCCTCCTCTCGATCTCTCTTTCTTTACTCTCCCTTCCACCTTCTCTCTGTCCTCTCCCTGTCCTCCTCCTCCTGTCTTCCTCCACCTGTCCTCCTAGGCGGTGTGCTGCAGTGACATGAAGCACTGCTGCACTACAGGCTACACCTGTGGTGAGGGAGGGACCTGCACCCAGTCCACTGGCTTCAACTGGGACCACTGGCAGGTGTTCTTCTCCAACAAGAAGAGAGCCCTGCGTGTGTGACAACCATTGGAGTGATAGGCCCACACTCCAGCGCCACACGCATTGCACTATTGAAGGGACGCATTGCACTATTGAAGGGACGCATTGCACTATTGAAGGGACGCAGGGACTTACTACTACTGTTATAGTATGTCAAATTGTATTTTTCTCAGGGTATAAATGGTATATATCGGACAGGGAACTGAAAATAAGGCACATTATGCACCATTGATTGGTGGAAGTTGCTTGGTATGTTACTACATTTGCTTCAAGAGATACCCATGCTTGCTCATGCACAGAAACTATCAAGGATTTGAAATCACCAAAAATGCAATACCAATGTTCAACAATATTTTAGTATGCTTTTAGGGTTGTGGCTCAGGGAAAGATTGGAATGTGATATAAAACTAGTTGTAAGCCACTATCAAGATTGACACAGAGGAGCATAGAAATTACAAGAATTTAGTACTGTTTACAATGTTTGATGTTACCTTCTAACAGGAAGAGTGTTGTTGTGTTTTTTTTTAGTTGATCATGTGAAGTGCATTGTGCCTCATCAAATAGTTTCAGGTATGCCTTTGAAATAAATGCCTTTTACGTGAAATTGTCTGTGCCATATGCCACCCTGTGGCTGAACTGATACTGTCTACTTGGGAAAACTGCTTACTCTTCTTCTTCGGTGGGGTTTATCGACGGTTGGCATCCAACGCTATGGTGCATTACCGCCATCTACTGTACTGGAGTGTGCCAGAGACAGGGAGAAACTAAATCCGTTCTGCCAGCCCCGTTGCTCTTAAAAAAGATAACAAAATATTTGAGACCATATCTGTCTTGTTTTGTACGCTTTGTACAAAATAATAAAATGCAGGACGACAGGATATTTATAAACGTAGCTCTTTATTAACTAGCTATAACGTGCATGTACATGTGTCTCTGGCCATGATCATCTTTGAATGACCTCACCACCTGGGTGGTCTTAACCAATCATTGCACAGTATGATATGACAGTATTATGCATCCAATTACAATTCAATATGCTGACACATATGAATATTACATCCCCCTTCTTTTAAAAAAAAAGAAAAAATATGTAGAACAATAAAGTGTTTCTTTTGAATATATGCTCTGTAGTTTGAACTCGAGGTAAGTAACCATTTAAACTGCACCAACTGCATCAACATAACAGACAAACAATGATTCAGCATATTGTTATTTTTAGAACAAATATTTCTCAGCAACTCAGCTTTTCACTGTAGCAATGACATCTCAACATATCAAACAAATACAATACCAAAGCATTTCAAGTTAACTTTCAATAACAAGTTTACAGTCTGGAAACTCTTTTAGGGCAGCGATCCGCCTACACCCTTTGACATTTCACAGGTCTAGGACAGCTCTAGGCTTGACCTCTCTTCCTGACCTTGTGTGATATGAAGCTGAGCATGCTTCTGTGTCAGTCAACAGTTCTTGTGGTGTTGCAGGTAAGTATGGTGTATGTTGTGTTGTGTCTGTGTTTAGTCCATCCCGTTCTCTTTCAGGGGAACAGTTCGTCTCGTCAGTGTGTTGTTCTTTTGTGTTCAGTAGGTGACGACGATTGCGGCGGTACACCGCTCCTTCTGCGGTGCGAACGTGATATGAACGTTCAGTGTCAGCTGGTTGGATGACGACTGCTGGCTTCCAGTAGCCATGCTCCTGGATTCTAACTGACTCTCCGTCGTTCAGTGGTGGCAGTGGTCTGGCTGACCTGTCGTAGTATCGCTTTTGCTGTTGTTGTCTCTGTGCACGTTTTGCATGCACTTCCTTGTAGCTGACGACCTCAGGTTGCAGCTGCTGGTTGGTGCTGGGAAGGATTGAGCGAAGTCTGCGGCTCATCAACAGCTGGGCTGGTGATTTGAAGTTGTCAACTGGAGTGTTGCGGTATTCAAGGAGACTGAGGTAGGGGTCTCTCTTGTCTGCTTTTGCTTTGTCCATGAGTGATTTAGCGATCTGCACAGATTTTTCAGCAAGGCCATTACTTTGAGGGTAATGTGGGCTTGTGGTGACGTGTGTGAACTCCCATGCTTTTGTGAAGGATTCAAACTCATTTGATTTGTAACAGGGCCCATTGTCAGATATTAAAGTCTCTACAATGCCATGCCTGGCAAAGGCTGCTTTCAGCTTGTGTATCACAGCTGCAGATGTGGTGCTGTGAAGCTTGTCGAGTTCGAAGTATCTGCTGTAGTAGTCCACTGTTATAATGTAGTCCTCGTTGTTCCACGTGAACAGATCGGTTGCCACGACCTGCCAGGGTCGGTCTGGGATACGGTGAGGTAACATTGGCTCTTTGGTGTTCGAGGGGCGTCGTTCAAGACAGGTGGGGCATTTACCAACCATGTCCTCTATTTGTTTGCACATTCCGGGCCAAAACAAAATGTCCCGTGCTCTCTGTTTGCACTTTTCCATGCCCATGTGTCCAGCATGGATCTTTGTCAAAATCTCTTCTCTGAGACTGGTAGGAATGATGATTTTCTCTCCTTTGAAAATTATTCCGTTGATCTGTGATAGTTCGTCACGATGGTTCCAGAACTCTGAGACGCTCTGAGGGCATTTTCTCCTCTCCTCAGGCCATCCTGACTGTATGACTTTCCTCAGCTGTGTGAGTTGTGTGTCTTTTTCTGTTTCTGCTCGGATCTCCTTCAGTTTTGTGTCACTAACTGGTAAGTTGCTGTACACAGTGTGCACCTGCATGTCCATGCCTTCACTGAGGCTGCTGTCCTTGTAGGTAAGAAACTTCCTGGAGAGTGTGTCTGCGACAGGGATGTCTTTGCCTGGACGGTGAGTGATTGTGAAGTCGTATTTTTGTAGTTGAAGGATCATTCTCTGTAGCCTTGGCGGGGCTGCGGCTAACGGTTTCCTCATGATTGACTCGAGGGGCTTGTGGTCTGATTCCACAATGACTTGTCGTCCATAGACATACTGATGGAAACGCTTACATCCGAACAGAATGGCGTACAGCTCCTTTTCGATTTGAGCGTAGTTGATTTCACAGTCTGTGAGAGATTTGGAAGCGTAGCCGATGGGTTTTCCTTCTTGCAGTAGCACTGCCCCTAGTCCATACTTTGACGCGTCCACCTGGAGTCTGAGCTCTTTGTTGGGGTCGTAGTAGGCAAGGATTGGTCCTGGTTCTCTCGTGATCAAGTCTTTCACTTTCTGGAAAGCGATGTCGTTTTGGTTGTCCCAGAGGAACTCACTGGACTGCTTTAGCAGCTGACGCAGGGGTGCATTAGCATTGGAGAGGCTGGGTGCGAACTTGGCTAAGTAGTTGACCATGCCAAGCACTGTTTCCAGCTCTGCGCGGTTCTTTGGTGGCTCCATTTCCTTTATGGCTGAGATCTTCTGCGGATCTGGCTTGATTCCATTCGCTGTGAGAAGATGCCCGAAGTAGCTGACCTCTGTAGCGCCGACTGTGCTCTTCTCGGGGTTGAGCCGGACTCCTCTCTCGCGGGACCTTTGCAGCATCGCGCTGAGGTTTCTGTCGTGTTCCTCTTTGGTTCGACCATAGACAAGGATGTCGTCCACAATTGCCACGACTCCGTCGAGGCCTTCGTACACCTCGTCGATCTTTCGCTGAAACTCGTCTTGGGCTGAGATAATCCCAAAAGGCAGGCGACGGAACCTGTAGCGTCCAAACGGTGTGTTGAACGTTGTGAGCTTAGATGACTCTTCTGTGAGCTTGATAGCCCAGTAGCCTGATCTGGCGTCCATGACACTGAAGTAGCGTGCACCCGCTAGCTTGTGTGTGATGCCATCTAGCGTCGGTAAGGGGTAATGGGGGCGTTTGATAGCCTTGTTCAAGTCTCTTGGGTCGAGACATACTCTGAGCTTGCCTGTCCGTGGTTTCTCCACCACCACTAACGCGTTGACCCAATCCGTCGGTTCTGTAACCTTGGTGACGATGTCAGATTGCTCCATGCTCTCCAACTCTTTCTTCAGACGGGCGCGGAGAGCAAGTGGAATCTTTCTCGGTGGGTAGATCACAGGGGTTGCGTCTGGGTCAAGGTGAATGGTACATTCTCCTGGGAATAGTCCTATTCCTGTAAAAACATCAGCAAACTCCTCCATGACATTCTCTATCTCTACTGGTGCTGTCACTGATAAAACTAGCTTGATAAGGTCCATGTCTAAACATGCTTTAAGACCTAGCACTGCAGGTGCTCGAGTGTCAACAACGTAAAAGTCCAACATCATGTCCCTTTCCTTGTATTTGCATTTGAGAGTGCATGTGCCTTTTACTGGGAGCTGTTCACCACCATAACTAGTCAGTCTGCGCGTGGTGGGCTGTAGCTCACACTCAGATGTCAAGCTTCTGTACTTACTCAGAGGAATAATGTTTACTTGTGCACCAGTGTCTAGTTTGAATTTTAGCTCTGTGCCTTGTCTTCCTATCTCAATATCAGCAAAGGCTTGCTCTGTCTCTGATATCTGACTTTTCTGTGTCACTGAATCAATAAACAGTTCATCAGCATTTGACTCTTTGATTGACATTTCATCTTCACTCACTGTATGTACTGTTTTTCCACGGTAAACTCTGCACACTTTTGCAAAGTGATTCCATTTTCCACATTTAGTACACTGTTTGCCTTTAGCTGGGCAATTCCCCTGTTCGCCATGCACTTTGTATCCACAATATCCACATGTTTTGGGGCGTTTGGAGTCTGTGTCGCTCTGTTTTGGAGTTCTGTCTGTCTCCGTTCTGAAACATGCTCTCTGGGCACTGGAGGTGTGCTTTGATGTCTGCCTGACTGCGTGCACTGCTTGTTCACGTGATGCGCTCATGCTGCCGCCTGAAATGGTTTTCATCTGAACCTGTGCTAGCTCGTGAGATCTGGCTATGTCGATAGCTTTGTCCAGCGTTAACTCTGATCCAACATTCAAAAGTTTCTCTCTCACTCGCGGTGATTGTATTCCAAATACAATACGGTCCCTGACCATCTCATCCTTGTTTGCATAATCACAGTCTTTCACAAGCAGACGCAGCTCAGTGACAAACTGTTCAAACGATTCACTAGCGCCTTGTACTTTCTCATGGAATTTGTACCTAGCGAAAATTGTATTGGTCTTTGGCAAAACATATGCTTCAAAACGATCGTAGTATGTTTTCAGTACCTTTGATTCAGCCTCGGTAAGTGTCCATGTGTTGTAAATGTCTCTCCCTTTTTCACCGATCCAGAGGAGCAGGTAGCTGCACTTTCCCTCTTCTCCTCTTTCCTTCAGAGGACCCGTGAACATCAGCTCCACATGCTGTTTGAACTTACGCCATGCATCGGGTAGATTTGTAGACCCCCAATCCATTCGAGGTGAAGGAACTCCAGCAAAATCCATCTTTTAGTCCTTTTACTCTGACACCATGTCTTGTTTTGTACGCTTTGTACAAAATAATAAAATGCAGGACGACAGGATATTTATAAACGTAGCTCTTTATTAACTAACTATAACGTGCATGTACATGTGTCTCTGGCCATGATCATCTTTGAATGACCTCACCACCTGGGTGGTCTTAACCAATCATTGCACAGTATGATATGACAGTATAATGCATCCAATTACAATTCAATATGCTGACACATATGAATATTACAATATCTAATGACGTTCTACTCAATATACTCTTTAAACTGATTTCCTGTATCCCCTTCTCGCTCATACTAGATCTCATCCTCTCTCTTTCCCTCTGATACTGCCCACAATGTAGCAATACATGCTCCACTGTCTCTGTTTCTTGACAATAATCACACTTTCCTGTTGGATGCTTTCTTATCACATTTACGGTCTTATTCAACCGGCTGTGTCCCACCCTTAATCTTGTAAAAAATAGCCTCCTCTCTTCTGTCCCTGCCGTCCTCCCCTCCCCGACTTTTGGGAAAACTTGAAAATCATAGAAACTTATGCCCTCCCACTTGTTGCTACCACGTTTTAAGTAAGATATGGATTTTCCCACTTCTTTGTGTTTTAGAAATTATGCAATTTTAAATAGTCCATAATGATTATGGCTGTTGCTACCAAAGCGAATTCATTTGCTGTAAATGTTGTGATATGTGAATAAATAATGTTTCATTGACAAATCAACTGTACACTATTCATGTGTTGGTTGTGATCAGTGTTCACTCAATAAATCTCTGCCCAGGATGTGGCTATAATAGGCCATGCAAGTAAAAAAGTACAAACTCAAGAGGTGATAAAGGTGTGTGTACTGAGTGGACTACAGCTGGAGAAAACCAACGTTCAACGTCTGATTGTATATACCAATCACTGGGAAGTTTATGCTACGGACAGGTTAAAATGGCATATTGCTGTTTCTTGCAGCCATTTCATATGACAACTAGATCAGTGCTTTTATGATGACGTTGCACTGTTTAGGAGCCCGCCCCTTCCCCTTTGACGTATGAATCTTTCAAGATGGTGATGCACTTGCTTCATCGGTGGTAATCCTTTTAATTTCTAAAACCGTGTACAAAAACGATAAAACAAAGCCTCGTTTCCAATTGACAAGGACTTTAATTTCGGAGGACAACGTTGCCTTTATTACATTTCAAACATGTCGACAGAGGAACTGTCAACCTCGGACAGCGACGCTGCCTTTGCTGGGGCTGGCGAGCGATGGGCGCCCGTCGGTGCTGTAGCCAGCCCGGAGGATGAGAGCGGGAAGGGATACGCGGTCGAGCCGAGGAGGAAAGGCTCAGCTGCGGCTGATGAGACGGAGATGGCCGCAAGATTGAGGAAACTGGAGGACGAACAGGGCCTGCTGAATTCCTCGCTCCTCGCTTTGACGTCTCATTTTGCACAGGTGCAGTTCCGCTTGAAGCAGATAGTTCACGCTCAGACTGATGAGAAGGAGAGGATGCTGGTAGAACTCGAGGAGTTTGCCTTTAAAGGCTGCCCTCACGTAGTGGGATGCAGGGCACAGGATACTCAACAGTTTGAAAACGCGGTAAGTAGTCCATGTATCCCACGGCTGGTCAGACTTGGTAGATATAAGAATGTAAACAATACAATAGTTCCTCTTCTTCTGTAAGTGGGAAAATTATGTCAATACAAACACTCAATTGCTTGAGGTTGTGTGATTATGCAAGCTATAAGCTATCCATTATGTGTAGAAAAATAGGTTATGTTAGTCCCCCACAAAACAGAACTCTGACAGACAGACAGACACCAATGTAGGCCTACACCAACGTCAGTACACAGTGTTCCACCAGTGGTACCTGGTGAGGGGATCGGGGTGGGTGTGGTGCACATTAGTTGCTGCCCTTAACCACAGGGCATGCTTGTCACATAGGCTGGTCATCATTCAGTGTCAGTCGGGACAGCTGTGAGGATGTCCACATAAAGACTCAGACTCACCATGGGATGCAACACTTGGAAACATGCACACACACACACACACACACACACACACACACACACACAGGCAGTAGCAGCCACCTTCTTGTCAAACAGCTCACAGGAAATTAAATTATCTGGGTGGCTGCCTGGCTTTTGATTAAGGCTTTGGTTTCTTGCGTCAAAACATCAGGGCTGTGCTCTCTGTTCTGTTCCCTGAGATCTGTTATCTCCAGAGGAAGATAGAAAATGGTGGTATCTCGTCAACACAATAAGTGACTCACAGGCTCAGTTAACACGCCTCCAGAAGATTATTATCTCTGTAATAATAGCTTCCGTGTAAACCAAACCCACTTAGCCTCTGCATTGTTTACTCCATGCAGCTTTCCATTTATCTTCGAGATAATCAAATCAAATGTTATTTGTCACATGCACCGAATACAACAGGTGTAGACCTTACAGTGAAATGCTTACAAGCCCTTAACCAACAATGCAGTTTTAAGAAAAATAAGTGTTAAGAAAATATTTACTAAATAAACTGAAGTAAAAAAGAAGAAAATAGAAGAAAATAGAAAAATAACAAATAATTAAAGAGCAACAATAAAATAACATTAACAACGCTATATACAGGGGGTACCGGTACAGAGTCAATGCCTGCTTATGTAATACTATCTTTGATTAAAGGTTTTCTTTTTCTGATTTCCTCTTTGTCTACATGCTTTACTTATAGGAGGACCTGGTGAGTATGACTACAGCTCTCTGTTCCTCTCCAGCATCTGTTTAGTCTGTCTGTCTTTAGTAAACATGCATGATTAAGGGCTGTGAATAGACCCTCCCCATCACTCCCTGTCCCCTTTGTAAACCCCAGTCCTCCACTGACAGTGTATTCTGTGTTCTCTCTCCTCCACACAGAGTGAGAGGGAGAAGAGGGAGCGTCTGGAGGTCCAGAGGGAGAAGCAGAAGGAGCTCATCGTCCAGCTGAAGACCCAGCTGGACGACCTGGAGCGCTATGCCTACCAGGAGGGCAGCTACGACTCCCTGCCCCAGTCTGTGGTCATGGAGAGACAGAAGGTAGGGCTCAGTTCATGCACCAGAAGTCTCCCAAAAGTCTCTTTGATACAATGTTGTTTCCTCCCCATGTGTAATGTCCTGGTAATACTAATGCCTGTTCCACTCTTCCACTGCCAGGTAATCATTGACGAGTTGATCAAGAAGCTGGATGTGAACTTCAACGAGGACATAGGGAACCTGACGCCTGAGGAGCTGAGACAGAGAGTGGACGCTGCCATCGCTCAGATAGTCAACCCAGCCCGGGTCAAGGAGCAGCTGGTGGACCAGCTCAAGACCCAGATCAGGGACCTGGAGATGTTCATCAACTTCATCCAAGGTAGGTGACAGTAGGGCCTGGGATGCCATGTTCGCTGTGGTTAGGTGTCTTGGAAGCTCTCTAATACAAACTTTGTTACTGAAATATTCCACCAATATTCTGACATACTACTGTATTTTCCCTTTACCCAACAGATGAGGTAGGGAACCCTCTTCTGTCTGACGGGGAACCCAGCCAGCAGCCGAGGACAGCAGGGCCCAACACCAGAGCCCCAGGAGGGAGGAAGAAAAGTCAGTTATCACCCAGCATTATTATCATAGGCTCTACAACATCACTCACAATACATCTGTTCTAATGATTCTCTTCTCCTGCCCATAGTGGACCCAGAGCAGGCCCAGAAGATGAGGCAGACAGGCTTGCAGCTGATCCAGCGGGCCCTAGCAGTGCTGCAGATCTTTGCAGTGAGCCAGTTTGGCTGTGGGGCTGGCTACGTTCCCCAGAGCATGTGGTCGCAGGGGGAAGGGGGCCAGGACTATGGCCCTCTGCTGCAGCGTCTGGAGGGGGCTGTGGACCGGGTTCGAGTGCAGGCCTCGTGCAGACAGCCCTCAGTAGATCACGTGGTCAGCTACAACAGCAGCTTGGCCCTGGGGTCCTGTGATGAGCTCACTGCCTCAGTGAGGAAGGAGCTGGCCATTGCCCTGAGAGACCTGCTAGCCCATGGTCTCTACTCCCCCTCCCAGGGCATGAGTCTGGTGCTGGCCCCCGATCTCCTGCCTGCTGCCCTACAGACCTGGCCCAACAACCATCCACCCCTGGGAGCTCTTCGTCAAGTACTACCACTCCAAAAACGGCAAGGCCTTCGTGGAGTCGCCGGCCCGCCAGCTCTCGCAGTCCTTCAGCCTGCCTGTTGCGGGCAATCCGGTCACCGTCACACCCAAGCAGTCCCTGCTCTGGGCCATTCACTCAGTGCTGCTGGAGCATGATCGCTACAAGCGAGGAGCAGACTCAGAGTTCAAGGCTCTGGTATGCATGGCTCTGAACGAGCAGAGGCTGGTGTCATGGCTCAACCTGTTGTGCAAATCAGGGGCTTTGGTGCACCCGCACTACCAGCACTGGAGCTACATGGCTCAGACGGGCTTCGAGGGAGCCCTGCACATTCTGGGACGTATCAGCCACCTCAAGTTTAACCTACCGGTGGACCTGGCTGTGAGGCAGCTCAAGAACATCAAGGATGCCTTCTGAGAAGGGACTGGCGAGAGACACCCAAAACCATGCTTTCAGCTCACATGGTTACCCAGACCTGATTAGGGGCCAAAAATAATACAATCAACCGACCCTTGAGGACCGGAAGGCATGGTTTGGGTGTCCCTCATGTGCTGAAATTATATAATCGGCATAAAAGATTTGTGCTAATGTTGCTTTATCAGTGTCACTTTAAAGTTATCTTGGGTCATTGGGTCAATAAATGTAACTAACGTTTCATTTATCCATGCTCCCCCCCCCCCCCCCCCCCCCTTATAACCACACAAAGGGAGCATATCAAGATCTTGATGACTTGTTACATTGCTTTATATGGAGCTTTATGTGATGATGTTTGCCTTGTCCCTATGGAGATGAGATACAGTAGCTCAGACCTATGCAGCTAATGTTGTGGGGTTGGCCTTTTACAGTAATTCACTACTGTATAAGGATTACCTATAGAATAGGTGATCATCAATGTGACCAAATGTACAGTCATTCCCTCCCTATACTCTGTAGTATGGGCAAAAACAGACCAGTATCCTGCACTGTCACTAAACTGTACATTTATGTTCTGTATGGAAGAGAATAATATAGGTTATAGCATTGCTCTCTGTCTGTGGTTACTCAAAGCTCCACTGTTGCGTACACAGAAGACGCACACTATTCATTGCACTCAGGTCAAATGAACATGGCAACAGTGTATGCTCTCACCAATGAATGTACAAGAGGTCAAAATTCTTAAGATGTCACAAGCGTTCGGAAAAACAAAATGATCACACATGCAGCATGTAGTGTCTCTCCATTGAGAAATAACCAGAACCTGCCTAACGTGTCTTAAAGAAGATGGATAACGTAGAGACCCTGTATTAACTGCTGCGTCTTTACTGTTCCAAATGGAAGTCATTTAAAAAAAAAGAAATGAAATATATGATTCAACTATTTAGCTTCTATGTAATTATAATATATTGAATCGTCCAATATTTAAGATTGTGGGATGTGATAGTTTTCTCTCTGTTTCTATTAGTTTTTTGAATGGTGAATGAAACCACTTGAAGTGAAATCTTCCTATTACATGTGAATCACATGGGGCGTATCCTGAAAAGCTGAATGTACAAACCATAGATACTGTTAATTTCCACATGAGTGAAAACTATTGGCATCATCCCTAGTATGGTTTTTCCAACCCTCCTCACATTAAGGTGTAACCTACTTTGTGACTGGTTTAGTGCTACTCCCATACTTTCTGTTCTATTCCCTTATGGTCTATGTTATTGTATTGAGATCTATTTATATTTTGTTGTATAATAAATTGAAAATGCCTCAGCCTGACCACTACCAGACTATGCTTGGATCAGGTCTGCGCTTTACTGGGGTGCATCTCCATGTAGTGTATGGGAGGTTGTCCTACATCAAAGGGATACTTTGGCTTGCATACTGCTGAGGTGTTAGTGTGAATATCAATACCCCCTTCATTTAGCCTGCATTGTGTTACTTTTCACTTTTCAAATGCACTGTGCTCATGTCAAAACTACTGTTAACACACAACACAAACATAGACGCACAAAACATTTTTGTTAGCATCCTGTCTAAAAACATGGCATGAATTCCGTGCAAAGCTGTTCAACAAAAATCAAGTGTGCAATGTTGAAATGTTACTGTCTCTGATTTGTTTGTTTTTCTGTGTGTGGCCTACTGCACAGATTGAGAAATTGTGATACAGCTGTTTATATTGGTTTTGTTCAATAACTGTATGAATGTGAGCAAATAAACTATTTCAAAAACGTATTTCAGCCCATGTACAATGTGTATCCATTCAGGGCTTTCAACACACTTGTTGTCAATGCACATTAATAAGTAATATAAAATACAGGTGTAATAATGATGCCTGCCACTTTTGTCTTTAGTTTAGTTAAGTTGCAGGCCTTCACTTTGCATAAGAGCATCAGAGAACACTGACAACTGTGCCAACAACTGAATGGGATACCTTCATTGCCACATGTCACAGAGAAACTCAATATAGGGCTGACTAGGTTCCCTTTCATAAGCTTGACATAAATGATTTTGTGGCAAAAATAAAGAAACTGTTCCAGGACCAGTTCTGAGCATAGAGGTTTTCTGCTTGTCGGAAATGACGCATTGTTGATTTGATGTGAAAGGTCACGAAAATCTTCTCAACTTCCTTTCTTGCTAGCGGTGGCCACAGAATAGCACCAGTGAGTGAATTTCTCAACGAAATAATCTTCAACCATCGTCAAAAATCCGGACATTTACATACTTCTTAGTTGTTTTGTACCCTAAAGTATACGTTTAAGAACCGATTTGTTTGATAATTTCCCTTAATTTGGCATTTATATTGGGAAAACGGGTACGTTTATATAGTGTCAGCTATCCATATCACTAGCGTTTCAACATGGCAGCTTCCTTGATAAGGTTCATGTCGATTCAAAACCAACAACGTTCGGTTATGTAAATTATTTAATCGGATAACCACAGTGTACTCGGTTAATGGCGTTCGGTTGCCTGTTTAAATGTAATTGCATGAAAGTATGCCAAATCTCGCCCGAATGGTAACGTTAAGATAGCTAGCTAAATAAACAGTGATGGCTGTGTAGCCAACGTTAGCTAACACTAGCTAGCACCCACTTTAGTCACGACCTCATGTAATCTAACGTTTAATAAAATACTGTTTTTCGTTACATGACTTTGCTAACTAGGTCATGCAATCGCGTGCAGTCACTGGTCATCGGGTGTCCAAGCTGACGCAGTTAACTTAGCTAATAGCATGTAGTTGACCAACATCCTACTGATATCTAGAGGCAGTGAATATTGTCCCACATTGACCTGTCCATGGCGTCTTGTCTTAGTAATAATGCTCGTCTTTGTTACTGTCACTTCTCTTGTCTCCCAGAGATGGGCAAGTTCATGAAACCTGGGAAGGTGGTGATGGTCCTTGCTGGGCGCTACGCTGGGCGTAAAGCTGTTATCGTCAAGGTAAGTTTGATCCTGAGCTATTGCTAAACGTGCATATTTCACATCCAGTTTGATTAACTACTGTGTTTGCTTGGATAATCATCTAGATCATAAAGAGCATCCCCTTATTTGCAATGTGGTCCATAAACACTGGTAACTGAACAGCTAGTTATATGTTAATTCTCTCCCTACAGAACATTGATGATGGCACCTCCGATCGCCCCTACAGTCACGCACTGGTCTCAGGCATCGACCGCTACCCCCGCAAAGTGACCACAACCATGGGCAAGAAGAAGGTCGCCAAGAGGTCCAAGATCAAGGCCTTCGTAAAGGTGTACAACTACAATCACCTCATGCCCACCAGGTCAGTGCCAGGTGTATAGGAATATAGGATGGGAGTAATGGTTGTTTAGGTGGCTACCTGCTGACATGAGACTAAACTGGAGGTGACTAGCAGTATTGCATCCATGCAATATGTCTATATTTTGATGGAATTCTGGCAGTGACCAAACTGGCAGGGATCTATTAAGTAGGATGCAGTATCAAGGAATGTATAGATTGTGTACTGAATGGACCCTATTCTGTTGGATGCGGTGAACTACCCTTTCACACTCCTAAGCCATGTTGTACTGAACTGGCCAGGTTATGCATCCATATCCACCATAGTTGCAGCAGCTGTGCTGGAAAGAACAATCTGAGCCAGCAAAGTACAGTTTGGGTCAGCACGCTAGTGTGAAGGCTATAGCTGTTCAACCCATCTAATCTCGGCTTGCATCAATCAGATTTTGTCCCTACTTAGTAAACTTGGTAGGTGGCTTGGTTTGATTTTCATTCTTGGAATGTTCCGAGTAGTTTATGGGGATATTTTATCCACTTGTGTTCCTGTCCTTTATAGAAAATTGACGTAGGGATCTTGCTAAGTCTCTTGCTGTGTTCTCCCTGTGCTCAGATACTCTGTGGACATTCCTCTGGACAAAACTGTCGTCAACAAGGATGTCTTCAGAGACCCTGCCCTGAAACGCAAAGCCAGACGGGAGGCCAAGATTAAGTTTGAGGAGAGGTGAGTCTTTTCCCACACCAGGAACCAGACCTTGTGAGAAATGCACTGGTTCCTTGTCCTGATAATATCTGATACATGATGCAAGTAGCTTAACTACTATAGGATAATTAAATGTCACAGGCTTTGTCTTTTTCATCTCCATTGACAACATTTTCTGAAATGTTTTTTATTTCTATCCACAGGTACAAGACAGGCAAGAACAAATGGTTCTTCCAGAAGCTTAGATTCTAGGCGTTCATTGGTTTCACTAATAAATGTATAAGAAAATGTATACTCTGGTGTTTTCATTTTTACTTTTGACATGATTTGTGGTTTTATTGACAAGTGTAAGATGTTTTGGAGATTAAGCAATACAGCTGATTATTGCCTCATAAAAAGCAGTAGAAAGGTGTTTACAAAAGCTGCTTGTTAATGACAATGTTCATGTCATGAATTAACTTATTGGCCCAACCAGTAAAACTAAGTGGAGGAAAATTGTTTTGCCAAAACGCATAAAGTACATATCTTTGTCCTATTTACCATTTTGCTCATAATCCATTCCACACATAATCATATGGTCTAGAATGTAAACTAAGCAAAAAAGAACTCCCTTTTTCAGCACCCTGTCTTTCAAAGATAATTTGTTAAAACCAATGGATTACAGATCGTCATTGTAAAAGGGTTTTAAACATGTTTCCCATTGCTTGTTCAATGCACCGATAAACCATTAATGAACATACACTGTGGAATGGCGTTAAGACATATCCTACTTTGTCAATATAATCCATCCATCTGACAGGTGTGGAATAACAAGAAGTTGATTAAACAGCATGATCATTACACAGGTGCACCTTGTGCTGGGGACAAAAGGCCACCAAAAATATGCAGTTTAGTTACAACACAATGCCACAGGTGTCTCAAGTTGAGGGAGCGTGCAATTGGCATGCTGACTGCAGGAATCTCCACCAGAGCTTTTGACAGAGAATTGAATGTTTATTTCTCTACCATAAGCTGCCTCCAATGTCGTTTTAGAGAATTTGGCAGTACATCCAACTGGCCTCGCAAACCGCGCCAGGCCAGGAACTCCACATCTGGCTTCTTCACCTGCGGGATCGTCTGAGATCAGCCACCAGGACAGCTGATGAAATGGGAGTATTTCTGTCAGTAATAAAGCCCTTTAGTAGCGGTAAAACACATTCTGATTGGATGGGCCTGGCTCCCAGTGTGGCTGCGCCCCCCATCCAGCCATGTGAAATCCATAGATTAGGGCAAAATTAATTTATTTAAATTGACTGATTTCCTTAAAATTGTTCCTTTTTTAATTTATATTTTTTGTTCAGTATCCATTTTGCTCATATCCATTTCCACACATTATTGGTCTATAATTGTATCAGTATGGCAGTGGTCACCAAGCTACTGGATGGATATGCATGTTTTCCAGCCACTAGCTCACCGGATAAATCTAATCAAGGTAATGAAATATGATTCGAAAATGAAACTGAAAGACGCACCATTACACTTAACAGTGGTGGTAAGTGGTTTACTTCGCTTCCTTGTCTTCAAAAATTACTTAATGTTTTTCTAAAATAGATTGGATATTGTTTAGACATGCTTTTAAAGACTTAAAAATGAACGGTTAGTTGTAGTTTGACACGTCGATAGTTAGATTGTCATACTCGAAAAGTAATGCGTAGCCTACATGAATACCGAAAGCTTTAAACTAGATTTTAAAAATACTTTACAATTTTAGAAATACTAGGAAAGTAAAAGAAATGTTATGCGTTGTGGGATGTCGATCTGATAAAATCATATTACGCAGTAATCAAACACTGATCTCAAGTGAATGATCTGTCAGAGGAAACATTGTAGCGTACACTAGTCAATGGAGACATTTTAGCCTACATTGGTATGGGGCTTTTTCATCATAAATTGGGCCTTTCACATTTGACATTTCATTTTATACTCTCTTTCCAGATTAGCGTCAACCTCTCCGATTGACATGTCGTTTGAGGTAAGAGGGAAATCCCATCTTCAATGAGACCTGTCATTTAAATTTTTATAAACAACAGGCCGCTCACAGAATGCTGTTGGAATTGTTTTTCAGGATTTGTCGTTTGTGACGGTAGACGCCCATGGATCACAAAACATCTTGGAGGGTATTATAACTGCCATCAGCAAATGCAAGGTATATTTGATCAAATAAAGGAAACATTGATAGCAGAATAAATACTGCTGGCACATAGAGGCCTAGTCTACTGTATGTAGAATAATTCATGCATCTTTTACTCCCTTGGTTTGTAAGTGTAGCCCATGGCTCAAGGGCCTCATATAATCTATCTGTGTTCTCAGGTTCAACACAACCAGCTGCTGAAGGAGCAGCAGGATTTGTCCAGAGCCAGGGATGAGCAGGTGGACCTGGCTGAACAGTATAGACAGCGCACAGTCAAACTGAGGACATCTTTGGAAGAGGATAAATGTGACCAAGCCAGGGATGTGGACTCTGAAAGGGTATGACAACTCTCAACCACTTAACCAAAGATCATCAACACTAGGATTTTAATTAGATCTTTCTTAGGATATCGCTATATTTAGCTTTTCCTATATTTAGTGGCTTTTTGGGGGGTTGAGGGAGGTCTTGTTAGAGGTTTCGGATTCTGCCTGAATGACTGATAGGCGTTTATGTTTCTCTGCAGAAGAAGATGGCCGCCCTGCATGAGGAGGAGAGCAGGCTGAAGAGGGAGATCCAGAGAGCAGAGGAGGAACTGCAGCTTGAGGAGGAGAGCACCCACCAACTCAAGCAGCAGACTGATGTATGGCCACACCCCAAAACGAATAAGGAGATGTATCATTACTCTTGGTGTGGCTGTGTACTGTAGTAGGTGTGGTGAGATTTAGTTGACTATTGAAGATTGTGTCTCTTGGTTTTAGGTGTCTACTGCTGCAGTGCCTGAAAAGAAGGTTGTGTTCACTGGAATGACGGGTGATGGAGCAAATGCACTCAATTTTGATGTGAAGCCACACATAGTGTATCCAATGGAGGAGGGCACTGCACTGATCACCTTTGAGGAAGAGCTAGGTAAGACCGAAACCCTCACTCTGTTTAGCACCTATTTTATTTCCGTGGTTATTATACCTCCTTTCCTCCACAGTGGCCCAGAAGATCCTGAGCCTGAGGGAGCATAAGGTGGATCTGGGCGGGGATTGTGCCATCACCCTGGAGGCCAAGCTCATACAGCTGCTGGTGCCCTGTCAAGTAGAGGTACAACAAGAGAGACCCATCTCCATTCACTAGTGTCTAGGTGTCAGGGACTGTGGCTGTGTTATGAAGAGCGTCAGTTAGTTTATTTCATTTGCATGTACGTCATTGCGTTCCTTTGTGTGAACTAGTGTGTGTGCACCGGTCTCTCTACCTCAGATGGACACCGAGGTATGTTCCCGCCGTGTCCTGGTTTCGAACCTGCCGAAGGTCGCGGAGGACCGCTTGCTCGACAAACTGGAGATCCACTTTGCCAAGCGCAAGAATGGAGGGGGGGAGGTGGAAGAGTCTGACATGCTGCATGATTCTGGCAACGTGGTCATCACTTTCACAGAAAACAATGGTACGCAAGTCAAGTTCCTGTCAGAAAATGTAGTTTTCCTCATAAAGGGAAAAAGCTCAGACTTAATGAATTTATCATACTGTTATTTCTGTCCATTCTTTCTGACTTTATATAATGAGAAATGTACAACTTTTGATTAACTGAGCTGACTGTGCATTGTTTACCAGTTGCCAAAGGCCTGACTGACAAGCAGTACCATGATGTGGAGTTTGAGAAAGGGAGGAAGCACAGTGTGAAGGTGACTCCATTTCTGAACGGAGAGATCACAAGTTTCCAGGTAAGCAGATTTCATGTTCATGGCCCTGAGTTTATCCCTTTAACTCCATGATAACCATACTTGATAACTAAGACTATAAAATAATCAATTTATCATAGGCCAACTACACTATCAGCAGAAATACCTTTAGGCCTAGTGAAATCATCAATTCAGAGCGTAATGTTATAAACCATACACAGTATCAGTCTGCGGTCGTGCGCCCATTCACATTTGGTTAAAAGTTACAACTACAATGGGATTGTTATACAATTATAATTCCAGGGTTAAGCTAAAGTAATGTAAACGCTTACATGTTGGTTTCCACATAACCTCACCTGGAAAAATTCAAGGCCCTATACATTAGATAATAGGTGCTCAACTCATTGTTTGGGACTTACGACAAGCTAGTCCAACCATTAGTGTCTAGAAGCTGTCTGCAGTAAAATGATATCCTCCAATCTGACCCCCCTCGCCCCTGTACCCTCTACCAGACACGGCTGTCAGCGTGTGGGCGTACTGTGCTGCTGACTGGCATCCCTGCCATCATGGAGCAGGAGAACCTGCAGGACCTGCTGGAGATCCACTTCCAGAAGACCAGTAACGGTGGGGGAGAGGTGGACGCCTTCCTCTACAACCCCATGGGGCAGCACACCCTGGCCCTGTTCAAGGAGGACTGTCCCACTGAAGACCAGAGCCAGTGATAGGGCCAGGCACTGGTAGTGAGCTCAGACACCTTTTTATTGCCGCTCATCTACCCCATCTCAGGACAGGATCACAGTCAAATCCAGCCTGGGGATCTAATCCTGGCCTGCTATCAGGATGTTACAATTTTTCAACCAAATGCCATTCTTAGTGGTTGGCACTGTGCCAAAGCTTTTGACTATGAGTTTATATAATCATCAAGTGTCTGAGATTTTCCTGTCTTTTCTGGGTTTCCTGTTTCAAAACACAAAATGTTTTTGCATATAATTTGATAGAACATCTATTTATTTACAATTTCTGATTATGTATGCAGATCATTTTGGGTGTAATGTTTTTTGTTGAATTTTTTTCATTCAGATGTGGCATCAGTGACAAAATGATCTGCATACATAAAATTAAGTTGCCAAAGAAATGTGAATTATGCTTGACAAGACTAATCTAGATATCTTTAAGTTAATGTTTAGAAGGAATGTGTAATCTACAGCTCTCTAAAGGTGTCACTATTTAGTGTTCTATATTCATGATATGCTATTGTTTTCTGTCATTCTTAGTATTGAATGAGCAATCCTGTACAGTAGAATCAGTGATTGTAATAAAGTCTGTCCAATGGACCAAGTCAGACATTACGATAGTGTGTGTGGTTCGTTCATTATTACTGAGAAAGGGACTACACTGACGATGTGAGATCGTAAACTGGTCAGAGATTGAAGTTAAACGAGTAAAGTGCTTGAGCGTCAAAGCAGTACAAGTAGTTTAGCAAAACCACACCCAGTCAGATAATGGAACACAGATGGAGTTTATTGTAAAAATCTAGTAACAGCAAAGTAGAGTAACAATGTCCCACAACAAAAACACAAAGATCCAGCAGGATAGCCTCTAGTGCAACCACTATAAAAACAAGTTAGATCCACAGGAAGACGACAGAGTACTCACTCAGTCAGGCACTTAGGAGGAGGGGGGGGGGGGTGAGAACCAAGTGATATGAAAGAGTCAAATACATTCCAAGAGAATGAAGGAAAGCAGCAGGGTGAGGACAAAGCTGGATATACAGTAAATAATTGGGAAGACGGTAGTTCCAACTGACAACAAAAACAAGGTCAAACCCACATACTTTTTAAACTCATTGTTACAAGTTTACATAATGGTTAACACGACCTAGAGCAGAAGTCACGGACAGTCTATAGCATCTATTGAAAGTGGTCACTCTCTCGTACTCTGAAGTCTACATTATAAACTGGTTTGTTCGAGCCCTGAATGCTGATTGGCTGACAGCCGTGGTATACCACAGGTATGACAAAACATGTATTTTTACTGCTCTAATTACGTTTAACCAGTTTATAATAGCCATAAGACACCACGGGGGTTTGTGGTATATGACCAATATACCACATCTAAGGGCTGAATCCAGGCACTCGTTGCGTCGTGCATACGAACAGCCCTTAGCCATGGTATATTGGCCATATACCACACCCCCTCGTGCCTTATTGCTTAAGTATATCATGTAGCTATAGCTAACCTCTGTGCATGCTTGAGTTCACTTCGACCTCTCCATTTTAATCTCAATCTTTCGACAACACGTTCTTAGTGGTATCTTTCCAATCCAGAAAGAGACACTCACAAACGATCACATGACTTTCTCTCTTCTGCTCAGTCACACACCTGACTTAAATCAAACTAAGGTCAGTGTAAACTCATTTCTAGGAGATTGTTAAAAAGCACCTCTGGTGTCAATATGGTATGTATAAACATTTGTATTCCTGGCCTGATAGAACCTAATTATATTAAATAATATTCTACTTCCTCAGGTTATATTGTGACATTTAGAAAGTAACAAATCCTGTGACGTGGTTTTGATCTGATCTGTTCCTACAGTCACTTAACAATAACAGTACAGTCAACACAATCCTGATGTCAGCCAGTGAAAATGTCTAACAGCCTCAATTGTTCATTTCACATTTACATTTTAGTCATTTAGCAGACGCTCTTATCCAGAGCGACTTACAGTTAGTGAATGCATAAAAGGGAATATACAGTGAGCTCCATAATTCATTGGACAGTGACCATTTGTTTGTTAATTTGGTTCTGTACTCTAGCACTTTGAGTTTGAAAGGATACAATGACAATGAGGGTGAAGTGCAGACTGTCAGCTTTAATTTGAGGGTACTTTCATACATATCAGATGAACCGTTTAGAAATGACAGCACCTTTTGTACATGGTCCCCCTATTTTAAGGTACTACAAGTATTTGATAAATTGGCTTCACAGATGTGTGTCTTTAGGCAGGTGTATTCATTTGTGTCGTTAGTGAATGCAGGAGAGCTGTTGATGAATAGTATTGATTCTAGACTTTGCTATTGCCTTTGGAGGTTGTTGTTGGGGTGTGACAACATGAGGAAGACAGCAGTGTCGATGCAAATGAAGCTGGCCGTCATAAGGGTCAGAAATGAAAATCAATCAATCAGGAACATTGCAAAAACCCTGGCCATGCCCAAGTCAACAGTTTGGTTCATTATTATCAAGAAAAAAACAACCGGTGAACTCAATTATGTCAAAAGACCCGGTAGACTGAGGAAGACCACTGTAGTGGATGACCGGAGAATACTCTCTATGGTGAAGAAAACCCCCCTGACAACAGCCCAACAGATCAAAAACACTCTCCTGGATGCAGGTGTAGATGTGTCAAAGTCTACCATACGTAGAAGACTACATCAGCAGGACTACAGAGGGTACACTACAAGATGCAAACCACTTATAAGCCTGAAGAACAGAAAGGCGAGATTACAGTTTGCTAAAAAGCACCTAAAAAGAGCCCCAAGAGTTCTGGAAAAAAGTATTGTGGACAGATGAGACAAAGATTAACATGTACCAGAGTGATGGAAAGCGGAAAGTGTGGAGAAAAATAAGAAATGCCCATGATCCAAAGCATACCACCTCATCCGTGAAACATGGTGGAGGGGGTGTTATGGCTTGGGCCTGTATGGCTGCCAGTGGAACAGGCTCACTTGTCTTCATCGATGATGTGACTGCAGACAGAAGTAGAACAATGAATTCTGAAGTCTACAGAAATATTTTATCTGCTCAGATAAAACCAAATGCCTCCAAACTCATTGGACGGCACTTCATCATACAACAAGACAATAACCCTAAACATACTGCTAGAGCAACGAAGGGGTTTTTGATGGCCAAAAAGTGGAAAATCCTTGACTGGCCGAGTCAATCACCGGATCTGAATCCAATTGAACATGCATTTTACATGCTGAAGAGGAGACTGAAGGCAATAAGTCCCCGAAACAAGCAGGAACTGAAGATGGCTGCAGTACAGGCTTGGCAGAGCATCACCAGGGAAGATACCCAGCGTCTGGTGATGTCGATGCATCGCAGACTTCAAGCAGTCATTGCATGCAAAGGATATGCGACCAAATATTAACAATGATTACTTTATTCTACATTATGTTAAACTGTCCAATGTCTTTTGATGCCCGAAAATGGGGGGGACCATGTACAAAAGCTTCTATAATTTCTAAACGGTTCATCCGACATGTATGAAAATACCCTCAAATTAAAGCTGACAGTCTGCACTTCACCCTCATTGTCATTGTATCCTTTCAAACTCAAAAGTGCTAGAGTACAGAACCAAAATAACAAAAAAATGGTCACTGTCCAATGAATTATGGAGCTCACTGTATATATATTTTTCATACTGGCCCCCCGTGGGAAACGAACCCACATCCCTGCCGGCCAAACCCTCCCCTACCTTGGACGACGCTGGACCAATTGTGCGCCGCCCATGTGTCTCCCGGTCGCGGCCGGCTGCGACAGAGCCTGGACTCGAACCAGGATCTCTAGTGGCACAGCCACTCGGGAGTGTTCCTTTTAAGTACCTGTAAAAAGTTCTTCCCATATTGCAAATAAACCAAATGACCAACATAACTTACCAGTAATACCCTACAATAGTTGTGCGTATTGCATATTTAAACTATTACAACAATACATCAATACAACAATACAACCCTATAGGCCATCTCATGTAGTGATTGTGCTATTAAAAAGCTTGGAGGACGATCCTCTTCTGTAACCTGTGCTACAGTATGATAAAGGACTGAATAGGAAAAATAATATGACTTTGCCCCTAATACAGAAATACAGACTAGGTTGGTTTTACCGAAGCTGCGGACGTTTCACAGCATTGCTTATACAGTATTGTGTAACTGTCGGGATTGCATGAAAGTTCCAACATTTTAATGACAGACTAACCCTATCCCTTTAAAAGTCCATGCAGAAACACCAAGAGTAACAGACGTGACCTGTTCATCTCTGCCGGTCAGCCAGCCTATCAAAGGGAGTGCATTATGGGTTGTTGTGAAGCTGCTGGTCTTGAAGATGGAGTGGAGGACTAGTCGCGATATGATTGGCATGTGCAATCTGCCAATTAAACGACCAGTGGTGCCCATTCACTCTGTTTCCGTCCATACTGAGTAAAGGAGTGGATGGCGCCAGGAGAAGTGAAGAGTGGCGAAAAAAGAGCAAAATCTTTATTTTGTTGCTTAGAGCAGACAAAATGTATTTAGTTAAAATTAATATCTGAGAGAAGTACTCTGTTTAAAGGGTCAAAGCAAGCATTAGGGCAGAGCTGCTTACCTGCATGTCCGTCAGCTCTTTGTGGAATCGCTTGGCCAGGTCTGGACCATTCTGCATGGTAGGAATTTGGTATGTCTGGGGGGGGGGGGGGGAGAATATCATCTGGAGCATTTTGTTTGAGGGCAAAACAAAAGGGTTTCAGAAAAATGTAAATACACCAAGACTTGTGGTTACCTTTCCTTTGTAGAGCAGGCTGCCGACAGGACAGACGACACAGGCCGTCCCGGCACCAAACACCTCCGTAATCTTGCCTGAATCCAAAGCACCGAGCAGCTCCTTCATGCCCATGGTGCGCTCTGTCACTTTGAACTCCCCCTGAAGGAAACAAAACAAGTCAGTATGACTGTGCATCACTATAATTCCAATAAAATAATTATTCTAACCATCTATGTCAATGGATTACAATGGTCTTAAATCCTATCTATCCGTTCTCAAATAACTAATCCCTACTTACCCATTCTCTGGCCAGGTCCAGCAGACACTGTCTGGTGACTCCTGGGAGAATGATGCCATCTAGAGGAGGAGTCAGCAACTCTCTCTCTGCATACAAACAAACAGGTACTCTTACTCACATACATTTGACATTTTAGTCATTTAGCAGACGCTCTTATCCAGAGCGACTTACAGTTAGTGAGTGCATACATTTTCATACTGGCCCCCCATGGGAATCGAACCCACAAACCTGGCGTTGCAAACGCCATGCTCTACCAACTGAGCTACACAGGACTGTGTACATAAGCTATACACAGTTGTTTGGAGTTTAACATAATTCACCATATCCAGATGAAGAGACATTAACAACCAATAGGGGGAAGCATTGATACAGCCTAGATCAGGGCTGCCCAACCCTCTTCCTGGAGATCTACCGTCCCGTGGGTTTTCAGTCCAACCCCAATTTAACACACCTGATTCTACTTATTAGCTGCTCAACAAGACCTTAACTAGCTGAATCAAATATGCTAAATTAGGGTTGGACTGAAAACCTACAGGACAGTAGATCTCCAGGAAGAGGGTTGGGAAGCCCTGGCCTAGATTGACAGTCTAGTCAGACACTAAGCAAACACAAGCACAGGCATACAGACTAGAGACAGTCAGGCATACAGACTAGAGACAGTCAGGCATACAGACTAGAGACAGTCAGGCATACAGACTAGAGACAGTCAGACATACAGACTAGAGACAGTCAGACATACAGACTAGAGACAGTCAGACATACAGACTAGAGACAGTCAGACATACAGACTAGAGACAGTCAGACATACAGACTAGAGACAGTCACACATACAGACTAGAGACAGTCACACATACAGACTAGAGACAGTCACACATACAGACTAGACAGTCACGCATACAGACTAGAGACTGTCAGGCATACAGTCTAGAGACAGTCAGACATACAGACTAGAGACAGTCACACATACAGACTAGAGACAGTCACACATACAGACTAGAGACAGTCACACATACAGACTAGACAGTCACGCATACAGACTAGAGACTGTCAGGCATACAGTCTAGAGACAGTCAGGCATACAGTCTAGAGACAGTCAGGCATACAGTCTAGAGACAGTCAGACATACAGACTAGAGACAGTCAGACATACAGACTAGAGACAGTCAGACATACAGACTAGAGACAGTCACACATACAGACTAGAGACAGTCACGCATACAGACTAGACAGTCACGCATACAGACTAGAGACTGTCAGGCATACAGTCTAGAGACAGTCAGGCATACAGTCTAGAGACAGTCACGCATACAGACTAGAGACAGTCACACATACAGTCTAGAGACAGTCAGGCATACAGACTAGAGACAGTCAGACATACAGACTAGAGACAGTCAGACATACAGACTAGAGACAGTCAGACATACAGACTAGAGACAGTCAGACATACAGACTAGAGACAGTCAGACATACAGACTAGAGACAGTCACACATACAGACTAGAGACAGTCACACATACAGACTAGACAGTCACGCATACAGACTAGAGACAGTCAGGCATACAGTCTAGAGACAGTCAGGCATACAGTCTAGAGACAGTCAGGCATACAGTCTAGAGACAGTCAGGCATACCATCTAGAGACAGTCAGGCATACCGTCTAGAGACAGTCACGCATACAGTCTAGAGACAGTCACGCATACAGTCTAGAGACAGTCACGCATACAGACTAGAGACAGTCACGCATACAGACTAGAGACAGTCAGGCATACAGACTAGAGACTGTCAGGCATACAGACTAGAGACAGTCACGCATACAGACTAGAGACAGTCACGCATACAGACTAGAGACAGTCACACATACAGACTAGAGACAGTCAGGCATACAGACTAGAGACAGTCAGGCATACAGACTAGAGACAGTCACACATACAGACTAGAGACAGTCACACATACAGACTAGAGACAGTCACACATACAGACTAGAGACAGTCAGGCATACAGACTAGAGACAGTCAGACATACAGACTAGAGACAGTCACACATACAGACTAGAGACAGTCACACATACAGACTAGAGACAGTCACACATACAGACTAGAGACAGTCACACATACAGACTAGAGACAGTCACGCATACAGACTAGAGACTGTCAGGCATACAGACTAGAGACAGTCAGGCATACAGTCTAGAGACAGTCAGGCATACAGTCTAGAGACAGTCACGCATACAGACTAGAGACAGTCACGCATACAGACTAGAGACAGTCACGCATACAGACTAGAGACAGTCACGCATACAGACTAGAGACAGTCACACATACAGACTAGAGACAGTCACGCATACAGACTAGAGACAGTCAGGCATACAGACTAGACACAGTCAGACATACAGACTAGAGACAGTCACACATACAGACTAGAGACAGTCACGCATACAGACTAGAGACAGTCACGCATACAGACTAGAGACAGTCACACATACAGACTAGAGACAGTCACGCATACAGACTAGAGACAGTCAGGCATACAGACTAGAGACAGTCAGACATACAGACTAGAGACAGTCACACATACAGACTAGAGACAGTCACGCATACAGACTAGAGACAGTCACACATACAGACTAGAGACAGTCACACATACAGACTAGAGACAGTCACGCATACAGACTAGAGACAGTCACGCATACAGACTAGAGACAGTCACGCATACAGACTAGAGACAGTCAGGCATACAGACTAGAGACAGTCAGACATACAGACTAGAGACAGTCACACATACAGACTAGAGACAGTCACGCATACAGACTAGAGACAGTCACGCATACAGACTAGAGACAGTCACGCATACAGACTAGAGACAGTCAGGCATACAGACTAGAGACAGTCACACATACAGACTAGAGACAGGCATATAGACTAGAGACAGTCAGGCATACAGACTAGAGACAGTCAGGCATACAGACTAGAGACAATCAAACAGACATACAGTGTCTTCAGAAAGTATTCATACCCCTTGACGTATTCCCCCAAAAAATTGTGTTACAGCCTGAATTCAAAATTGACACAGAAATATCTCATTTACATAAGTATTCACACCCGAGTCAATACTTTGTAGAAGCACCTTTGGAAGCGATTACAGCTGTTAGTGAGTCTTTCTGGGTAAGTCTCTAAGAGCTTTTTCCCATTATTATTTTCAAAATTCTTCAAGCTCTGTCAAATTGGTTGCTGATCATTGCTAGACAACCATTTTAAGGTCTTGCCATAGATTTTCAAGTAGATTTAAGTCAAAACTGCAACTCGGCCACTCAAGAAACATTCACTGTAAACAACTCCAGTGTAGATTTGGCGTTGTGTTTTAGTTTATTGTCCTGCTGAAAGGTGAATTCATCTCCCAGTGTCTGGTGGAAAGCAGACAACCAAGTTTTCCTCTAGGATTTTGCCTGTGCTTAGCTCCATTGCATTTCTTTTTTATTCCGAAAACCTCCCCAGTCCTTAACAATTACAAGCATACCCATAACATGATGCAGCCATCACTATGCTTGAAAATATGGAGAGTGGTACTCAGTTATGTGTTGTATTAGATTTGCCCCAAACATAACACTTTGTATTCAGGAAAAAAAAGTTACTTTCTTTGCCACATTTTGCAGTATTACTTTAGTGCCTTGTTGCAAACAGGATGCATGTTTTTGAATAATTTTTTTCTGTACAGGCTTCCTTCTTTTCACTCTGTCAATTAGGTTAGTATTGTGGAGTAACTATAATGTTGTTGATCCATCCTAATTTCTCCTATCACAGCCATTAAACTCTGTAACTGTTTTAAAGTCAATATACCCAGCGACTGGGTATATTGATACACCATCCAAAGTGTAATTAATAACTTCACCATGCGCAAAGGAATATTCAATGTCTGCTTTTATATTTTTACCCATTTATCAATAGGTGCCCTTCTTTGCGAGGAATTGGAAAACCTCCCTAGTCTTTGTGGTTGAATCTGTGTTTGAAATTCACTGCTCGACTGAGGGACCTTACAGATAATTGCATGTGTGGTGTACAGAGATGAGGAAGTAATTCAAAAATCATGTTAAACACTATTATTATTGTTAAACACATTTTACTCCTGAACTTATTTAGGCTTGCCATAACAAAGGGGTTGAATCCTTATTGACTCAAGACATTTCAGCTTTTCATTTGTAATTAATTTACTTTGATATTATGGGGTATGCTAGTGACAAAATCTCAATTTAAGACATTTTAAATTCAGGCTATAACACAACAAAATGTGGAAAAAGCCAAGGGGTGTGAATACTTTCTGAAGGCACTGTACAGACTAGAGATAGTCAAACAGACCTCCTCCCTCATTCGTCCAGTAGATGAAGAGGTTCATGGTGCCGACCTCTGTGATCTCCTCCTGCTCTCCATACAGCCACAGGACCTGCTGACAGCCCTGCTTTATAGCCTCATTCTGCACTGCTATAGTAGGCCCATAGTTACTGACAGAGAGAGGGAGAGAGACGGAAAGTAAGAGAGTGAAAGGGAGGAATAGACACGGGAGAGAGAGGAGGGGTGGTGGAATATTTCATCTCAGCAGGCAGCTCCCTTGGAGACACCCAACCCTCATAAACAGCTCCTCCTGCTGGGGGAGCTGACCTTGTGAGAGAGGTCAAAGCAACATGGCTACCAGAGGACAGACAGGACATTGAGTTAATGTTCAGCTAACATCCAGGATGCAGCCAACTTTTTGTAATCTAAAGGAATCCACATGGTTAAAATAGCTAAACAATTACATTATAAGCCTCAAGCATTCTCTATTCAGAAGTAAACGTGGGGCCCCAGAGTCAGACCATATCTTGATAATTCCATGGTGTTATATAAGAGTTGTTATATAGCCAATAAGCTATTAAGAAACCACTGTCTCGTTTTTCGGAAATTCCAATTGTTGCTTTCGCAAATTGTTGAGTCACTTCTACTTGGAAGTGTGTGTGTGTTAGTGTGATACTCACCCCCCCATCTTGTAGGCTCCGACCCCCCCTCTCCAGGCCCTGACGTAGCCTGGGTCTGCCAGCAGAGAGACTGGGCTGAAGGCCCCTGTGGTAAAGTAGGGCCCTACAGGACCCACGATGCAAAATAGTAGGGCTTGGCTGGCCCTCGAGACACCCAGGGAAGGCTGAGGCCAGGAGGGAGAGGGAGGAGGAAGGAGAAGAGTGTTACTGGAGGTGTTACTGGAGGACACAGTGACCGCTCTATGTCACTACCTGGGCCTAAGTGTAGATGGTAAAAAAATTGATATGATGATCATTAAATGTGAAACCATGGAGACTGTCTCCTGTGTCTGTGAGAGGGGGAGCAGTGCTCACCTCAATGCCAATGAAGGTGGGTCTTATATAGAGGCTGGCTTCTAGGGAGTAGGGGACCCACTCCTGGTCTACCTCCACCAGCTTCCTAATGCACTCCAACAGCTCCACCTTATCAAACAACTACACAGAGATGGGAGGGACAGAGAACCTATAACAACTTGGTTCAGTTCAGTTGAGTGGAAAACCAGCATTTACATGGAGTCCTTCAGGACCAGGTCTGAGAGATACTCACAGGGAGACAGCTGCGGTCAGCACTGCGGTGCATTCTATCCATGTTCAGGTTGGGTCTGAACAGACGGATGTGGTTGTCTACCCCTCTGAACGCCTTCATGCCCTCAAATAGCTGAGTGAGACAGACACAGACACACTGTTCATACATCTGACAGAATTAACCATCTCTGTCCAAGTGGCGCAGCCGTCTAAGGCACTGCATCTCAGTGCTTGAGGCATCACTACAGACCCCCTGGTTCGATTCCAGGCTGTATCACAATCCGGCCGTCATTGGGAGTCCCATAGGGCGGCGCACAATTGGCCCAGTGTCGTCCGGGTTTGGCCGGTGTAGGCCGTCATTGTAAATAAGAATTTGTTCTTAACTGACTTGCCTAGTTAAATAAAGGTAAAATAAAAAATAAAAGAATAAGCTAGGTGACTTGTATCAAGGAAAGACGGCTTAGTAAGACATAATGCTAGCCTCATCAAGCAAACTGACTGCTGCGCTCACGTTTAGTTTATGAAACAGAATGTGAACTATGGCGACGTCAGTCTGGTTTCACGAGGCTAACATAGTGCAGACATAGGAGAGACATTTGGCTGGGGCTCCTTCTCTCACCTCTATGGAGTAGTGCAGGGCAGAGGTGGCAGGGTGCAACGACAGGTTCTGAAAGGGCTTGATCTGTGGAACCTTCCAGCCTGCTTTCTCTGACCAATAGATGGTCAGCATGTGATCAGAGAACTGTTTGCCAAACACCAGGGAGGCGGGGTCTGGCTTGGGCTTCCCCGCAGTGTTGTGCTCGATAGTGAGGTCTGCGGCCTGAGAGAGGAAGAGGGGCGGAGCAAAAGAGACAGACGGACAGACAGGGGGAAAGGAACAGAGCGAGGGCCGAACACAATGATTTTCTTTATTGTAATCGAAAGGGCATGCTTTGAGCGGGAATTAATGTTGGTCTTGGGAGCCAATTAAGCACTTCAATTAAACTTAATTAAATAATCAAAGCGCAAGGAAGTGAGAGAAGGGAAGAAAGGGTACAGAGTCACGTGGTGGACTAAGAAAAAGTTAGATCAAAAGAGCCCTGGGCTGACTGGTGGGCTACTGTACTGGTGCCAAATGACACTTACTTCTGCCTGTAAACAAGCTTCAGCAGGCCTCTTAAACAGGCCGTGCCTTTAGAGTCATGCCAAGCTCCTAAAAACCTCCTGTGCTGGGGGTTGTGATGACTCAGACAATAGAGAGTAATACAATGAGACAGGAAACTGTTTCAGTGTCTGGTCGTTACTTCTCCTTTATATATTACCTTGAATGAGCTGGCAAACCGCAACGACCCCAAGGAGAAGGGGATGGCTTGAATGAACCGTCCATGAAGTGCCTAATAAACCAGAGAAAACACTACATTTAATAATCCTGACAAAGTTAAAAGAATATCAGCGACCAGAATTCACATTATGATAAAGAACCTACTAAGAGCATTGAAATACAATCTACTCCCACATTGGAAAACTGCCTTCTCAGCCAAGGTGACAATGTTGTCACTCTGGATAGATGTGAACCAGCAAAGCACCAAATGTGTCTGGCCTGAGTGTGTGTGTTCTGTTCAGTACCTGCACTATGTCTGTGGTGTGTGTGAGGGACAGCTTGAGCCAAGCAGTACGCTGTAAATAGTTTCACATCACACACTGGCTGCATCACTAAAAGCCAAGTGACAAAAAAATTGCTCACAGCTCCATAGTGATACAGAGCTATAGAAGAGAAAGTATTATTCTAATAGTTCACTTCAAATTAGTTTTGGCCTGTCTGGTGAAGGTATGCAGAGAGAGAGTGTTTGTGTGTTGGAGACGTGGCAAACAACTCATAACAAGCATGCCATTTCTAGGGGAACACCACCTCTTTACAATGAAACGTAACTTGACACTATTGCCATGCAAAAGTAAAAAGCAACCTTCACATTTCAAAACTTGAATCTGTAGTTGATCTGACTGGCTAAAGACTGGGATTACTGTAATCCAGCCTAAACCTTCATTGTTGCGTTGTTATTTTGCATGATAATGAACATTTGTGAAAGCTAGCTACGACTAGCCCTAGCTACAATTGTATTTTTAACGCCACACATTTATTTATCACTCCCGCTCCGATTACTGGCGCAAAGATACCCTATCCATCTGTGACTGCACGCTTTATGTCCACACTGCCAACTTGAATAACCAGAAGCAGTACTACTGTTAGCTGCTAGCTAACATTACTACTAGCTAGCTGCGCCTGTGTAACGTTAGCTGATGGTAGACTGAAGGTGAAGCAGTGCGGGACTAGTAGCACATCAGTTTAAAAAGTAAATAGTGGAGGTCCATTAACTGTTACTTGTTCAACACATTAGCCCCACATTGTTAACTATTTACAGAGACGATCGAGATAAACAGACAATAGTGATATAAGAGTGTGATCTTTGGACTCACCGTCCTCAGAGCTGCCATCGCCGCTACGTGGCTAATGAATGGTAAATGTGTCCGTGTGGGGGCAAATTCTGAGCGCATTGGTCCTTTGCGTTCCAGATTGGACCTTGGCACAATGACAACAACGTTATAGTTTGCACAGATCTTGAGATTAAAATAATAAAACACCAACCATGTCCAAATTCATATCTGATATATATTTCTTCTATAATTTTTCATATATTTCATTGGTAAATTGTGTAAGAATATGTTTGCAAATTCCATTGAATTTCAATAGCAGGCTATTTGACCTTTACACGAAATAATAAAGATGTCCTCTGAAGACATGCTGGTATGAACACTGAATTCATTGTTATTAAAAGATACAGAAAATGATAATGGAAGACGATAATAGTCAGCACAGCAGTGGGTTAAAGATTAAAAAGGCGTGACGAATCCCTGCCATATGGTTGGACAAAACAGACAGTGTTAGATGGGGTTCGAATAAACGGGGTAAATCAAGTTCAAAACACCAAGAGTGGAGATGCCCACGATTGGTCTACGGACGGGGAGTTGTAGCAATCTTGTTATTTGATTGGACGTCGTGCTTTCGGTGGGATGGACATTTAAATGCTACAACGTAACCGTCATTTAAGAAGTGTATTTGTTATATAATGCATAATTTCTCCTGTAATATTGTCTAAATCTATTTAAGAATAATATGTTGAACCCTTTCGTTTTCTTTACATGCCAATGTTGTCCATCAGCATTCAGCACACTTGCATTGTCCAATACCGTGTCCACAAAGATTGTCTATTATATTGACAAGATAGTCAAGTGGCAGCTCTAACAACAGAAATGGCATGTCCTCAAAGATGGAAGATAGGCGTGAATAGGCGAGATCAGGTGGGACCATTCTAGCCAATGAAAGGGCAGATACGCATGTGAACAACAAGCCATAAAGATAGATAGAGGACTCATCCTTGTATCTTTGCCTTTATCGCGTCTGTGATCGAATGGGCAGCACCATTAAGGCTATCTCCATTTCAAAGTAGTCAATCTTCTTCTTCTTTATTGGCTGATTGCTCCCAACTCAAAGGAATCCCCACCCAGTTGACTACTATAAAATGGTGGAAGCCCTCAATGGTAATGACCATGCCAAAACGAGTTATAGCCATTTTTTGTTTCACCTTTATTTAACCAGGTAAGCCAGTTGAGAACAAGTTCTCATTTACATCTGCGACCTGGCCAAGATTAAGCAAAGCAGTGCGATAAAAACAACAACACAGAGTTACATATGGGGTAAACAAAACATAAAGTCAAAAATACAACAGAAAAAATATATACAGTGTGTGTGAATGTAGTAAATTATGGAGGTAAGGCAATAAATAGGCCATAGTGCAAAATACTTACAATTTCGTATTAACACTGGAATGATAGATGTGCAAAAGATGATGTGCAAATAGAGATACTGGGGTGCAAATTAGCAAAATAAATAACAATATGGGGATGAGGTAGTTGGATGGGCTAATTACAGATGGGCTGTGTACAGGTGCAGTGATCGGTAAGCTGCTCTGACAACTGACGCCTAAAGTTAGTGAGGGAGATAAGATTCTCCAGCTTCAGAGATTTCCCCGGGGGGGAGGCGGGGTAGTGGTAGCCAGGTGGAAAGCATGGCCAGCCGTAGCAAAATGCTTGTTGAAATTCTCAATTATTGTAGATTTATCGGTGGTGACAGTGTTTCCTAGCCTCAGTGCAGTGGGCAGTTGGGAGGAGGTGCTCTTATTCTCCATGGACTTTACAGTGTCCCAAAACTTTTTGGAGTTAGTGCTACAGGATGCACATTTCTGTTTGAAAAAGCTAGCCTTTGCTTTCCTAACTGATTGTGTATATTGGTTCCTGACTTCCCTGAAAAGTCCTCTATCCATCTCTATGACAACAGTCATACCTCAGATATAAAGTAAATCTTTTTTAAAGTTGCCGAAATGCCACTTGCGTCCAATTATATCAGTGCATTCATAACAACCTAACCATTAGGAAACTTCTATTCCATAAAAAAAGCCTCATGCAGCTAATTAGCAATTACTTTTTTTGTTGACCAAATTCTACTCTCTCTCATTAACCTCCATACAAAAAAATCCTCACTTCGTGGGATTATTTTCGTTGACAGATTTTGGGCTGAGTAAAACCTCTCGCTTCGCCTTTTCCTCTCTGGTGTCCATATAGAAAGCTGATGCAACTCTCGGGAAGCATTTCCCGGTTGCACACTTTTTATGAACTTGGGTTTCACAACTTCATCTAGCGCACCACTGAGATATACAGTATATTAAGGTCAGTGACTATACTAGACACTCTGGCTATCACACTCACAGAACCTATGTAGCCAAGCCTACTGACTGAAAATAATGAATTTACCTTACATGCAAGTGGATGCTATCCTATTGGAGGGTGGCAAAATATTTTGCAAAAACTTGTCTAATTGTTACTAATCTAATTTATTTTACTGTATTCAAAATGTGTGTATTGTAAAGAAAAACATTGGCATATGTGAGGTTGTGTAATCTATTCCAAGTAACCTTAGTTTAATTTCAAATTTCAAATTGTATTTGTCACATACACATGTTTAGCAGATGTTATTGCGGGTATAGCGAAATGCTTGTGCTTCTAGCTCCGACAGCGCAGTAATATCTAACAAGTAATATCTAATCAATGTGGGCATCTGTGTTTTGTGGAACCTGAATCACCTGTTGGTCTAGTTTCATTTAATGTTGAGTTAGGCCTACTCTGGGGATTTCTCCTGGGTTTTTCTTCTACCCTGTAGCAAAAAAAAAGAAAAATCCATATCACTGAGATTTGTGCTCTGGAGTTTGGAGCATTGTGAAGAACATTAAAATCATTCAAAATACTTCACCAGAAAGCATGATTTAGCCACAGAGGATCATTAGCTTCTTTAAAAAAATAGCTTTGGATTGTTTCAATCACAAGCATATGCCTAGTTGGGAAGCACCTCAGTTTGGACAGCGCATGTAGCAATAGGCCTAGCTGATTATTGAGATGTGGTTGTCAGTGAAAAGCAATGCATCTAAAATATGTGTGAAGATAATGTGTCTTGAATATCATTTGAAATGTTGAGACAAGAAGAACGGGAGGGGTGTGTGGCGACGATATTGGTGCATCTCTCTCCAGAATGCGCTCAGCTCTCCAGAATGTGTTGAGCTGTCTCCCGCCAATTTTTGCGCATACCTTGTTTGTATTAATTGTTTGACAGAAATCATACCCATATGAGGCATTTGACATCATATGATTCAAAACGCAGCGTCATATGATGCAAAATGCATCATATGGGGATGATTTCTGTATTTTGAAAGTTACATATCTTGAAAACTTGAGCGCTGACAAGCAAAACATGTTGGGACTATGTCAGCAATGGACTAATGTGTCTGGTTGCCCATTTGGGGATGTCTGATTTCTGATTGTCTTAACTCACCACCACTAATAAGCTGAGTTTGTCAGTAATTTTTTCTTCAGCTCACAAAGTAAGTCAATTAAGTATATATATTTGTTTTACATCCATTGTGAATGATAATAGTTCCTCACAGTATTTGAAAAATCTTTCCAACACTCTCCCCCTAGATAATCACCAGGCCTCGGTGTGAAAGAGCAAAATGTCATGCTCTGAGGATCCCATATATCCAGTGGAAACGTCATAAAATACCTGAAGACCTTTCCCTTTGCCATAAACAGTTGTGTCTGTCCGGAGCTCACTGGAGCGGGAAACTGTAATGGCCCGGAATAGGCTAGTTGATTCAATGTTGCTAGTGACAGCTTTGGGCCAGACCTTTATTGGGCCGGACCCAGTTTATTGATTTGATGCAATGTTGCACTTCACTAGTGATAGCTAAAATCAAGACTGATAGAAAGGTTTATGTATTTTTACTTAGTTGACAATGTAAGTTATAGGCCTACAACTACATTGGCCTATAGGTTATCTCTTAGTTCCATGTGCTCATTTCTTTAGCTGCCAATGGCTCATGGTGAATCAATGTGTTCATATGGCAGAGGCTGGTGCTCTCCCATTGGTGGAATTTTAACTTAGATTTTTATCATTTTAATTCCGATTTGACAATGATTTTGAGAAACTAAAACGTTATTATTTAAATGAAACTGTTCCACGAAAATGTGCATATGAAAATCATAACTTGAATTCAGATCGGTAGAAATGGTAGGATAAATTGTAAGCTTCTCCAAACTTGAAACTCAAACTTGAAACTCACGCGCCGCCTAGGAATAGAACGTTGTGAACAGCGCGCACATTTGTTGTAGGCTACTGCATAATTACAAGGGGTGTGTGTGTGTGTGTGAGAGAGAGAGAGAGAGAGCGAGAGAGAGAGAGAGAGAGAGAGAGAGAGAGCGAGAGAGAGAGAGAGCGAGAGAGAGAGAGAGAGAGAGCGAGCGAGAGAGAGAGAGAGATAACGAGAAGGGGGTTGTAACTAAGATTGTGCCTAATAAAACTGAGCACAAATGGACAGCTATGCGATCCATCGCGGAGAAAAGCGCTCACCTCGATCCAGCACCAGCGGATGGAAAGCGCCACTTGCTGAGCGGCACCCAGCACCGTGTTGGCTAGTTGGCTAGTACGCCTACGTGTTTGATATGGGCAGCAGCAGAGAATGCCATGTTCCTTATTTGATATCGTTCCCATTCCCTTTACGCCAAGTTTAGAATTGTTAAATTATAGAAAATAGAAGTGAAGAACTATTGCGAGCACTACTCCAGATTACATTTTAGTCATTTAGCAGACGCTCTTATCCAGAGCGACTTACAGTTAGTGAGTGCATACATATTTTCATACTGGCCCCCCGTGGGAATCGAACCCACAACCCTGGCGTCGCAAGCGCCATGCTCTACCAACTGAGCTACACGGAATCACTTGATATCCACCACAATGGGGAAAGACTAGAAGATGGAGAGTGGAGAGGGTCAGACCCGACTTAACTCAAACTGTCTATCCGACAGCAGAGCGTGTCCGACTCCAAACCAACCACACTGAATAGATAACAGCATATCATCATGAGCGCAAAGCTTACTAAACAGAGCTGAGAGCTCTCCATGCAGAATGGGGCCCATATATACATATCCCATATTTTTTTCCCTCTCCCCTACCACAATCCCATTATCATTTATATAAATAATGCAACGGAAAAATAGTTTAATTGTTTTTTATTGCAACAACACAAATTCTTGCAGCGTTACAATCTCACCACCAGGGGGTGCTGTAGCACCCCAAGCACCTCTACATCCCGTGGCTATGGTTAAAACAAGATTATTGGTTCAATAATCTCAAGCAGGATGGCAGTAGAACAGAACAGGTCCTGTTATTGGTCAGGTAGGCACTAGGCCCGGAGTGACAGGCCTGCTCATGGGACCTGGCTCTTGTAGCCATAGTTGAGTTCTGCCCCTCCACTAAGCAGAAGGTCTATCCCAGTGCAGAACGTAGCATCAGCAGCCAGGTACAGAGCAGCCAACCCACTCTCAGCTTCTGTCCCCATTCGACCAAGCAGCTGTTGGAGATTAGGAAGAATGTTACAGATAAGGCATCAGGTTCATCAAGATGAGAGATGCAAGTGAAATTAGGAAGTCTCTACCAACCCTCCCTTTTCAATGCATTCTGAAATATGTCATTGTAACAGATCTTATATTTCATCTTATATCTTATCTTGTATGGCTCCTGTCCAGTGAGCACTTGCCTGAGCGTTCTCTCCCTCTTTAATGGTAGCCAAGGTATCTGCAGTCTGTCCAGCCAGCTCCTCCCACAGAGGTGTCATCACATTACCAGGGGAGATGCTAAAAGAGATTACACATTTAGACTGTAGCAAACAGAGCTAGAGATCAGAGAAAAAGTGGAAAAATACAAAAGTATTTTAAAAACAGGACAGACGGAGGGAAAGAGAAAAAAGGAAGTAGAAAATAATAAAAGTTTGTAAAAGGAGACAGATGCCAGTTCTACTCACCAGTTGACTCTCACTTGGTACCGACTCTCATCCACAGCCATGGCTTTTGTCATGGCAATGATCGCCCCCTTGTGGAGGAAAAGAGACACATCAACCCTGTTTGGCCTACTTCTCCAAGCCTGTGGGATAAAGTACTGATGCATACTGTTATCTAGACGTTTAGTTCACCTTTGTGGCTACATATGGTGCTGCATTTTTCTGACCAATGGAGCCCACCAGACTGGACAAGTTAATGATGTTCCCCTGGCGCTGTCGCAGGTGGCATACTGAGGAGGGGAGAGAGGTGAGGAGATCCCGTGATGAAACAAAACATATTATAAGCCATATAATAACACTTTATTAAGGCTCATACATGCTTATAACAAGTAATAAAGCATTATACCTGAAGGCTTTCAGTAAAGTCAATATAATGAGTGAATGATTTACTTTGGAGGCCAGGAAGTAACTAATGAGGTTAAGATTCAAAAGATCTCTGAACTCATCTGCAGTAGTGTCATCTGTGGGTTTATGAGGTGGGTCTGAGAGGGGATGAAAGAGAGGGAACTCAATTAATACAGCATAAACACTATCCAAATGGCTATGGAGTATGGGAATTGTGTGGTCCTCTGTAGCTCAGCTGGTAGAGCACGGCGCTTGTAACGCCAAGGTAGTGGGTTCAATCCCCGGGACCACCCATACACAAACATTTATGCACGCATGACTGTAAGTCGCTTTGGATAAAAGCGTCTGCTAAATGGTATATTATTATTAGAAGAGGGGGAAAAAAACATAAATTTCATATACACAAAAAAGTGTTAAGTGGTTCAAAATCCACCTCCAGGAACTTATGCAGGTCTTAAAAAACGATGAAAACCAGTATAGCATTAAAAATACATCCGCGTTGCGGCTTGCCCCTTTGTCAGGGTGTGAGGATCAGGATGTGATCGGTTTGATGCTGCAACGCATATACACTGAGTGTACAGACCAGGTAAATACAAGTCCCCTGTAGCTCAGTTGGTAGAGCATGGCGCTTGCAACGCCAGGGTTGTGGGTTCGTTTCCCACGGGGGGCCAGTATGAAAATGTATGCACTCACTAACTGTAAGTCGCTCTGGATAAGAGCGTCTGCTAAATGACGTAAATGTAAATACAGGTGAAAACTATGATCCCTTATTGATGTCACTTGTTAAATCTCCTTCAATCAGTGTGGATGAGACAGGTTAAAGAAGGACTTTTAAGCCTTGAGACTTGGATTGTGTATGTGTGCCATTCAGAGGGTGAATGGGCAAGACAAAAGATGTAAGTGCCTTTGAACGGGGTATGGTGGTAGGTGCCAGGCGCACCGGTTTGTGTCAAGAACTGCAATGCTGCTGGGTTTTTCACCCTAAACAGTTTCCCGTGTGTATCAAGAATGGTACAACACCCAAAGGACATCCAGCCAACTGTGGGAAGCATTGGAGTCAACATGGACCAGCATTCCTGTGGAACGCTTTCGACACCTTGTAGAGTCCAGGCTGTTCTGAGGGCAAATGGGGGGGGTGCAACTCAATATTAGGAAGGTGTTCTTAATGTTTTGTTCACTCAGTGTATGTGTTTTTAATGCTTGAATATGCCTGTTTAAATAACGGCTTGCCTTTTTAAGTGCCTGGACGTGGATTAGTATACCACCTATCACCTGATTTGTGGATATAGAATTTCCTTTCTTTCTTTCCTTAACAACATCAGTTCTCGTACAAAATTATAGCAGATACTCACGCCACCCAGCATTGTTGACCAGACAGTCTATTTTACCATAATGCTCCACTGTCACTGCAATCAACCTCTGCAGAGAGAATATCATACGTTGAGTTGACTGCACTCTGTCATTGACCACCACACTGTTGTAAGACATTTATAATTGCTATCTCCAGGTATGTGTACCTATGATCCCATTACCTATGTACCTACCTAACTTGCTACATAGAGCCTAAGCTGAAAAACCAGCTTGACACACCACTAAAATAACATACAAGCATACCCACGTCCCTCAGTCAAACACACAAAACAGGTTATAGCAATGTCACTATGATGATTGATGATTGGACGGGTAGCTGGAGTGTCGCTAAGGCTCTTTGAGAAAGACATGTAGAAAAAACAGAAGTTGCTCTGGATAAGAACATCTGCTAAATGACCTAAATGTAAATGTAAAACATTATGGAAACGCACTGAAGGACGTCCGCCTTGCAGTGTTAAAGTCTGATCACTAATACATTTTAATTGTCGGATGTGGCTTCATCTATCTGTCCACTCCAATATATATATTTTTTGTTTTTGTTGATTAATACATTTTTACTAATTAATAAATGTATGTCAGCACAGACCTCAATGCCTATGAGCGAACTCTCAGTCTGGGAGGCAAGCATAAAAAACATGGGAGGAAACCAGGGCACAGGAAACAAAGAGAGCTTCAAATAATGACCGACTGGGCCTTTAATAGTGATTTCTAAGCAGTTTATAAGCAGACCTTCAAATGAGGGACAAGGGGCTTGCTAGAGCTGTGAGTAAACTCAGTGGAGAAGAGTCCTTTCGCAGGCAGAGATAATCCAACAAAGACTAAAGATAGGTGGAGTGTAGATTACAATGCAAAACGTAATAGTAAGCATTCTGATAAACCACAGGTCATGTGATCCATTGAGGAATGAGGATATAAACTCTGTTGAAATGGTGTGCATATGAGTGATCATTTGACTCTCATTTCACTGCTCTATAAGATCAATCATTGCCCAGAAGCCCTACCTTTATGTCCTCCTCTTTGGAGATGTCACAAGGGACAAATGTGCATGACCCTGGCCCTGCCCTGTTCAGCTCGGCCTCTAGAGCCTGTCCTTCTGCCACTATAAAAAAATAAGAAAATTCAAAAAAATAAGAATACAGTAAACTTATGAATATGCAATGTAAAGATGATGTAGAAATTGATTTTATTATGACTAATAAAGTCTTCAACAATGGATTACTGATGAATGAAGATTCTGAGACACATTATTGATACCTGTGTGGTGATTCTGATGGTTTCTCGTAACTGATGGCTTCTACAGTTGTGGCTAGATGGAGCAGCATAAAGAAGTTACTTTATGTAGCGGGTTAGGATAACTAATGCAGCAGTTTAGGATAATTAACGTAGCAGGTTAGGATAATTAAAGTAGCAGGCTATGATAATTAACGTAGCAGGTTAGGAGAAAAGGGTTAGGCTTAGCTACAATACTACAGTTGTCACCGACGCAACTCGAACATGCAACTTTTGGTACATAGCTGTACTCCATCTAGCCACAACCGTAGAAGCCACCAGTTCCACCACACCTGAAAAGGTATACTTTAATCTGAGCAAAAAAAATCTAAGAAATGTGCAGACACTCACCCCCTCTTGCACAGAAGACAACTTTGGCTCCATTCTCCACTGAGAAAAAAACAACAGAATAGCAAATTATTGTTGCACCAGTACCTCACTCTGCTCAAATCCCAACAAACTAACTTCAAAAAGCAACTTTGATTCTTACCAAATACTTTGACAATCCCTCTACCAATCCCTTTAGACCCGCCGGTCACAATGACAACTTTTCGCCGTAACGCAATGTACTGCCTGACTTGTTCACTAGAGCCACTGAGTCTCGGGTGATGATTTCAGTGATGATACTTTCGCAAAGAACCGCCACTACCTGATTGATTGTGTTAGTCGAATGCCACAAACAAAGTTACTTGCCCTCTTTCCAAGCTACACTTTTTTATTATATTTCTTTACATGTAGCCATGCAGTAAAATATATAATTGTATCCCTCCCGTTGTCTTTTTGTCTTTTACATTTCTACGTTTACTTTCTCTTCCTCCTCCAAGTTCCTCAAAAATCATGGGGTTTGTTGTCGTCTGTGAAGACTGGCGAGCGGCTTTGTGGGACTTGTAGTTTAAGCTCCTTGCAAATTCTAATGCACATTCTGGTGCTGCAACCTGCTGTGTCAACATGCATACCGGTATCTCAGTCTATGTATGAGGCATTTTCTGAAATGGAAAAAATAAGCAATTACATTCATCAATCAACCAAGAAGTAAATGGGATGGTTTTTGCAATTGTTTATATATATTTTAAATACTTTAAATGCTTTAATGCTCACTTTCCTGTAGAATACACCTAATATCAGTGTTATAACTGTTATACATTTTAATTGGGATGTTTTTCCTAATTTGGCACATTTCTCTAAATAGTTAACTCAACCATAAACTCTTATTTTACATTTGAGTCATTTAGCAGACACTCTTATCCATAGCAACTTACCGGAGCAATTAGGGTTAAGTGCCTTGCTCAAGGGCACATCAACACATTTTTTACCTAGTCGACTAGGGGATTCAAACCAGCGAAGTTTCGGTTACTGGCCCAACGCCCTTAACGGCTAGGCTACCTACCGCCCCATATGTAAATAAATAATGCTGTTGACATCTTACCTGTTGTTGTCACTTTATGTCACTTTCATTTTTGTTGACACCACACCTGTGAGTCATTACCTGTCTGACATGTCTGCACCATACCCTATACTAAACCATACACTAAGCCAACTGAATAAAGGTTTCCGAAAGGATAATCACAAAAGGAGTGTCTTGGCTTTTTGTTGTAGGCTTTCAGTTTTACTGTTTGTTCTCATAACATGTATTAACATGTTTGTAAATGTGACTAGGGCCCTACATTTTTCCTGACCACACCTCACCAGGAAATACATTGGCTCTGCTATATAACTTGTTTAGGGCCCAGTGCCCTAGTCAGGAGCAATATAAATACTAAAGCCAGAATGGAACGCCAGAATATATTCTCACTGGGATTTCATGGGTGTTCATTTGGGTCTCGTGAGTACATTAGTACATGTGTTGAGGGTGGTGTGTGTGTGTGTTTGTGTGTGTGTGTGTGTTTATGACAGGGAGAGAGGGAGAATTTAAGACTTTAAGAGAGGGGCAGGGGGCTGACATTTGGGGTTGGGGGTATGAGGAGGACGCTGTTCTGAGGTTGGAGAGAGAAGGCTGTGGATTGAATTTCGACCTGACAGCATTCTCCAGAGAACTAGTGGGCATGAGAGAGAGTAAAGGGGAGAGACTGAAGACCATGACCTACAAACAAGCTTAACTATCTTCACTTCACCCAGGGTGGGGAATCAGCAGACGGATTAACACTACCCCTGAAGGAGCCATGGTGCCCCCATATTCCCTTCCCTTCCCCCCCAGACCTGACACAGCTAGCGAGCTGGGAGATAGAGACTTACGGAGAGATCAAACAGGGGATAGACAGACAGAGAGACGGCCAGAGGGAGGGCCGGACAGACAGACAGCCAGACAGAGAGACGGCCAGAGGGAGGGCCAGACAGACAGACAGACATACACCCCGTGGTGGAGGTGCAGTAGTGGCGGCACCGTGATTCTCTTGAGTAATTAGTCTCTATCAACAGTAGCTGACTGACAGAGGGGTAAGTGGGACAGTGCAGGCTGCTTCTCGTAAATAACACCAACAATATGGTTCTTACTTCACAGCAGCATGCTTGGGCATGGCTTGTAACTAGGATGTTTATGAGTAAGACTCTGTGTTATTCTAATAATGGCTGTGTTTACTTTAAAGACTAACCTTCTGATGAAAAAATAGTCATTCTGACCGAACATAAAGGTTAAAGGTTCTGATTGAAATAACACCTGTCTAGTCATGCTTTTATTTGTTATTCTGTACTGTAGTTGTAAAATGTGTCTTGCATATTTGCGGGTGAATTGGCGTAAATTACTTAGCATGTTACATTTCTGTTAAATAATTATGAGTATTAAAATTGCCAATAATGTGAGATGTTTCTCCATCTACTTTTTTATCTGCCTTTTTCTTCTGCAGTACCTGATATGTCTCTTGATAACTTGAGCAACTTTGTGCATTTCTCTCCTCTAGAGAGAGGGACAAACTGTCCACACAAATAACTAAATAGAAGTAGAACGACAGACCAAGGAATGGAGAACCATGACAAGGGAGGAGGTGAAGGAGGAGGAGAAGGAGACAAGAAACATCTCCCAGAGGAGGTGAGTGAGAGCGACAAGCGGACCAAGGACCAGCGCAACAAGGCAGAGAAGGGAGAGAAGGAGACGGAGAACGACGGCAGTGAAAAGGAGAGTGTTGAGGGGAAGAGGGAAAGCTGTCGTCACTCAGGCTCCCTGTGGAGGGGGGGCTGGGCTCTGACGGAGCGGCTAGCCATCAACGTGTCGGGGATGCGCTACGAGACACAGCTCCGCACTCTGGCCCAGTTCCCTGACTCCCTCCTGGGGGATCCCCACCGCAGAATTCGCTACTTTGACCCACTGCGCAATGAGCTGTTCCTGGACCGGAACCGGAACTGCTTCGATGCCATCCTCTACTTCTACCAGTCTGGCGGGCGGCTGCGGCGGCCTGCCAACGTGCCCCTGGATGTTTTCTTGGATGAGCTGCGCTTCTATGAGCTTAGTGAGGAGATCATGGAACGCTTCAAGGAGGACGAGGGCTTCCCCAAGGAGGAGGTGCCTGCGCTGCCTGAGAACGAGATGCAGAGGAAGGTTTGGATGCTTTTTGAGCACCCAGAATCCTCCTCGGGCGCACGCATCATCGCCATCATCAGCGTCATGGTCATTGTGGTGTCCATCGCCATCTTCTGCCTGGAGACGCTGCCTGACTTCAGGAACGAGAAGGAGCTCAGAGAGGTGAGAGGGGGCCGTTGTGGGGCCAGGGCCCTGAGGGCCACACAGAAATAACATACAGGAGAGAGAGAGGATGAGAGAGAAACAGAGAAGACAAGAGAATGGTAGAAAAGGAAACGAACAAAGGGACCAGGAGAAAGGTGAAGCTGAGGGATAAAGCACAGATAGAGGAAGGAGAGGAATGAAGAGAGGATGAAAGAGGAAGGAATGCATCTTGACAGGGTGCTAAGAGAACAGAGGTTAGCACATTGGGAGACTGATGATGGGGTGATTGTCAACAGTTAGTGAAGGATGACAATTTGTGAAGGATGACAGTTAGTGAAGGATGACAATTAGTGAAGGATGACAGTAAAGGATGACAGTTAGTGAAGGATGACAGTTGGTGAAAGTCAATGACAGATGTCACCCTGTGGAACATAAACGCTACATGTGTGACCACACAGGCCCCTTACAGGATTAAACACAACATGCGACACCCACACACACACACACACACACACACACACACACACACACACACACACACACACACACACACACACACACACACACGGGACAGAGACACGGGTTAGAGACACATGGAAAGGAGATGTGGAAGAGATAGTGGGAGAAGGAGAGAGGCGGCGGGTTATTGCTGAGATTATTTTAGTCATGTCGTTAAATCTGACACACTTAGATTGAGGGAAAAGAATGGGAAGAGTGGGGGGTGAGGAGAGGGGGAATGAAAGTACGGTGGGAAAACAAGAGAAATAGGTTGGAGGAGAGAGAGAATCAGAGTTAGGGAATTAGTGAAAGAGGGAGATTGCAGGTAAGAGCGAGAGAGAAAAAGGGATGGAACAGAGAGAGATGAGGGGCAGGAAGGGAGGGGTAAAGATGGACTGCACAAAGAACATTATGCTTTACTGATGGTATCTCCAGATCACTGTCCATCTGTGTCTCACATTGACCGGTGCTCCAGGATCACTGCCAAGACAACTCTGTACGGGAATTGATGGAGTGGATAAGAACATATAAACTGAGAGAGAGAGTGAGGGAGAGAAAGAGAGAGAGAGAGAATAAGTGAAGGTGGAGTGCAAAGGAGGAGAGAGGAGAGGAGCGTGTCTCACGTTACTCCTTAGAGATCTAAAGGAGCTATATATAGCGTAAGGACAACCCTAAGAGCACATCAACACGTAAACGCTGGTTCCTATTAATAAACACATTGACTCATACCCACTGAAAGAGGCATGGAAAGAGTAGTACAGAACACCTATTTGATGACTAGCACAAAATGAAATGAACCCCACACGCCTCGTGGCTTACCGACAAGGTTGGCTTAGCTGCCTTTGGATTTTGAGGGATCATGCAATAGCACAGAACACAAGGTACACGGTGGGTCTTACCGAAGCACATATGCACACACCCGACCTCTCACACACACTCAGTCACACACACTCACACACACTCACATGATCAGAACATCTGACATAAGACACCCAGTGCTGTGTAGAGCCTGAAAATGGCAACATAGGTGAAGCAACTGAAAATAAATAATTGTCTTTTACAAGACGATCACCTCCCGCTGCAAAGGTAGCTCTAGCTCAGTGCATACAGTATTGAAAGACATGCATGTATGGTTCTGTGACCATTTGGAATGAGCGTCTAGTTGTTATACCTTCCTTATTGGGTGACAAAGAGTGAGAATGTCTGTTGGGGCAGTGTGATCATGGCTTTTGAACCTTATAAAGGTGAGGAGAAACTGAACTAAAGTGGGTGACAGATGTGAGGGCAAATGTCACTCTGTCATTTCAGTTGATAAAAGCATTCCAGGCCTCTACATAAAGACTAACATATGCAGTATACAGTGGGGAAAATAAGTATTTAGTCAGCCACCAATTGTGCAAGTTCTCCCACTTAAAAAGATGAGAGAGGCCTGTAATTTTCATCATAGGTACACGTCAACTATGACAGACAAAATGAGAAGAGAAAAATCCAGAAAATCACATTGTAGGATTTTTAATGAATTTATTTGCAAATTATGGTGGAAAATAAGTATTTGGTCAACAACAAAAGTTTCTCAATACTTAGTTACATACACTTTGTTGGCAATGACACAGGTCAAACGTTTTCTGTAAGTCTTTACAAGGTTATCACACACTGTTGCTGGTATTTTGGCCCATTCCTCCATGCAGATCTCCTCTAGAACAGTGATGTTTTGGGGCTGTCGCTGGGCAACACAGACTTTCAACTCCCTCCAAATATTTTCTATGGGGTTGAGATCTGGAGACTGGCTAGGCCACTCCAGGACCTTGAAATGCTTCTTACGAAGCCACTCCTTCGTTGCCCGGGCGGTGTGTTTGGGATCATTGTCATGCTGAAAGACCCAGCCACGTTTCATCTTCAATGCCCTTGCTGATGGAAGGAGGTTTTCACTCAAAATCTCACAATACATGGCCCCATTCATTCTTTCCTTTACACGGATCAGTCGTCCTGGTCCCTTTGCAGAAAAACAGCCCCAAAGCATGATGTTTCCACCCCCATGCTTCACAGTAGGTATGGTGTTCTTTGGATGCAACTCAGCATTATTTGTCCTCCAAACACGACGAGTTGAGTTTTTACCAAAAGTTATATTTTGGTTTCATCTGACCATATGACATTCTCCCAATCCTCTTCTGGATCATCCAAATGCACTCTAGCAAACTTCAGACGGGCCTGGACATGTACTGGCTTAAGCAGGGGGACACGTCTGTCACTGCAGGATTTGAGTCCCTGGCGGCGTAGTGTGTTACTGAAGGTAGGCTTTGTTACTTTGGTCCCAGCTCTCTGCGGGTCATTCACTAGGTCCCCCCGTGTGGTTCTGGGATTTTTGCTCACCGTTCTTGTGATCATTTTGACCCCACGGGGTGAGATCGAGGGAGATTATCAGTGGTCTTGTATGTCTTCCATTTCCTAATAATTGCTCCCACAGTTGATTTCTTCAAACCAAGCTGCTTACCTATTGCAGATTCAGTCTTCCCAGTCTGGTGCAGGTCTACAATTTTGTTTCTGGTGTCCTTTGACAGCTCTTTGGTCTTGGCCATAGTGGAGTTTGGAGTGTGACTGTTTGAGGTTGTGGACAGGTGTCTTTTATACTGATAACAAGTTCAAACAGGTGCCATTAATACAGGTAACGAGTGGAGGACAGAGGAACCTCTTAAAGAAGAAGTTACAGGTCTGTGAGAGCCAGAAATCTTGCTTGTTTGTAGGTGACCAAATACTTATTTTCCATCATAATTTGCAAATAAATTCATTAAAAATCCTACAATGTGATTTTCTGAATTTTTTTTCCTCATTTTGTTTGTCATAGTTGACGTGTACCTATGATGAAAATTACAGGCCTCTCTCATCTTTTTAAGTGGGAGAACTTGCACAATTGGTGGCTGACTGAATACTTCTTTTCCCCACTGTATGCACAAACAAACAACTGCTATATATGTACCTCACACAGGCACTCTCACGCACGCACACGGACACGCTCTAACACACAAAAAGGGTATCATAGATTATTGCTTCACTATAGTTATATCATAGGCAATAAAAAGTCAGAGCCATTTGATTCCAATCCGTCTCACGGCTGGACATGCCATAAAACCTAAAGTTGACTGCCTTACTTTGAACCCCAAGAGTGCTTCTTAGAAAACATTGTCAGGATGAAATGAAGTGTCAGATTCCTCGGTCAGTCCAGACGCTGTGCTGTAACATTAGCCTTTGTCACATGCAGTCATGCACTATAATGTTTTTCTTCTATTTAAACATAGAGAAACACATTTGTATCAAAGTCTGCAGAAAGAGAGAGAGAGAGTGCGATTGCACAAGTGAAGTTATGTTAACACAGTATTACAGTTCTCACAGTCTTAATCAGACCGTGATGACAGATGCATTTTCCACATGTGCTGATTAAAGACTTTGACACCTTTAAAATAATCAGCTCTCCTCCCTCTCTCCTCCCTCTCCTGTTTACTGTAGTCATCAGGGTTGTCCCCGACCTCTGTCTAACCTTCATTACCTTGTTTGTTATCTCTTGTCTAAACCACGGTCTATCCCCCTTCACTGTTCTACCTCCCCCTCAATCTCTCCTGCTTAATTTCTAACACCACTCACTTTCCCTCTCTCCTCTCTCCCTCAGAAATTCACCTACCAGCCCCATCCTACCCTCCCCAACGTCACCATCCTGGTCCCTCCCACTGGCAGTGCTTTCCAAGACCCCTTCTTCCAGGTGGAGACCATATGTATCTGCTGGTTCTCCTTTGAGCTCATTATGCGCTTAGCCAGCTCCCCCAGTAAGCTCCACTTCTTCAAGGACGTGATGAACACTATCGACTTCCTCGCCATCATCCCCTACTTCGTCACTCTGGGCACAGAGCTGGCCAGGGACAAAACCTCCAACAAGGACCCGGGCATGTCTTTGGCCATCATCAGGGTCATTAGGCTAGTCAGGGTGTTCAGGATCTTCAAGCTGTCGCGTCACTCCAAGGGCCTGCAGATCCTGGGCCAGACTCTGAAGGCCAGCCTGAGAGAGCTGGCCCTGCTCATCTTCTTCCTCTTCATCGGAGTCATCCTCTTCTCCAGCGCCGTCTACTTCGCTGAGGTGGACAGCCCCGACACAGTGTTCACCAGCATCCCCGAGGCCTTCTGGTGGGCTGTGGTCTCCATGACGACAGTGGGCTACGGGGACATGTACCCTACGACTCTGGGGGGCAAGCTGGTGGGCTCCATGTGTGCCATCGCTGGCGTGCTCACCATCTCACTGCCAGTCCCCGTCATTGTGTCCAACTTCAGCTACTTCTACCACCGAGAGACGGAGTGTCTCGAGAAAATCAGTGAGTACACCCACATCAGTACCTCTCTCTGGGAGGGTGAGGACGAGGAGGGGGACGAGGGGGAGGGAGATTACACTCCCCTGTATGTGGGTGATTGCAGGGGAATCTGTAACCCCCTCAATGGGACACTGCTGTCAGGACTGTGTGCAGGGCAGGACGGGGAGGAGAATAAAGGCAACGTGTACCTCAGGGAACCCCTGGTCACTCAGGTGTGAGACAGGATGGATGGATAGACAGAGGATCTGCTGAATACAACCCTGGTACACTGCCTCTAAGTTAAATAGAGAGAAAGAAAAAGGAGGATGTCAAAGTAAAGGAGAAAAAAATAAACTATATTACACAAGAACTTACTTGCACGCTTGCACCGTCAATGGCTTACACTGTTTACTACAAACAGAACTGATGAGACCATGGCAGAGATATTCAAGTCACACACAGTGTTCAAAGACCGACAGCTTGGACATCACTTTTATAAAGATTGCTTTTTGCTAATGTCACTGAGATACGAGTATGATGCCATCATATTGACAATAAAAACAGCTGAATGTATATTTATTTATTATATATTTACCAGATTGTAATAATTGTCTATAAAGTACATAAAATTATAGCAATTGTAAATGTTGGTGTTTTTAAGACATGAGTGAATTGCAGTGCCATTTTATTCATTATTGTGTGCTAGCTAGCTAGATGCACAGGGCCGTTTTGAATGTGTAGAGGGGTTGACTAAGGGCGTTTTCACACTTGGTCCCTTTCAGACAAGTTTTGTGAACCCAGTGCAGTTTGCTAATTTTTTTGTGCAGTGTAAACACTCCCAAAGGAACTCAGACCCCCTCAGAAGAGCCCCCTAAGCGAACCGAACTGAGACCATCTCGAGAGGTGGTCTGAGTTCAGTTCGCTTGAATTCCGAGGTTCGGTTCCCTTTTTTAAGGCAATGTGAACACAAAGCTCCCCAGGTTCGCTTGTCATTATTCCTGCATGACACACTAGACTACTGCAACATTAGTTTCCCCTGCCATAACCCCTCACATTGGTGCGACAAAAGAGAGAAGAGGATGTGCAGGTTTGTGGAAAAAAACGTGATGTTTGTCGATATTGATTAGCGAATGTCAAGAATCCACAGACATTTTTAGTTTTTAGTTCAGATTATTTGTTTGCCATATGTGATCTATTGGCTAAAATAGCTTCATAAACTGTTTATTCAATTGTGGGGTTTGAATAGTGTGAGAAGAAAACAACATATTTGGTGAGAATCACAACATAGGGTCCAAAATCAATTCTAGCTCTTAAAGGGGCAGTAGCCTACATTGGGTGTACAATTTTCAATTACAGCATTATTTAATCTGCAGTTATTCTTCTGCTATTTATTCTGTTACCAATAATATTTACATGCTAATAGTGTCTTCTGATTAAAATGATTATGTCTCCCCTTTTTTTAAACTAAATGCAGTCTATTAGCTTTCAAAATGTAAGTAGGTATATCTAGCTGTCCGATAACACGTTCTGATGGAATGGCTTGTCCTGCACTCTGTAAAAACCCAGAGTGCATTGAGTGAATATTGGAAAAAGATCTTGATTCCTTTCTAAACATGGCAATGTCAATGCAAAGAGGACTCGGACCACAAAATAGGTGAAGTGAACTGACAAAATAGTTGAGTCCTCATTCAAAGATCAGTTCTTTAAAAGAGGACTATATGTAAAAACACCCTGAATGCCCTGATGGGACTGGGCACCTGTCTATGAAAGCTATGGCAGAAATGGTCTGCAGTAATATTGTGTTGACATGGAACACAAAGAGATCAACCTGGGGGCTGTGGTGCAGACAGAGAGCAGCCCTACGTGTTGGTCCTGGGCCAGTGGAGAGTTTTCAGCGTGTAATGGAGACAGCTAGGCTGGGCGGCAGGGAAATCTGATTCTGGACCTTATGAATCATGCTGCTGTCAGGCTTCCAGCTGACCCTTCCTCCCAATTGCTGTGCAAGGCTAACACTAGGAGACGCCACTGGCATAAATCCATGCTCACCCCACTGGGTAGAACTACTTTACTGCAGTCCAAAGACAAATCCCGGCCCCTGTCCATATTACCATGGTGCCTCAATTACCTTGCCTAATAAGAATTTGTCTTAACAAAATGCTTTTCACAGTGTTCAGTGTTTATATTGTGGTTTATACAGTAAATATGTTCTTATGATGAGAGATTGTGAGCTGCACAGATTGTATGAGAGAGTGGGTAGTGTGTGTGTATGTGTGTATGCACGTGTGTGTGGTTACCAGTATGTGTTCTATGACAGTGCGCCCTGTTTATATGTGTGTGAACCCTGTTTATATTTGCTGTATTTAATAAAGATGGTATTTTAGCAGTTATCTAAATGAGTCCCTGTTTTGTTAACAGAGGGGAGATGAGTCAGCAGATTTCCACTTCACCAGAAAACGAGTCTTTCAAAATGTTGTCATAATATGTTAAATGTATGATATTTTTGGTAGATTTAGGTACCATCTGTTTAATTTGGTAAGGGAGCAGATTGGATCATTTGAGTTCCCAGTTCACACGCACCCCAAAGGATTGAGTTGATTTCCCTCCTTGCAACTAACACTTTAGTCTCTAGATGTCACAGCACACAGTCCAAATCCTCCCAGCCATCCCAGCTCAGGGACATCATACTGAGGACTCTGTGGTTGCTTTCTTCTGAGCCATGAAGCCAGAAGAAACATTTACTGTGTATTTTGTAGCTTGAAATAATTATGTTAACAATAACAAATGATACAAACAACATTCATTTTATGGGACAACCATACAAAGAAATCCCGTAAGTACAGTGATTCATGTCTGTAATGCATTTCTATCTGCAACATACTTCACCATCCGCCCTACTGAAAAAGCCTAGGTGGCGGAAATGGTGAATTGTGCAAGTGGGATGAAATAAACATGCAATAAGTGTGACACTAATGTAATGATTACAATAACCATCCTCTACATAGAAATAACATCAACCAGTTCCAAGCCCTCTACTCTGCCAGGGGGGATTGAGGAATTCAGTGACAGTGACTGTTGCTAAAAGAGAGAAGTAAAAGCTTCTAAATAAAAGTTTAAATGAGTTGACAGGTTTTCAGCAACACTGACGGCAGGGTTTGAGCAGATGAGGCTCTTCATACCCTCGCTGCTTGATGACTGTCCCAATGATTAAATTCCTGACCCCCCTCTCCCCCCGGGTTGGCTGACATCCCGATGTCATGTGTTGTGGGGAGAGGTTTCTAGTGTTACATATGGACAACTCATTTTGTGGTTTGGAGTGATTTATGCTTGTTTTTGGTTGCTATTCATTGAATTGACAAAGAATACAAGTGGCATTCTTGTTGTGTGAGGAATTCCTGTATGTGAACCGAAAAGATTCAGCTCACTACATATGAATAGAGAAATTAATCATACTCTGTCTGTTTTGTTGAATACCAGGCATGTCTGTCCCTGTTCACTGGGTTCACTAGGTGGTGGTGGCTGGTTGTGGCCTGAAGCTTTCCCTCATTCTCTACCTGTTTCTCTCATCCTCTCCTCCTCTCTCTGTGACGTGCAGGGTCCCAACACTAACGTCAGTCCTGTTTGCAATTACCCACAGTGCCCTATGCTGTCTGGGAAGAATGAGTACGATTGACGTCTTTCTGGCCATCTGCCGCTCTTCTATTCCTCTCCTCTCCCATCCCTCGCTCTTTCCCTCCCTCCTTCCCCATTCCCAACTCTTTTTTGAGAGGATTAAGTGTGTTCATATCTCTGTGTGTCTTTGTCTCATCAATGTGTGAATGTAATGATGTGTGTATGTGTGTGTGTGTGTGTGTGTGTGTGTGTGTGTGTGTGTGTGTGTGCAAGGAGTGGTGTGTCAGTTGCAACTCGAACATCCAATAATATCCTTGTCCACTGGATTTCATCACTGTCTTTAGTCACTAAATATTGCCGTGTGTCCCCTTTTTATAGTACAAATCTGTGCACAGGTTAATTTAAATACATCTCTAAGATTTTATTACATACAATATACACACAACCTGGATCTGCAAACCTGCATTAAGACTGGAGGATTTGGGTAGGCAGTAATGACCTTCAATGAAAGGCATTTCAGAGGGACAGAGGACAACAAATAAGTGTGACACAACCAATGAGAATATCTCTTACAACAATACATTAACCAATAAATAATTGAAGTACAAGAGTAATGAAACAACAAGTAAATTAATACATGAACCAAAATGAAAACTGACTGCTGTGCAACACAGACTGACAGACTGCTGTGTTGAACAAAACAACCACTAACAACCATCATTTCAGACACCAGACAATGACAAAAAAGTACAAACCATACATCAATTCTGAGTAATAACAATATTAACAACAATAACCATATTATATTTGTCATTTCAGGACAAGTTGAGGTACAAGTTGAGGTAAAGTCAAGTGAAGTGTTGAGTTTGTAGAGGAGAAGACTAGGAAGAGAAGAGGGAGAGAGGAGGTAGAATAGTATAAAAAATAGTTTGTCTACAGTGTGTTTGTTCCCTTTAATTACATATAGTTGCTACACACAAGTTTATCATACATTTTAACTTACATATAAGTATAATTATTATTTATTTGTTGAATCATTCTATACTGTACTGCTGGAGATGGATGACGTTCTACAGATGACTTTTTGGAAGTTGAGAAGAGAACATTTATGATTGTGCGTTAACTGACACTGAACACAAATTGACAAGCCTCAACACCAAGATCTCAATACAGCATCTCTCTCAGCCACAATAGAGGGTAGAGGATAAGGTTGAGGAACTGGCTAGCTAAAATTATTAGAAAAATACAATGATTCTGAGAGAATAGAGCTGGGTTGACAGAGGACACAACACTAAGTTAAAGCTCCCTTCTGCAGCACACTGAAGTGCAAAAGTTAGGGCATGGACCCTTCTTTAACGATTATTAAAGGGTGTTGCCATAGCAACCGAAATATCATCATCACTCAAAGCAAGCTTATCGATCACTGATCATGTCAAACAAGACTCAAATCACACAAGAACACTCAAATCAGACAACTGCTAAATAGTAACTTGTAGAGCACTGCATCCACCAACCCAGACCTCTATCAAAAACACCACAGTGGAACTAGGTGGTAGTGCAGTAAAATGGGGGAAGTGTAGTAAAACTGTGGTAAAACAGAAGTGTTTTCATAGAGGCATCCCAATCAGGGCAGGTCGCAGGGCAGGATGGTGTTCCTGCGGTCGTAAGCGGTGTCGTCACTCTCTTCTCCTTCACTCCCTTCATCCAGCACCCTATCCCTCTCCTCCTCTTCCTCTGTCTCGCTCTGATACCGGTCGTTCTCTCGCCCCCGCAGTCTCTCCCTCTCTCTGTCTCTTCCTCTGTCACTTTCTCTTTCCCTGTCTCTTTCCCTGTCTCTTTCTCTGTCTCTTTCCCTGTCTCTTTCCCTTCTGTCTCTATCCCCTCTGTCTCTCTCTCTGTGGGAGCGAGGGAGTGTGGGGATCTGGGAAGACAAAGAGAAACAGAGTCAGAGAGAGGCCATCACAGGGCCATCCAACTCAAACTTTCACACAAATATTCCATTGATATCAATACATGATAAACAAGAAACCCACACATCTTAAGTTAGGATTGAGCCCTAGTTGTAGCTGTAACCATGCAGTAAATTAATGGGAAGCCAGCCTACCTGGTTGTCGTGGCTGGGCAGGGCGCAGTAGCCAGGCTCTTTTCTGCGGAGAATGCGTGGGGAGTGGGTACGGAAGGCAGAGGGCCGTGGGGAGTGGGAGTGGGAACAGTTGGAGCGCGGGGAGGGAGAGCGGACCGAACGGGGGGACGGAGAGCGGACGGAGCGGGGAGAGTTGGTGATGGAGTAGATCTGGGACAGGTTGGAGTGGCCGTGGTGGTTTAGTTTGGGCGGGCGGGGGGAGCGCGGGGGTAAATCGGGAGGTCTCATGGGGTCCACCAGGTCCATCTCAGTGAGGACAGGGGGCGGGGGGATGAACTCCTCATCCTCAGGGGAGAGGAGATCCGCGTCAATCTCAGCTAGCTCTGCCCTGGACAGGTGGTCCACAATCCCAGCCCCAAACGAGTCGCCCACCACGTTGATTGAGGTACGCATTCTGTCACTGACCCAACAGACAGACAATGCTGGAGTCAGCCATGACTGATCACTGTGTTACAGTTACACTACCAGACAGGAGCTCTCATGGATGAGTAGATGCCAACAACAGCAATGCCATCTACAGCTAAGTACCACTCTACCCTTTACAGTTTACAATATGTGTTGCATTTTGAAAGAGCTTGATGTACCCTAGTTTTCTTCCATTTAGATAATAAGCAACATTGAATCATGGTAGTCTAATGTCATCACATTGTTGAATAAAATACCAATATATTGTGTATGTGTGACTCACAGCAGCCAGTCGACAGCGATGAGCAGGCTGATGTCCTGGGTGGGCAGGCCCACAGCTGTAAGGATCAACAGCATGGTGACCAGGCCTGCACTGGGAATACTGGCCGCTCCCACACTGGCCAGGGTAGCTGTCATACTGGGAGGAGAGGAGGGGAAGGAGAGAGGGAGAGGATGTTACACACATGTTTCTCATTCCAAGACATTGTCACCACAGTGCATTAGCATGTGACTCAGAAAAGTCATCAGTAAGCAACCACAACTGATAGATACAGTAGGCCTACAGTTACATGACTATTTCAAGGTACAAAAAGCCATGGAGGAAGGGACATAGCTTTCTCTTACATACATACCGAGCATGACAGCCTTAAAACCATCACTGCACTTTAGTACTATATCTAAAAGCATAATATATTACACCCAGGTAACACACCTCAACACAAAAATATCCTAAGAAACCCCCTGGGCCAGGGGTGTTAGTGGTAAAGAAGAGGCCTACCTGACAGTAACGATCTGTCCTGCGTCCAGGTTGATGTCATTCATCTGAGCGATGAAGATGGCTGCCACCGCCTCGTACAGGGCTGTACCGTCCATGTTGATGGTGGCTCCGATGGGCAGCACGAAACGCGTCACACGCTTATCGATCTTCAGATTCTCCTCCAGACAGCGAAACGTGACAGGTAACGTTCCCGCACTGAGGGAAGGACAGAGTGGGTAAGAAAGGGATAAAGACAGGTAGAGAGAGATAAAGGGAAGAAAATAAAAGTGGGGAGAGAGGGTATAAAGACATTATATAGAGAGAGAGGTATTGAGAAAGAAAATAATGACAGAAAGAGTGAGGGAGAGGGAGGGTGAGGGAGAGTGAGGGTGGGGGAGGGTGAGGGAGAGGGAGGGTGAGGGAGAGTGAGGGAGAGGGAGGGTGGAGGGGACGGAGAGGGAGAAGGAAGGCGATGAGGGAGGGGAGGGGAGGGAGTGAGGGAGGGAGGGAGGGTAGAGGGAGGGGAGGGATGGAGGGAGAGGGGAGGGTGAGGATGAGTGAGGGAGAGGGGAGGGAGGGAGTGAGGGAGGGAGGGAGGGAGGGAGGGAGGGGGGAAGGGAGGGAGGGGGGAGGGAGGGAGGGAGGGAGGGAGGGAGGGAGAGGGAGGGTGAGGGAGAGTGAGGGTAGGGAGGGAGAGGGAGGGAGAGTGCGGGTGAGGGAGATTGAGGGAGAGAGAGAGAGGTTTAGGGAGGGTGAGGGAGGGAGGGAGGGTGAGTGAGTGGGGGAGTGGGGGGGTGAGGGAGGTGAGGGAGAAAGGGGGAGGGAGAGGGAGGGCGAGGGAGGGTGAGGGTGAGGGAGGGAGAATGTAAAAAAAGAGGGGGGGGGGGGGGCAGAGAGGGTGAGAGGAGGGGTGAAATCTAACAGCATCATCATAACAGCAGGGGTATTTTACAATCCAATGAATGAATTGCAGGAATTTGATTTGAGCCCAAGCTAAGCCCAGGTCATAATATAATTAGAGAAAGTTGATAGGATTACTCTTATTCTCTAAAGCCTCCATAATGCGTCAAAATGACAGTTGGTTTGAGCAGCATGACAGATTCAGAAGCAGCGGAAACACGGCCAGTTTGGCCCATCCAACCTTATCCAGAGCCCCAGACATTTACAACACAGGGTATGTCAATCTGTCTGTCTGTCTGTGTGTCTGTCAGACAGAGCTGGTCTGGGATCACCCAGATTCATGCACAGTTGGCTCTGCAGCTCTAGTTTGTCAGCCCTCTTATTCTGGGTTAACCTAAATAGCCCAGCAACCAATACACAGTAACATAACACCCCTCCATCACATTTACTACGGTACCTGATGCCATACAGTATCATGCAGTGCTACTAAGGAAAATACACACCAGCACAAATTGGCTAAACATAGTATATACGCCCACCCTCCACACACACCCAACCCTCCCTAGAGTGTTCCTCCCTCCTCTACCTGCTGGCGGTGCCCAGGGCAGTGATCCAGGCCTGGAAGATCCCAGAGTAGAAGGTGAAGGGGCTCTTCCTTGTGATGGTGAAGAAGATGAGTGGCAGGATAATGCCCCCATGGATCATCAGGCCCACTATGACAGTCACCATGTACATGCCCAGCTGTCTGGCCACCACCTCCAGGTCCCCGATGGCTGCTATCTTCCCTGAGATCAGAGAGGCAATACCAACTGGAGAGTACCTGAAGACACAACATGGAGGGTCAACACACCACTGGTAATGAGGAGGGTTCTTCCAGAATATTGCAAGTGAAGGAAAATATATGGGGAGAGGAAACCACTTTAGATTATTGAGACACACCCCACCTATGGCATCAATACTAAACAGGCAGTGGGACTAGGTGCTAAGGAACCACAGCTGGGCAGGTCAAAGGTCATAGCAACACAACCTTAGCATCTGAGGTGTAAGGGATGTACTGTGTGTTGATCTGGGAGGAAGATGGCATTTAGCCAGAGTTGTTTGGTAGAGTATGTAGTATACTGTGTATGACCAGTGTGTTTAGTGTACTGTGTATGACATGTTATTTGTATATATATGCTGGTTTGTTTGGCCAGCTCTGTAGGCCTAGTAGTGAGTAATGTGTTTAGTGTGTAAAATGGGTGGTTTACATTGGGTTTGTGGTATGGAGAACACAGTTTCTTTGGAAAATGTGCTGCGCATCAAGATGGCCCCTGAGTAGGTGCTTCTTTGTGGTGGAGAGAGATAGAGAGAGAGAGAGAGAGAGAGAGAGAGAGAGAGAGAGAGAGAGGGGGAGAGAGAGAGGGGGGGATATGTTTTTCTCTCTCTCAGTGGTACTGGCCAGTGTCCTGTGAAGTCTCTCTGTCTCTCCCCCTTTCTCTCTCTTTTCCCTCGCTCTTTTAATGTAACTGGACTGTCTGCTACTGTCCTGCAAAGCATCAAGGCCTTCATCGCTCTCCAAGGACATGGATCTCACCAAGTACCTCTGTCCTGCCCTGCATCAGTCTGTCTGCGCTCTGATCTGTGCTGGCCTGCTGAGCAGCTAGTGGCTCCTTTCCTGTCTGTGGATTAATTACGTTCTGGACCTGTTCCACCCTCTCCCCCTGGGAACCAGAAAGGCTTCTGCTCTGCTCCCACTCCTGCTAGTCCTCAGCATTCCACACACTGTCATGTCTTAGGGAATCCTTCTCCCTATATTTCTCCCCTTTCCAATCCTCTCTCTGCCCCTGGTCCCAGTTCCCACCATTTTTCTCATGTACGCAGTCCTCCCCTTATTCATGACTGTCAGTGAATTCATCACTGTCCATAGAATGTTTTTCAGCACTGCAGCCATTGTTCCACTGGAGGAAAAACAGACCCATACAGAGACACAGACAGGGACACAGACAGGGTCACAGACAGGGACACAGACAGGAAGACATAGACAGGGACACAGACAGGAAGACACAGACAGGAAGACACAGACAGGAAGACACAGACAGGGACACAGACAGGAAGACACAGACAGGGACACAGACAGGAAGGCACAGACAGGGACACAGACAGGAAGACACAGACAGGAAGACACAGACAGGGACACATACAGGAAGACACAGACAGGGACACAGACAGGAAGAAACAGACAGGAAGACACAGACAGGGACACAGACAGGAAGACACAGACAGGGACACAGACAGACAGGAAGACACAGACAGTGACACAGACAGGAAGACACAGGGACACAGATAGGGACACAGACAGGGACACAGACAGGAAGACACAGACAGGGACACAGACAGGGACACAGAGAGACACAGACAAGGACACAGACAGGGACACAGACAGGGACACAGCCAAGAAGACACAGCCAGGAAGACACAGAGAGACACGTACCACATGATCATGCCCACCATCTTCATGATGATCTCGTTGAGGATGTTGAAGAACTCTGACATGAGCTTCCCCTTCTCTCCCATCTTCCCCATGCACATTCCAAATGTGATGAAGAACCCAATTAAACCTTCAGAAAACATCATTACAACATTAAATCATTCTGTTCATAAATAACCAATGTGCTCTCTCAATACGAATGATTAATATATCTAAACCAATGAAACAATAGGAAATAGACATAATAGTATTCCGTCCAATCAACAGAAAGAGAGGGGAACCGAACAGGACATTGTTGCCCAATCAGTGAATAGAGAGGAAAGAACCATAGCATTCTCTCACCCAGAACATTCATGCCCCATTTGAACTCCAGTTTCTTCTTGCTGACTATGACAGGTTCTGTCTGGTTCGGGGGTATCACTGACACTTTCTTTGCTACTGTTTGAACCTGAAGAGAGAGGGGGGGGGGGGGAGAGAGAGAGAGAGAGAGAGAGAGAGAGAGAGCAACCACCAGAGAGATGAGAGAGATGTTTATGCAGACAGCGAAGAAGAGAGGGGGAGAGAGAGAGGGGGAGAGAGAGAGAGGGTAGAGAGAGAGAGGTAAAGAGAAGATGAAAGATGGAAAAGGGGGCAGGGGATCGTCATGCAATTTCTTGGCTGATCTGCAAAAGTAATTACAATATCAATGAATCTCTGATGAGGACAAACGCAGTGATAGCACACAGCAAGAGAAAAGGATCCCTATAAGCCCAGGGCTGAACAGCACACACACACACACACACACACACACACACACACACACACACATGCACATGCGCACACACGCACACACACACACACACACACACACACACACATACACACACTAGGCAGATGCCTTACTGTAGTAAATGAAGACAACCCAACGCAGCTGTAAAGAGATTAGCACCGACAGAAGGTCTGACCCTCACCCAGTATAACACAGAAAAGCATTTCTAATCATTCAGACACACACGCATGAAAGAGAGAGAGAGATAGAGAGCGATAAGGAGAGAGAGAGAAAAAACACAGGATTTGGACAAAAGAAGGCAACTGATGATCCGCCTGCTTGGATAAACAGCAGTCATATCTGCCAGGCAGCGTTGCTTTGTGAATCACAAAGAAAGAGTCTGTTCTGTCTTGTCCTGCCCTATCCTGTAGTCTCCTATCCTCTCCTGTCCTCTCCTGTCCTCTCCTGTTCTGTCCTGTGGTCAGCCATCTGAGCACAGGATCATGTCCTCCTGATGCTAGGACAGCAGAGTCCCTGCCCATCTTCTGAAAACGTCTGAAAGCCTACCTCTTCAAAGATCTTAAATAAGACATCTTAGTCTCATTCCCTCCCTCCCCGCCCCCAAAAATAAAAAAACATTGCTCTAGTCATTTCCTACTAGTACTGACTTTGCTGATAACTTCTTTAGAGGAAGAAATGTTCTTACTACGACTGTGATATGTGGTTGTCTCACCTAGCTATCTTAAGATAAATACACTAACGGTATGTCGCTCTGGATAAGAGCGTCTGATAAATGCCTAAAATGCCAAATGTAAATGTCAACACAAGAACAGCTACTGGTCATTACAACGGGAAATATGTTCAGAGGGAGAAATCAACTGTACAATACTACAATAGAAGCTTGGAACACAGAGAGGGAATTACGATCTGTACAGCTAACACCACACACATCTGTGTTGGTCTGCAAAGTCATCCTTTTCTGGGAAATGGAAAGGATCAAAATATTGAGCGCTTGGGACTTTAAGGTTCTACCTGCATTTTTGTCAAAAGTTTGGACACACCTACTCATTCAAGGGTTTTTCTTTATTATTACTATTTTCTACATTGTAGAATAATAGTGAAGACATCAGATGACCTGGCCTCCACAATCACCTGACCTCAACCCAATTGAGATGGTTTGGGATGAGTTGGACCGCAGAGTGAAGGAAAAGCAGCCAACAAGTGCTCAGCATATGTGGAAACTCCTTCAAGACTATTGGAAAATATTTTCAGATGAAGAATGCCAAGAGTGTGCAAAGCTGTCATCAAGGCAAAAGGTGGCTATTTTAAGAATATAAAATAAAAAATATATTTTGATTTGTTTAACACTTTTTTGGTTACTACATGATTCCATATGTGTTATTTCATAGTTTTGATGTCTTCACTATTATTCTACAATGTAGAAAATAGTAAAAATAAAGAAAAACCCTTGAATGAGTAGGTGTGTCCAAACCTTTGACTGGTACTGTATATAGTACTCTACATTTACATTTACATTTACGTCATTTAGCAGACGCTCTTATCCAGAGCGACTTACAAATTGGTGCATTCACCTTATAGCCAGTGGGATAACCACTTTACAATGTTTTTTTTTTTTTTTTTTTTTTGGGGGGGGGGGGGGGGGTTGGGGTAAGGGGGGGGTAGAAGGATTACTTTATCCTATCCCAGGTATTCCTTAAAGAGGTGGGGTTTCAAATGTCTCCGGAAGGTGGTGAGTGACTCCGCTGTCCTGGCGTCGTGAGGGAGCTTGTTCCACCATTGGGGTGCCAGAGCAGCGAACAGTTTTGACTGGGCTGAGCGGGAACTATGCTTCCGCAGAGGTAGGGGAGCCAGCAGGCCAGAGGTGGATGAACGCAATGCCCTCGTTTGGGTGTAGGGACTGATCAGAGCCTGAAGGTACGGAGGTGCCGTTCCCCTCACAGCTCCGTAGGAAAGCACCATCTAAATACCCCAATTCATGTTGTTAAGTTCAAAAGAATACAATAAAAAAATGAGGGTTCTGAACTTTAAGCCAATTATCTCAGAATCATATTTTTGCAGATAGCACCTTATAGTCCCAAGCTCTAGATATGCTGCTGACTAGATATGCACATCAGATAGAACGTATTCTCTACTCTAAAGCACAATTCTACTTCCATGATGACATAAGCCACTCCTTTATAGGAACTAGTCTGTGCATATACAGTCCCTTCAGAAATGATTAGCTCTCCTTGACATTTTTTTGTGTTACAGGCTGAATTTAAAATAGATTACATTTAGATTGTTTGTCACTGGCCTACACACAATACCCCATAATGTCAAAGTGGAATTATGAAATTTTTACAAATTAATTACAAATGAAAAGCTGAAATGTCTTGAGTCAATAAGTACTCAACCCCTTTGTTATGGCAAGCCTAAATACATTCAAAAGTCAAAATTTGCTTAACAAGTCACATAATAAGTTGCATGGACTCTGTGTGCAATAACAGGGTTTAACAATGACTACCTCATCTCTGTACCCCACACATACAATTATCTGTAAGGTCCCTCAGTTGAGCAGTGAATTTCAAACACAGATTCAACCACAAAGACCAGGGAGGTTTTCCAATGCCTCGCAAAGAAGGGCACCTTTTTAAAACAGTTACAGAGTTTATTAGCTGTGATAGGAGAAAACTGAGTAGTTACTGCACAATACTCCACAATACTAACCTAATTGACAGAGTGAAAAGAAGAAAGCCTGTACAGAATACAAATATTCCAAAACATGCATCCTGTTTGCAGTAAGGCACTAAAGTAAAACTGCAAAAAATGTGGCAAAGAAATTTACTTCATGTCCTGAATACAAAGTGTTATGTTTGGGGCAAATCCAAAACAACACATCACTGAGTATCACTCTTCATATTTTCAAGCGTGGTGGCGGCTGCATCATGTTATGGGTATGCTTGTCATCGGCAAGGACTAGGGAGTTTTTTATGATAAAAAGAAACGGAATAGAGCTAAGCACAGGCAAAATCCTAATGAAAAACCTGGTTCAGTCTATTTTCCAACAGACACTGGGAGACAAATTCACCTTTCAGCAGGAAAATAAACTAAAACACAAGGCCAAATATACACTGGAGTTGCTTACCAAGACAACATTTAATGTTCCTGAGTGGCCTAGTTACAGTTTTGACTTAAATCGGCTTGAAAATCTATGGCAAGACTTAAAAATAGCTGTCTAGCAATGATCAACAACCAACATGACAGAACTTGAAGAATTTTGTGCAAATATTGTACAATGCAGGTGTGCAAAGCTCTTAGAAACTTACCCAGAAAGACTCACAACTGTAATCGCTGCCAAAGGTGACTCTAACATGTATTGACTCAGGGGGTTGAATACTTATCTAATGAAGATATATTAGTGTTTTCTTATTAATTTTTTACAACTTTGACATTACAGAGTATTTTGTGTAGATCGTTGACAAAAACTATTACAATTAAATCCATTTTAATCCCACTTGGTAACACAACAAAATGTGGAAAAAGTAAAGTGGTGTGAATACTTTCTGAAGGCACTGAGACAATCATTTGCGAATTAGACACAATTGCCCCATAAGCCACACATTCCCAATGCTGGTCATTAAAGTCAGGCTTTGATAGGATCCAAATCTCACAATAACAACTGAACATCAATTGTTTGATGGGGTCTGGGTCTAGTTCTGGGTCTGGGTCTGGGTCTAGTTCTGGGTCTAGTTCTGGGTCTGGGTCCTACCTGTTGGAAGCAGGCCTGCACCAGGTTTTCAGGGAACAGGTTCCTGATGAGGTCCAGGAAGGCGTCCAGACTGCTGACCTCTTGGTTCTTGGGGGCGGCGTTCTGCTCCTGACTGCTCCTGAGTTTGGGGTTTCCCGGGTGGATCCCCAGGACCAGGATGACCCCCAGGATGGCAGCGATGACTGTAGTGGACATGTAGTAGACCATGGCCCTGGAGCCCATCCTCCCACTGGAACGAGCATCCAGACCAGCCAGACCTGGGAGGGAGAGAGACAGGCTGATGAGCAGGGCACCTTCCACCTGCATGTCTGTGTGTGGGTGTGTGTGTGTGTCTGTGTGTGTGTCTGTGTGTGTGTATGTGTGTCTGTGTGTGTGTGTGTGTGTGTGTGTGTGTGTGTGTGTGTGTGCAGGCATGTGTGTGCTGTGTACTACAATGGTGTACCTGTGATGAGGCTGGAGATGATGAGGGGCAAGATGAGCATCTTCAGCATCCTCATGAGGATGTCTCCAGGAAAGGACACCAGCATTAGGGTGTTGGGGTCTGTAATAGAAACATACCGCAGCAGCATCCCAAACAGCGACCCCGCTATTACACCTGTCACAGTGCACAGAGGAGAGGAGTTAGCACAACAGCCACACAATGGTTGCCTCTGTCACCCTTACAGCTTCTGTGAGAGCGCAGAGAGGAGAGATTCCAGTGAAATGCTTTAGAAGAGCATTTCGAGAGGATTTATAATCACAGCGTCTAACTCATTGGGTTTCATTTCCATTCCAGGGGGAGTTACAGTAAGTGCACAGTGCATTCGGAAAGTATTCAGACCCCTTCACTTTTTCCCCACTTTGTTACGTTACAGCATTATTCTAAAATTGATTTTTTATTTTATTTCCTCATTACTCTACACACAATACCCCATAATGACAAAGCGAAAACAGGTTTTCAGATTTCTCTGCAAATGTATTTAAAATAAAAAACATAAATACCTTATTTACATAAGTATTCAGACCCTTTACTATGAGACTCGAAATTGAGCTCAGGTACATCCTGTTTCCATTGATCATCCTTGAGATGTTTATACAACTTGATTGGTAAATTCAATTGATTGGACATGATTTGGAAAGGCACACACCTGTCTATATAAGGTCCCATAGTTGACAGTGCATGTCAGAGCAAAAACCAAGCCATGAGGTTGAAGGAATTCAAATCAAATCAAATCAAATGTTATTTGTCACATGTGCCGAATGCAACAGTTGTAGACCTTACAGTGAAATGCTTACTTACAAGCCCTTAATCAACAATGCAGTTTTAAGAAAAATAAGTGTTAAGTAAACAATAGATAAGTAAAAAATAAAAGCAGTAAAATAACAGTAAAAAGACAGAGTCAATGTGCGAGGGGCACCAGTTAGTCGAGGTAATTGAGGTAATTTGTACATGTAGGTATAGTTAAAGTGTCTATGCATAGATAATAAACAGAGAGTAGCAGCAGTGTAAAAGAGGGGGGGGGACAATGCAAATAGTCTGGGTAGCCATTTGATTAGCTGTTCAGGAGTCTTACGGCTTGGGGGTAGAAGCTGTTAAGAAGCCTTTTGGACCTAGACTTGGTGTTCCGGAACCGCTTGCCGTGCGGTAGCAGAGAGAACAGTCTATGACTAGGGTGGTTGGAGACTTTGACAATTTTTAGGGCCTTCCTCTGACACCGCCTGGTATACAGGTCCTGGATGGCAGGAAGCTTGGCCCCAGTGATGTACTGGGCCGTACGCACTACCCTCTGTAGTGCCTTGCGGTCGGAGGCCGAGCAGTTGCCATACCAGGCAGTGATGCAACCAGTCAGGATGCTCTCAATGGTGCAGCTGTAGAACTTTTTGAGGATCTGAGGACCCATGCCAAATATTTTCAGTCCGGAACAGCTGATGCTCTCATGAATGCTTCAGTGTTGCTTGCCTCAAAGTGAACATAGAAGTGATTTAGCTCATCTGGTAGGCTCATGTCACTGGACAGCTCGCGGCTGTGCTTCCCTTTGTAGTCTGTAATAGATTGTAGTCTGTAATTGTCCGTAGAGCTCAGAGACAGGATTGTGTCGAGGCACAGATCTGGGGAAGGGTTACCACATTTGTTTTGCAGCATTGAAGGTCCCCTAAGAACACAGTGGCCTCTATCATTCTTAAATGGAAGAAGTTTGGAACCACAAAGACTCTTCCTAGAGCTGGCCGCCCGACCAAAGTGAGCAATCGAGGGAGAGGGGCCTTGGTCAGGGAGGTGACCAAGAACCCAATGGTCACTCTGACAGAGCTCCGGAGTTCCTCTGTGGAGATGGGAGAACCTTCCAGAAGGACAACCATCTCTGCAGCACTCCACCAATCAGGCCTTTATGGTAGAGTGGCCAGACGGAAGCCACTGCTCAGTAAAAGGCACATGACAGCCTGCTTGGAGTTTGCCAAAAGGCACCTAAAGGACTCTCAGACCATAAGAAACAAGATTCTCTGGTCTGATAAAACCAAGATTGAACTCTTTGGCCTGAATGCCAAGCGTCACGTCTGGAGGAAACCTGGCACCGTCCCTACGGTGAAGCATAGTGGTGGCAACATCATGCTGTGGGGATGTTCTTCAGTGGCAGGGACTGGGAGAATGAGGGAAAGATGAACGGAGCAAAGTACAGAGAGATCCTTGATGAAAACCTGCTCCAGAGTGCTCAGGACCTCAGACTGGGGCAAAGGTTCACCTTCCAACAGGACAATGATCCTAAGCACACAGTCAAGACAACGCAGGAGTGGCTTCGGGACAAGTCTTTGAATGTCCTTGAGTGGCCCAGCCAGAGCCAGGACTTGAACCCGATCGAACATCTCTGGAGAGACCTGAAAAGAGCTGTGCAGCAACGCCCACATCCAACCTGACAGAGCTTGAAAGGATCTGCAGAGAAGAATGGGAGAAACGCTCCAAATATAGGTGTGCAAAGCTTGTAGCGTCATACCCAAGAAGACTCGAGGCTGTAATCACTGCCAAAAATGTCTAAAACCTGTTTTTTCTTTGTCATTATGGGGTATTGTGTTTATTGCCATAAAGTGAGGTAGTCACCTACCCAGTATAGTGAGGGCCAGCAGTGAGTTTCGGATGAGGAAGCCACAGTAGGTTCCCAAGAAACTCTTGGGAAGTTTGGGCTCCAACAAGTCCAACACTCCAGCGCCAACAATGGGTGGCAGTGCCTCATCATAATGAGCCTTGTTAGACTGGTGGGCTGGTTGCTGATTCGTCATCCTGTCTGTGGTAGAGAGGGAGAGGGTGAGAGAGGGAGGTGTACTGTGAGAGCACACATCTGCCTGGTCAGAAAACAGCCCCATGCCTCTTCCTCTGGTGTAAGCATTTCAGTTAGCCTTTCTATTGGCTTGGGGAAACTTCCACCATATTGTTGCCTTTGGATGCTGTTGACTAAGATGAGTAACATCAGTCAGGTTAAGGTCTGATAAATGTCATTACATTGAGAAGGAATGTACCCACAATCTGAATAATACAGGATATGGAGGTGGAGAAAGATGGATGGAAAACAATTGGGAGAGAGACGGAGAGAGGCGGAGTAAGAAAGCGCTCTGACAATCATCTGTGAGTCATGTCATGGAAATTTTCAACGATAATCTGAAAATGTGAGTGAGGGTGCAGGATTCTATTCAAGTCACCCATCCATCACCACCTAAACCAAACCTCCACTTCTGTCAGAGAAGGAACATCCAGCCTAACATCAGATATCAGATTAGAGAGGATCAAACATAGTCAAAACAATAGGTGGGCAATAAATCCAAACAAGACCTTTACATAAAAGCACCAATATTATGCAAGCAATGTAAATCTGATCTGGTTTGATACATTATAATAATATTCAACTAATTACTACTCAGTCTGCTTAGTTTGTCTGTTCCAGTATTCCAATGCAGTAACCAGCAACACCAGTTCCAACAGAGTGTAGAGAGTGATGATGAATCCCCCTCCCACCAGAGATAAACACATCTGGAGAGCAACATGGCAGTGTGTGAAGTCAGCGTCTGGAACCTGAGTGGCACATTTACAAACAGACCGCCTCCACTGGACAATCGCACATGATTATAATCCATCAGCCATACAGATGGCATTTCTACATGAGGAAGAATAGAGAAAACACTCACCAACATGCATGTAGACCAGTCTAGTCTAACCTCCTTTTATTCCCTCTCTCCTTCCTTCTTTACCTCCTCCACTCTCTATGGACCTCACCCGTTGACCTCGCCTCTCTCCATCACGCTCTCTTTCCCTGCTCTGTTCATCAGCTTGTCTTTATCTCACATATAAGTCCAACAACAGTTGCCGCCCGGGCATAAAGAGGGATTGTCGGCAAATGCAAAAAAAAAATGGGGGGGGGAGGAGAATCTCTTGCCAAGTTTCAATAGCAGAGAGATATAATCCCTTTTGAACTGGGCAGTGGGGAAGGGGAGGGGAGGAGTGGGCTCCCTGTTTCTGTTACTGCACCAATCCTCTTTGCAAAATTCATTTCATTCTTAACATTAAGAACAATGTTTACAAACATCCAGGAGACAATGTACTGTACACCAATTACTCAGCAGTCCTATTGTTGGAGGGTGAGTCAGAAACCCACCATGACCTGATGAACTGCACAATCACTGTACTATCAGAAAACACAGAACACACAGAGTGTTTATGTGCATCCCAAATAGCACTCTTTACTCTATATAGTGTACAGTTGACCAGGGGTCATAGGGGTCTGGCCAAAAGTAGTGCACTATAAAGGGAAAAGGGTACCATTTGGGACACAGATCTCAATGACAATACTTTATGTTCAGTAGGATGGCAGTGCCAAAGACAGCCCAAGTCTACAGCTCTTAGGATGGGAATTAAGACCTTGGAGGAGGTCAGACAGAGGACCCGACCCCATAGAATTACATATACAGTAGGAATTTAATAAGATCTCTGTGGCTGACTCATTGTCCTACCAAACGACAGGATGCCTCCTGCGGTGTAATGAGGATATATCCTGAAGATTGAACAGCGCATAAACTGCAGTGACATGCTAAACGACCTGTAGCCTGCTGTAGCCGTGTTACAAATCCATCTTCTTCCTAGGACTAAGGGATTATTTTCTGTCTCCAGGAAATGTAGGAACGGCCTGAAAAGTGGGAGTGGGAGCTATCCTCCAAGGCTCCAACAGACCGACACGGAAGATAGTCCACATGTAACCCTGGACGAGAGCTAGCCTCCAATAGACTGAAAGGGAAGATAGTCCACATGTAGCCCTGGACGAGAGCTAGCCTCCAACAGACCGACAGGGAAGATAGTCCACATGTAACCCTGGACGAGAGCTAGCCTCCAACAGACCGACAGGGAAGATAGTCCACATGTAGCCCTGGACCAGAGCTAGCCTCCAACAGACCGACAGGGAAGATAGTCCACATGTAGCCCTGGACCAGAGCTAGCCTCCAACAGACCGACAGAGAAGATAATCCACATGTAGCCCTGGACCGGAGCTAGACATAGGGACTAGTCATATTAGTTTATGTTACATCATATCACATTATATCACAGATGAGTAATATGCTTCGTTATACATTCATCATAATCTCAGCACCCAGAACAGTATCTTGCATGCAGGCTTGTTAGCTATATTAATGTCAGTCTTTTACAAGAGACTATATACATAAAAGCAGACAGTCAATGGGTTTACATTGTTAAATCAGAGACCTTACGGTAAATCCAGGATTTGGTCAAATGTGACAGAGGTATTACAACCTTGGCAGGTATGTTCAAAGGCCATGAACTCTCTGAGGAGAAAGCTACAGTATTCCTCAGGAAAAGGCTTTAGGGAAGCCCTCAGAACAGAAACATGTGTTAGGAATGAGCATAAAGCACCAGGGATGGAGGAGGATACTTCAAAGACAGCCAGGCTCAACGGGAGGAGAAGGCTGTAATCCTTACTGGCAGTGGTGTTCTTCTTTATGTGTCGTGCCATGTTGAGCTCTCCTGGATCAGCAACAAACCAGATTGAAACTAGTTCCATGCATCCAGATTCCAGAGATACTCACATCCCCTGAATGGTCATGCCAGGACAGCTGATCTCTCTCTCTCTTTGATCATTTACATTTACATTTTAGTCATTTAGCAGACGCTCTTATCCAGAGCGACTTACAGTTAGTGAATACATATTTTTTTATACTGGCCCCCCGTGGGAATTGAACCCACAACCCTGGCATTGCAAACGCCATGCTCTATCAACTGAGCTACATCCCTGCCGGCCATTCCCTCCCCTACCCTGGGCCAATTGTGCACCGCCCATGAGTCTCCCGGTCGCGGCCGGCTGCGACAGAGCCTGGATTCGAACCAGGATCTCTAGTGGCACAGTTAGCACTGCGATGCAGTGCCTTAGACCACTGCGCCACTCAGGAGGAGAGACTTACATCACTGTAGTATGTAAAATATCGCTGAGCTATCAATGCACATATTAACATTGGATTTGAAAACAAACTACCTATGTTATGATCTCTCTCACAATCACTATCAGTATCACTATCAGTATCACAATCACTATCAGCATCACGATCACTATCACTATCAATATGACTATCACTGTCACTATGACGATCAGTATCTATCACTGTCACTGTCACTATGACGATCAGTATCTATCACTGTGACTGTCACTATGATGATCAGTATCTACAGTGTCTTCAGAAAGTATTCACACCCCTTGACTTATTCCACATTTTGTTGTTACAGCCTGAATTTTTTTCTCAACCATCTACACACAATACCCCATAATGACAAAGTGAAAACATGTTTTTTGAAATTTTAGCAAACATATTGAAAATGAAAATGAAATATCTCATTTACATACAGTACCAGTCAAAAGTTTGGACACACCTACTCATTCAAGGGTTTTTCTTTATTTTTACTATTTTCTATCAAAACTATGAAATAACACATATGGAATCATGTATCACTCCTCATGAATCACTCCTCATTCGTCTTGAAGCTGGTTGAGAGAATGCCAAGAGTGTGCAAAGCTGTCATCAAGGCAAAGGGTGGCTACTTTGAAGAATCTCAAATATAAAATATATTTAGATTTGTTCAACATTTTTTGGTTACTTCATGATTCCATGTGTGTTATTTCATAGTTATGATGTCTTCACTATTATTCTACAATGTAGAAAATAGTAAAAATAAAGAAAAACCCTTGAGTGAGTAGGTGTGTCCAAACTTTGGACTGGTACTGTAAGTATTCACACCCCTGGGTCAATACTTTCTAGAAGCACCTTTGGCAGTGATGAAAGCTGTGAGTCTTTTTGGGTAAGTCTCTAAGAGCTTTCCACACCTAGATTGTGCCACATTTCCCCATTATTATTTTCAAAATTCTTCAAGCTCTGTCAAATTGGTTGTTGATCATTGCTAGACAACCATTTTCAGGTCTTGCCATAGATTTTCAAGTAGATATAAGTCAGAACTGTAACTCGGTCACTCAGAAACATTCACTGTCTTCTTGATAAGCAACTCCAGTGTAGATTTGGCCTTGTGTTTTAGGTTCTTGTCCTGCTGAAAGGTGAATACATCTCCTAGTGTCTGGTGGAAAGCAGACTGAACCAGGTTTTCCTCTAGGATTTTGCCTGTGCTTAGCTCCATTCATTTTCTTTTTATCATAAAAAACTCCCTAGTCCTTGTCGATCACAAGCATACCCATAACATGATGCAGTTTTGGAATATTTTTTATTCTGTACAGACTTCCTTCTTTTCACTCTGTCAATTAGGTTAGTATTGTGGAGTAACTACAATGTTGTTGATCCATCCTCAGTTTTCTCCTATCACAGCCATTAAACTCTGTAACTGTTTTAAAGTCACTATTGGCCTCATGGTGAAATCCCTGAGCGGTTTCCTTCCTCTCCGGCAACTGAGTTAGGAAGGACGCCTGTATCTTTGTAGTGACTGGGTGTATTGATACACCATCCAAAGTGTAATTAATGACTTCACCACGCTCAAAGGGATATTCAATGTCTGTTTTTTTTGTTTTTTTACCCATCTACCAATAGGTGCCTTCTTTGCGAGGCATTGGAAACTTCCCTGGTCTTTGTGGTTGAATCTGTGTTTGAAATTCACTGCTCGACTGAGGGACTGTACAGATAATTGTTTGTATGGGGTACAGAGATGAGGTAGTCATTCAAAAATCATGTTAAACACTATTATTGCACACAGAGTGAGTCCATGCAACTTATTATGTGACTGGTTAAGCTCATTTGTTCTCCTGAATTTATTTAGGCTTACCATAACAAAGAGGTTGAATACTTATTGACTCAAGACATTTCAGCTTTTCCATTTGTATTAATTTAAATTTTTTCGAAAAACATTGTTCTACTTTGACATTATGGGGTATTGTATGCAGGCCAGTGACACAAAATCTCAATTGAATCCATTTTAAATTCAAGCTGTAACACAACAAAACGTGGACAAAGTCAAGGGGAGTGAATACTTTCTGAAGAAACTGTATCAGTGGCTCTTTAATGATGGTCTTTAATGACAGTATTAACCAATGACGGGTATTTACCGACCCCCACCGTGCAGAGACCCACGCATGCTCTCATCCAATCAGTGACAGTCCCTGCCCCTGACCAATCAGTGACGTGGGTTTAAGAGACTAAACAGCTGTGTGATGGCTAGCCCACCGCTAAACCCCCACCTCCTGTCTACAGCCCTATTAACTAACTGGACATGGGAGTTTATATGCATTTACATTGAGCTCTGTGTATGAGATTGTGTATGCATTTGTCTTTATCACATGAGCATGTTGTGTGTGTGTGTGTGTGTGTGTGTGTGTGTGTGTGTGTGTGTGTGTGTGTGTGTGTGTGTGTGTGTGTGTGTGTGTGTGTGTGTGTGTGTGTGTGTGAGTGAGGGGGGGATTATTTCCTTTGGTTGACTGTTTGGCGTGATCTTTGCAGGGACAGAGATATAATCCCATATCCCCGTCCCTTCTTCCAGAGAGAACAAGGGAGGGGGTCATGACTACTACAACACTGCACTGATATGTATAGGTTAACAAGTCCATACATGTCCACCCCACATTCTGAAATTGCATTTTTGTCACCCCCAGTTTTATCATTGGAATGTGATACAAAACGAGGCAACGGTGTGCTTTAGGACCATGCGGACGCCTCCGAGTGGTCGGATAGGCTGTTTGGTGTGTTTATCCAACTGGATAAAAAAATTAATAATAATAATTATGTCCCCCCCCACTTCTAAAACCAAAGTTGCGCCCCTGATCAGATCTAATGCATTTGGTCATCGATCAGTAGAAAACCTCCCCTTTATCCCTCAGTCACAAGCTCTGGAGTCAATAGACCATCACAGAGAGAAAAAAGAGAGAGAAATAGAAAGAGAGAAAAAATGTAAAAGAGGGAGCTTGTGTATTTGTCATTGACTGTTCATCAGTGTGTGTGCATCTGTGTGTGTGTGTGTGTGCACGTGTGCACATGAATGTGTGTGTGTTAGATATACTGCACTGTCGGAGCTAGAAACACAAACATTTTGCTACACCCGCAATAACATCTGCTAAACGCGTATGTGACCAATAAAATGTGATTTGAATTTGTGTGTGCGTGAGAGAGTGTGTGTGTGGCAGGTACACAACCTCCCCTCCATTCCTCTCTTTCGGACTATAATCTGAGTGTATTAATCTGTTGTTTGAACTCCTTAAGCACAGACTGTCTATCACATCTGCTCTCTTCACCCTTCTAAAGCTCTGCTATTTATAAATCCTCCCTCATACTCTCCCTTTCCTCTTTCCTTTCGATCTGTCATTGGAATACAATTCCTCCAGCAGAGCCTAGTTTTATTCTTCCCAATCCTCCAGAACAGTATATCCATCCTCTCCTTTTGCCAAAAATATCCTTTGAATATTCTCCATTTTCTTTTTCCAAACGCAAACTCTGTCTTGGTTCTCTCTTGTTCTCACTCTGATTCTAAATACAACAATTTGAAACACAACAGCTGGAAAAGCACTTCATTGGAATGTAAATAGTCATATGTCAGCTAGTTCTGAAGTTCCATAGCACTCTTAATATCAAATAACTACCACTGACTACACTCTAGTGAAAATCTATGAAAATAAAAATGATGGTACAGAACATTCCATAAAATAGAAAAGAGATGAACGATGTACACGCCCACCTACACCTATATACACACATCACCACAGACAGTCAATGTGCAGCACATTCTGACTGACAGAAACAGAGCGAAAGTGACATGAGCGCATGGACTCAAAATTCATAGCAATTCAGTGAATGAAAAATAGCACTGCCAATGGTAGTACAACTACACTTCTGATAAATCCTATGCACATGGGTGGGGGAGGATTTGAGATGAACATGAAAGAAATGTCCAGAACATCATTCAGAAGATGAGAAAGATCAGAGGGAGGATAGGTTAAGGGATAGAAGGAATGAAGAGAAGGGAGATAAAGCCAGTCCTACCTGCTGTGTGTCTTCTCCCATCCAACCAGAGCAAGGCATCGGGAGAGACACAATGAAGGGAGGAAGGGATGGAGAGATTGAGAGAGAGAAAGAATAGGCAAAATCACAGTCCTTGCGTCATCTGAGAAAATTGGCAGATTAATAAAACAGCTTGGATCTCTGAACCCCCTCGCTTGCTCCTTGCTCTCTCTCCCTCACTCTCTCTATTTCTAGGTCTCTTTCTGCTTCTTTTTGACTCTCAATTACTAAGTTGAGTTGTTCCTCAAGGTCAGTAGGTCTAGTGATAGACTACTAGCTCATGATCAGCTGTATAACAGACAGTAGCTTTTGTTTATAACTTTGGGCTGATAATACACAAGTACAAGTTGTATGTCACTATAATCATTACCATAGACAGTGAGAGTAGGTTGAGGAGGGAGACAGCTGGTAGAGAGTGAGAGAGAGAGAGAGAGAGAGAGAGAGAGAGAGAGAGAGAGAGAGAGAGAGAGAGAGAGAGAGAGAGAGAGAGAGAGAGAGAGAGAGAGAGAGAGAGAGAGAGAGAGAGAGAGAGAGAGAGAAAGAGGAGAGAGAGATGAGCTAGCAGGAAGAGACAGTTGAAAGAGAGTGGGAGTGAGGTTGCGTCCCAATATTCTCTCCTTCCACCTGAAGTGTGCACTCGATCACTACTCCCCACAAATGTAAAAGCATTGGATTGGTGTAGGTATGACTAGAGGGAGTTTCCATATACCAGTCATTTTCCTTTTAAATCTATGAAGGGACGTGAACAAGTGCACACTTCAGGAGGAAGGAGAGATTATTAAGATGCAGAGTTACCTCATACTCATTAGTCATGTCAATCAATGGCTAACGCTTGACTTCTGATGCATCCAGGTGTACCTCCACCCCTCCACTTGGGGGCGATAAAGGGCAGGGAAACATTGATTCTACCTTTGCTAGGATATATGTAGAAGATAGAAGTTGCCCTTAGCCACAGATCTAGGATCAGTTACCCCATACTCCAATCATGAATGAAAGTGAGGTTTGCATTTGAGCATCAGATGTACAATAATATCTATAATAACGCTGAAATGAATGATTCAGCAACAGCTATGTAATTGCATAGTAGCGTTTTTTGTTATTACACAAATGGAATAATTATTACAAAAAACACTCAAAGTCATTACTATGCAATGAAAGTGTAATGGCCATGATGTCAGTAGTGTTACTGAACAGACCAAGCACTATGTAAGCGTTATTAAAGCAGTGTGTGCTACATTCTGTCTTGTGTGACGTAATAACAAGTCTGTGACAATGACAGTGTAACAAGGTACAAGGGATAAGGATAATGAAAGGGTGATGTAAGTAAGCGCATCACAGAAACCCCTGACCTCTGCTCTGTCACACTTGCATACATCCAATGTATGCACACACATGTACATGCAATGTCACATGGCTGACACGCCTTCTGACACAGAGATACACACAAACCCCCTACAACACACAAACACACATACATACATACCCACATACACACACACACACACACACACCCTGTCCTGTGGGACTGACAGATGGAGAGGGGCAGAGGAACAGAACAGGGAGAGAGGCTTGTGGAACTGGGCCAGTCCTTCCTTTGTGCAGTGGGTACGCTGTAAGTCTATCCTCTGCTAATTGCCAGAGTGGTTCACATAAAAAGTCTGCCTGTGAAATCCTATACTGCCGGGTGCCGTTCAGTGAGTAAAGTTTACAATGTGTAAAAATGTTTCTCTGGCAGAAAGAGAGAGGGAGAAAAGACAGATGGATAAGGGGATGGAGAGAAAGGGCCGGAGATGTATGCATAACGGAGAAGTAGAGATGCACAATGGAAAGATAGAATAGAGGTACGAACATGAAGAGACATCATATTTTGCATTGATACAATTATGAGAATCAACTGTCAACTACAGTATTTACAGATGTAAGATCTTAATTTGATCACCCTGTTGCAGGATAACTTTGTATTTGAGGTTTAAAAAGGCTTCTGAAATTCGTAATTTCCAATTAGAGATGTCATACTTGATTTTCCCTTACGACAAATATATCAACCCCTAATTATAATCCACATAATAATTCACATTTCCTGTTGCTGCAGGATTATTTTCCTGCTGTCGCAAACTGGCTCAAATTAACATCCTACATCTGTAGCATGGGTTGCCAGATAATCTAATGTAGAGCCCCCTCTCCCCTCAGCTCTAGTTTCTCTTCCATTCAAACCTGTTTCTCATTAAAGATTAAATTGAAGTTAGTCCTCTGTTCCCATAATTAAGACATTCCTTACATCCAACTCCACTCTGATTTTTTTTATATTGCCCTAGCTCTCTCGCTCTCCCACACTTATTATATAGACTTGAGGCTTTGTGTGTGTTTTATTTGTTTCGCTGTGTGTAAATGTTTTTATGAGTATGTGTATAAATGTTTTTATGGGTTTGTGTGTGTATGTGAGTGTGTGGTGTGTGTGTGTGTGGTGTGTGTGTGTGTGTGTGTGTGTGTGTGTGTGTGTGTGTGTGTGTATTTCAGTGGTGGCTCCTCAAAGGAGAAAGGGTTAGGACTCAGTGAATTTCATTAAAAAAATTATCCTTTTCAGATAAAACTATACTAAATATATTCACGTCACCAAATAACTGATTAAAACACACTGTTTTGCAATGAAGGTCTGCGGTAGCCTCAACAGCACTCTGTAGGGTATCACCAGGGTGTAACCAGAGGACAGCTATTTTCCGTCCTCCTCTGGGTACATTGACTTCAATACAAAACCTAGGAGACTCATGGTTATCACCCCATCCATAAACTTACACAGTAATTATGACTACTTCCGGAGGACGTCCTCCAACCTATCAGAGCTCTTGCAGCATGAACTGACATGTTGTCCATCCAAACAAAGGATCAGATAATTAATCTAGTACTGAACACATAAGCTACAGTTAGCTATAGCATTGCAGTGCATAGAATGTGGTGAGTAGTTGTCTCAAAGAGAGAGAACGACAATAGTTGAACAGTTTTGAACAAATTAATTTCTTCCAAAATTAAGGAGAAGGTTTTGTCGCCTGGTCACAGAGAGCTGTTGTGTTGTGCACTCAAGTCCACAAGTGAAGGGAAAATGTGAGAGGAGGAGAGCGGGTAGATGTGATGATGCTGTTTGTATGGCTGCTATGAAAGTGAACTGTGTGATCAGGGGTGTATTCATTCCACCAATTCTGTTGCAAAATGTTTCATAAACGGAAGCAAACTGAACAAAACAGGGATGGAATACTTGAATTTGTCCAATAGAAAGACTTGTTTTAGTTGTAAAACGTAACGTTTTGAAACCGTTTGGACTAATGATTACACCCTAGGTCAGCTAGATGCAGGCAAGAGTGTGCAAGGCGGTATTGAATGTGTCACTGTCTGTCACCTTGATTACTCCAGTTTGTCTCTCAACCTGTGCACCTCTGTTATAAACGTTCATTTGTAGGCTAGGTATCATGCAGTAGTCTAAACCTATCGATGTTACACTGAGCTGGGTGAATGGAATATGAATGACAGTCATCCAATATGCTGTAATAGAAATAAGGCCATGCTCATTAAAAAAAGAAATCGTCCTCCCTAATCTTAAACGGCACCGACCACCACTGGTGTGTTTGTGATAGGCTATGTGTGGTCTGTTTTGGAACCCCATCCCACAGCCTCTCTGACCCTCCCTTTCCTGTGAAATTCAATTTCAGGCTTGAGTGATTATTCCTCAGATATGTCTGCATTATGGTCGGACGCCTCTGAAGTAGAGCTCACTTACTGCTGGGGGGCGAGGCGAGATGCTCCCCCCTCCCTCCATCCCTGCCTCCCTCCCTCCAAGCTCCCCTCCCTCCCCTGCCACGGCAGGGACGGGGAGCCCAGTCACACCATGGTCAGATCTGAGATTAGTATCCCCCCCCCCATCACCTCAGGGGAGCGGACCGGGTTGACCTGAAGTGCATGGTTGTGTGAGTGGTTGAGGAGTGGTGCCGGAGGCGGAATGGGACGTCAGGAGTCACGGGCTAAATGTAGAGCGGTGAGTGGAGCATTACGCCTGAAATTGGAAACTGGGGCGCTATCGTACCAAGTCTGAAAAGAGATGAACGGGAGGTGAGCTCATGAAGAGATGGTTTAAGATAGTAAGGTGAGTTGGGGAGAGATTGAATGAAGACGAAAGCGAAGATTGAGGTGAGTAGATAATGGAAAAAGGAGTGATGTGGATGAGGAACATAGAAAGAAAAGGGGAGAAAGACATGGAAAGAGAGGGGAGGGAGACATGGAAAGAGAGAGGGAGAGAGACATGAAAATTTGTGGGAGGGTTAGAGAGAGTAGGGGAGAAAGGAATGAGAGTTAATGAAAGATTGACACAGCCTGGGGAAAGGGTGAGTTCAATAATTGAAGTTAAGTCTGACGCGTCTGCCTTCATGCCCATGGTCTCTGGTGTGGACAATCAGACTGTATAACCTCCCCCCTGACAGCTCGGCTATTTGCAATAATTGCCACAATTACACTGATTTGTGGCTGAGGTCAAATTGACGGGATATTCATTGCTATAGTAATAAATCCATGTTTGATGACATTTTGTGTGAGGAAGAGAAAGGGAGGTAGACTGATTGGTTTAATCTGAAACATTAAGGTTTACATGGAAGTAGATAGACACAGCCTAGGGGTGTGTGAATGTGTTTCAGTTTATTGAGGTTAATGGATTGGTGCAAATTGCAATACCATGATTTTATTGTTATGTTCGTTTGTTAGTTATTGAGGTAAATTAGCTACACGTACACGAGATGAATGAAAGACAAATGGATCACGAGAGTCACAATGTTATGACATTTATGAGTCTCTGTGTGTGCATTTTAAAATGTGGCATGCATTTAAGCAGCACAGTCTCTAAATATATAAGCAGAGAATGTTTGGAGAGAGTTAGCAGAGAGAGAGAGAGAGAGAGAGAGAGAGGAGAGAGAGAGAGAGAGAGAGAGAGAGAGAGAGAGAGAGAGAGCGGGAGAGAGAGTGAAATAACTTTTGTCCCTACATTTGTGTGTGTTGACCTTACTCTCACCGTCTTTGTTTGATTATCATCTCTGTCAATACCTTGCTAACTCTCTCTCGCTCTCCCTCTCTCACTGATGCACCCTCTGGCAGAAATATCTAAGTGTGCACAGAACAAGTTCAGACAAAGAAGCAGAGAGAGAATGGTGGGAGGGTTCCAAGGACTGCCAATGACTGACACTAAATGCTGAGAGGGAGGAATGCCATGAGGGAGACACAGGGTGAGGATATGAAGAGGAAATAACATCCAAATCTTATTTTAGTGCTGCTCCTGTATGTGTGAGTGAGACTGAGTGTATTTGATGGAGTGTGTGCGGCTGTGCGCATGTGTGTGTGGGAAAATGGTAGCAGTCAGTCACAGAGTGCTATATATCAACATCCCTTTAGGTCTGACTGTATTGACAGTGGTAAGTACCCCCATCTTTGAGTGAGTTCTGCATTTTATCTAGTTCCACTATACACAATTGACCCGTTTAGCAGTTGGAGTTTGAAAACTTATTTTCATTCTCCCCCTCTTTCTCTGTCTCCTCTTCTGTCCCTATCTCTCCCATTCCAAAAGTCTTTCATGAGCAGTCTCACAGGGGCAGGGTTGTAACACAAGCCTCCCTGCTTTTGTCTCCATTCTTTTCCTTATCCTTTCATCTTTTTAAACATTCAGGGAAAAAAGGTTTTGGTGAGATGGAAACCACGACTTGGTAAAGAAAAGAAAGAGAGTGTGTGAGAGACAGACACAAGGGAAAGGTAAAGTCTTCCTCTGCTCATCTACCAATGTATGGTTTCCTTTTCAACAAGACCCTTCAAGGTGGACCGACTCAGTGGATGTGCTGTTCTCCAAGGTCAAAAGAAGTCCACATAGGCTACATATTTAGCTGGTGCGAAGCCCCATCTAGATGAACTGTCTGTCATATCTCCATTGTTTTTCGTTTACCTTGAATTTCCTTCTCTTCGCAGTAGCCTAGGTCTCAGCTCTCAGCCATGGTTTCATCTTCACCAGTTTGTTGTTGAGTCTGTCAAACCTCAAACGTTGGCCTAAAGACCTACACAGTAGCCTAGTATGCTAGAAATGTGGTCTCCTATATGTCAGCTATCTTCAAACAATCAGAAGATAGCTGTCCCTATGTCATCCAATTACCTAAAATTCTGATTAAGTACAATATTTAGGGGTAGGTTATGATGTGTTATATGTACTAGTTAACCAGACTCATACTCATCCACCCAAAATGTCCCACGTCATCCAATTACCTCAAATTCTGATTAGGTACAGTATTTACGGGTAGGTTATGATGTGTTATATGTACTAGACAGTAGGCCTAGCTCGACTGAGGAGTCATCCTCATGATTTCCCAGGGAAAGGAAGGGTGAGGTAAAGGTAAATCATAGCTTAAATTGCCCTACCTGATGGATTGATTTTAAATATTGGTTATTAAATCTATAATGTTTTTCTTTACACCTAATAAACAACAGTTAGGCTATTTGGGGCTATACATTTTGTCTTGAGGAACTTGGCATTCGATATCCCTCTCACAGATGTTCCTCGTCCTGTTTTTTCTTCTGTGCTTTCTTTCCCCCTCTGTCCTTTACCCCTTTCAAAAAACTCGTTCGCCCCGTCTTGTCCTCCCTCTCCTCCGCTCCACTAGCAACCAGAAGCTATTCGCGTTTAGGCTACAGGCGGAGATTTTGAGAACTGGGAAGAATTTGAGAAACTTTTTTGATCCCAACGTAGCCTAAACGGACCGCAGCGCTTCGCTGCCAATCTTTATAGAGACATCGATTAGTTTACTGCGTATGTCGACTTCAATGTAAATAAATTATAGTTCCTCTTTTCATGGAATATGAATAACAACGTCAGGAGGATGAGATCTTGACCGAATCATGTATGGAATTTTTATTTTAGAAAACGCGTTGTCTGTCTTGTTTAAAGCGCGGTTAGGACGGAGCTGTTTTTGCGCTATTTATTTTTTCTTCCCATCGTTTTTTAAAATTGTTTTCTTTAATTCAAACTGACATGGCTAACTGATAGAAGGAAAACTTTTTTTTGTGTCGTGGGAAGTTAATTTGAATTGAATATGAAAACGTAACTTTTTCATTTAAACCAATATTGAGAGTTTTACCACTTCGCCAACTCTCTCGGACCATTAGCCTATAACCAATGTGTTGTCAACTGGAAGGACGCGTTGTCCGGATCTCACCTAAACGGTAAAAATGTACTTGTGTTCTTATTACAAACTGCAGTTCATGTATATGTTAATTTGTTTGCATATTGATTAACACGAGCTATGGACACTTTCGGTTAATACGCCTACTGTTTAGTTTGCCACAGCGCATTATTGTATAGCCTAATATAATTCCCCATCACAGTTTTTTTTCTTTCACAATTATTCAGATATGAGAATAGGCTACCGATATGTATGCTAGAGATCACACAAATTGACAGGTCATCAGGCCAATTGATCCATTATCTACTGAAATCTTGCCTATATGCTACTTTGTGGGAGTTTTGGAGATTTTAATGGTTGCTCACCTCTTATGTTAAAAGTAATTCATGGCATTAAGTGCATAATGTCCCTGAAATATTAGACTACTATGATTATGTCCATTTACCAGTAGCGGAGTGCATTAAAGCCACAATCCTGAGTATGTGTTTCAGCCCAACAGTAGATCCGCACTTGGTTTGGTAGGAAGCTGAGCGATGGGGTTTAGGAAATGTAACCACTCTCATATTCATAGTGGGAGCTTTGAATGCAAGTACTGACAGTCTATTACATGCATGATAGTTTAAAACATTTTGTAGCAATACATTGTTTGTTTACTGAAATAAATAAGGCCTACAACCTTATATTTTGTGTTGTGATGGAGTAAGAAGACAGTTATACTAAACTAATGAGGAATAATAAATTATATTCTTCAAGAATCAATGGGTATATCATTAATTGAAATAAAAATAACCAAAGAACAGCAGGAAATCTTCCAGATTATGCCTTTAACATGCCGTGCAAACGTGGCCCTTTGCATGTAAATAATATCATGTGCACCAGCTTCAGTTGGTTAAATGCATAAGGAAAACGTTATGGGTTTTGCACCTACGATTAAGTCAGAACATGGTACCATATGGAATGTTTCCTTCATGAAGGCTCCCTTCTGGCAGACAGCTTAATTCACACTGCACTGCTGCTGTCCATTCTTCCTATGATCAGATTGACTGTCACTTATCCTTTGGGTCAGTGCCTGATTAGATTTCACAGGCCCCTTGCATATTCATCTGAGTTTATGCTGTGTGTGTGTGTGTGTTTTTTGTGTGGGGTGTGTGGAGTGTCTGTGTGTGTGTCCTAACGAAAAATGTATCAACCCCTACAAAAAATGTCCATTAATTATAATCCACCTAATAATTTTCATTTCATGTTGCTACAGGATTATTTTCCAGCTGTAGCAAACTGGCTCTAATTAAGATCCTACATCTGTGTATGTGTGTGTGTGTGTGTGTGTGTGTGTGTGTGTGTGTGTGTGTGTGTGGTGTGTGGAAATATGAACTGATAGATCTGTACACAGAGCCAAGGCCAGAGAGAGGCCAGGGTAGATACCCAGTTAGACTAAAGCATGGAATGACACAATCAAAGAACCGTAATTAATGGGCTGTTTGCACAGTAGGACAGCTAAGCACTGTTACATGCTCAACACACGTGAGCGCAAGGCTTTTACTCAGTCTCAGGCCATACTGAGAGAGAGAAAAACAAAGACAAAACATTAAGCTGCTGGAGTGTTTCCTCTGCTCTACCCACAGCAGGTGTCACAGGCGTGAAGTTGACCTCTGTCACAGTTAGGCTATGGTGAAGTCCACACATTGCAATGTCTAATGTGGTCTATGGACGGATGGTTTCAGTACACACACACGTCCATAAGGTTACGTGTTGACTCCAAAGAGATATGATTATCTCGACTGGTCTGGGCCTTGACAGAATGCATGATCTCAGACGGACAAATGGACATCCGGGTTATTACCCACACATGAAGGGGATTAGTTGTTAACAGGATAATTGCACAGTAGCCACTGCCAGGTGTGGAGCCAGCTTTATGGAATTCTCTTCTCACTGTTTCCTAACAGAGCCTCCCAGACTAACTCTAGCTTCCCAGTCTCACTCCTCTCTCATCCTCTCTCTCACTCCCTCTTTGTCATTTCAGACCCACAATATACTTATCAGGTAACCATCTAAAAGATAAGTCAATCCAACAACCATAAGGCACCTATCCCTAATCACCAGGATTATTTGTGTGATTTAGGCCTAGCTGTAAGTTGTACCTATGACTTTGTTGTAATAGTGTTACGTTTTGTCTGTTTTATTTGAAGTTAATTAAAAAAATTAGTGTGTTTTTGAACTGTTGGGCAGTTTGGTCTTCTGTAGGAACTTGGTGGAGTGTTTTGGTTTGGGGTTAGATGGTTTGTTTTGACAGCATTTGGGGTTTGGATTGTTCGTTTGGATAATGTTTGGAGGTTTTGTAAGTTAGTTGTGAAAGTCCTATGTTTTCTTATAGTTTTGGATCTGTGGTTTTGGGATGTTTTTTCTATAGACCGAGTGGGTTCGTTTGGGGGATTGGGTTGTCTATTAATTTGTGAGATGGTTTGAGATTTGCTAGTTGGGACAGTGTTTGTGTCTTGTCCAGACAGCTGAGGAGTGAGGAGGTCCTTGTCTGGCCATGCAGGGAGTGTAAATGGCGCGTGTCATTGTAGCAAATGGAGCATGATGTGCCACAGAGTACACACCGCTCGCTCATATGGTCTCCAGCACGTGTGTCTGCCTGCCTGTCTGGTGTGTGTTTTCAGAAAACCTTACAACCAGCTCTTCCACTAAACACACACACAGCCTTAGATCCAATTTTTCAGAGCCTTAGATCCAATTTTTCAGAATAAACCTGTTCATAAACTTACATGGGGATCATAATGCCACTGATTGAATAATTGACTGCTGTTCACCTCTCTGCGTCTCTGTCTACCCCCCCCCCTCTCTCTGTCTCTGTCTCTGTCTCTGTTTCTGTCTCTGTCTCTGTCTCTGTCTCTGTCTCTGTCTCTGTCTCTGTCTCTGTCTCTGTCTCTGTCTCTGTCTCTGTCTCTGTCTCTGTCTCTGTCTCTGTCTCTGTCTCCGTCTCTGTCTCTGTCTGTGTTGTCTGTTGCATGTTCATCTATAATTGACAGTGCTCTGCTGCAGCTCACCACCTGCCTGGGCTGGAACTAACCAGAACCCAGAATGGCACTTCAGGACACTTTATTTGCACACAGCACACCTGCGTTTACGAACTTACGGATGGCCCTGTACCAATAAGAGAAAACAGGAAATGAGTCCTTTGATGTGATTTATGTATCACCAGGGAACGAGGCCCACAGCATGCAAACATAAATGTATGGCTGATGTGTCATCTAATGTCCTTGGTTGTTCCACTAATCACTACT